CACTGGGGCTTGGTGTCCAATGCAATGGTGTTGAGAGGTGGTGGGGTCATGAGGGGTTTGCTTCACCCTCATGAAGGGGTTAATGTAACTTTCAAGAGAATGGGCTGATTATTGTGACAGTGGGTTGTTATGAAGTGATCCCCTTTTATCTCTCTCACCACGTGACCTGTCTTTCTCATGTACCCACTGGCTTTCCATTTTTCTGCAATGCAACCATGGGACCCTCAACAGAGGCCAAGTACATGCTGGTGCCACACTGTTGGACAGTCTTGGACCTTCAGGACAGTGGGCTCTTTTCTTAATGAATTATCCAGGTTCAGGCATTTTGTTATAGCAACAGGAAACAGACTAGGATCGGTTACTTTCTGTCAAGTACTTTCCTTGTAAGATTGTGTGGGGCCTTTCCTATGTTCCAGCTGGTGGGTATCTTAGTTACTTTTGCTTTGCTGGGGCAAAGTACCTGATATCAACAAGTTGAAAGTGGGGAAGGTTTACTTTGGCTCACATTTTGTAGTGGGTTCAGTCCGTAGTCAGCTAGCTCCAAGGCAGAGCAGCATGGCAGAGGAAAAAGAGTTCATGACATGGCAGCGGGAAGCAGGGAGGCATGAAGGAAGGAGGAAGGATGTATGCTGTTCTGGACAGCATCCTCAGGGACCCACCTCTTCTCACCAGACCTCGCTTCCTAACATCACACCCAGGGGAAACCCATCGGTAGACGAATCCAGTATCATATACCTGTGACTCAGTCCCACACACCCATCACCTCCCAAAAGCCCACCTATGAGTGTATGAGACTTTGGGAAACATCTAGATACAAGCCATAACATTCTGCTCTTGCCCCCAAAAGACACATGTGCATCTCTTTATGCAAGATGCATATAATCCATTTCTAAGGTTGCCGAAATCCCTGACAGTTTCAGCCCTGCTGAAAAGTCCAAGTCCAAAGTCTCATGTGAGATTTAGCATTCTTAGCTGTGAGCACCGGTAAGAACGAAGAGAAAGTTAAGCACTTACACTATTCAACTGCACAATAAAAACATTCCAAATCCAAAAGGTACAAATAGGGGGATAGAGATGAATGGCATCAAAGCAAGACCAAAGTTAACAGGCAAGCATTAAATCCCACAGTTGTATGTCCACCCTGCAGGGTCATTTATGGAAAGATGTGAACTGGAAAGGACTTGGGTGGCCCCACTGCTGTGGCGCTACCAGTGGTTGTGTCCCTCATGGCTTCTCTTTCAGACTGGCTTTGCTCAGACGATCCGTATTTCTGGCTTCTCCAGTCTTCTGGGGTCTACCCTGCATTTCCAGCTTCACACTCACAGCTTCACACATTGCCCTCTCAGGGACACACTGCCTGCCCTTTCAGGCCTTTTTCTGAAATTTGGGTAGAATTCTTGCATTCTATCTAAAACCAGCACTGTATGGATGATCCCAGGATCTGCTACCAGCTAGAGCCAGGCTTCCTTCAAGCCAGGGGTTGAAGCCTGGATTGCTGAGCCCTATGAGCCCAATCCTGAGGAACAAATTCCCTAGGCCCTACCATTCTGGACCATGGTGCCTCTCTTCTCAAAGCAAAGTCTTTTGCCTTTGCAGCTTTGACCCTGCAAAGAGTAGAGTCTTGCTGGCTCATGTAATACTTTCAGGCCATCTTTTCTCTTGTCCTGTTGCTTTTCAGGAACCAAGTCCTCCACTGCTCCATCTTTGTAGGCCACAACTTTACCAAAGTTTCTTTACCTAAACAGACTAAAACCTTTTTAAGTCATTTGGTTGGGACATTTGCTCTGATTTTGAAGGTATAGCTGGCTAATGGCCCCCAATGGTAACTGTGTCACTGCCTCAATATTATACTGCCTTGAAATTTCTTCCACTGGATCAATTAGCCTGGTTCCCTTAATCTCAGATTCCTACAATGTCTCTGGACATGAACAAAATGCAGATGAATGTTCTGCCAAACTATTAACACACATGGCTTGGAGTCCAACTTCCAGTGTAGTCCTTGTTCTGAATTGAAACCTCCTGAGCCTGGACTTTCTCAGCTGCACTTCTGTCAGCATTCTGGTCATCCGTGCTCTGACTACAATCTCCCATCAAGCTGTGCTTACAGAATTTATGGCTGCTTCTCCAACTGACATATCTCAAACCTTTTAAACTTTTCCCACAAACCACTTCCAAAGTCTTCAGAATCACCTGATCATGTATCATCCCAGCAACAACCCCACTTCTGGTACCAAAAGCTGTTTTAGTTATTTTCTCATTTCTGAGACAAAGTACCTACTACCCACAAGTTAAAAGGAGGACAGGGTTTTCTTGGGGGCTCACAGTTTATGGAGGTTTCAGTCCACAATCAGCTGGTTCCAAGGCAGAGCAGCATGGCAGAGGAGAAAGAGTTTATGATGTGGCAGCAGGAAGCAGGGAGAGAGAAAGGAAGGAGGAGGGATGTATACTGTTCTGGGTGGCACTCACAGTGACCTAGCTCTTCTCACCAGACCTCATTTCCCAGGATCATACCCAGATAAAACCCATCAGTGGACTAATCTGGTATCATATACCCATGACTCAGTACCACACACCCACATTCCAGTCACCTCCCCAAAGCCACTTATGAGTGCATGAGGTCTTAGGGAACATCTTGAGGCCATAGCAGTGGGTTGGAGTGCAGCTAGTTTTTAATAATTTCCAGGAACTGGCTCTCTTAGCAGAGAGCTGTCCTTTAGCACCTGGTGTTGGGAACTGAGGTGTGCTATGGTTTCAATCTCGAATGACCCCCCAGAGTTTGATGTAGTTAGAGGTAGGGTTTTGGGGAGGTGATTGGATAGTGGGAGTGCTGTGCTCATTGGTAGATTGGTTTATCGATGAGTTCATAGCTGAATGTGCTGTTTGTTAGGAGTTGGGGACTGGGGGAAGAAGTGTGTCCCTGGGGATGGGTCTTTGGAAGGTGCATCTCCTTCCCTGGCTCCCCTTCTCCTCTGCCTTCATGGATTCAGCATCTTTCCTCTTCATTGCCCTTCAGCCAGGCTCTTTCTGCCTTGGAGCCAGTGGAACTGTGAGCGGAATAATCCTACCCTCCTTGTAAGTTGCAGGTGTTGCGTGTTTTGCCCTTGTGATGGGAAAACGGTAATCCAGGGTGCTGGGCAATGATAGTTGGATGTCTGATCTCCTTGTTGGATTTTTGAGACTGCACATCAGGCTCAGGTGAGGTCCACCCACATTCTCCCAAGTGTCAGAATTTTTAGTTCTGATTTTGTTGTCAGCGTACCTTTCCCCTTTGCCGATTGTGTGTCACATCCCTCACAGCTCCCTGTGTTGCTTTCAGGAGCTGTTCCAAGTTCAGACTGAGCAACAGGACATACATTTTCTGCTATGCTGCTCCCTCCCTGCAGCAGGGCAGAGCCTCCATCTTTGGGGCCTGGTTGTTTATGTATAAGGTGAGGGGGTGGAGAGACCTCTGTAGATGATTTTAGCAGCATTCTCCAGGTCTCTGGGGCTTCTACAGCTCCCGGAGGGTTTCTCACCACATGTCTTAGAGCAGCCCTTGTTCCTGCTTTTCTGCAGCAGCATCAGAAGAGACTCCACCCTTACCAACCTTCACCCACACACAACAGGAAGGTTTGCTCCTCTCACCATCTTTTAAAATTGAGCAAACTCATAAAAATTAACAGGAAGATGGTATGGGGAGAAAAAGGGGTGTGAGGCCTTCCCTTCCCTTCGTAAAGATCACTGCTGACAGTCCTGTAAAAGACAGGTTAATAAGTCAAGGAAAACATTTGTTTAATCAAAGTTTTATATGACAGAGACTCCTTCAGAAATGGAGACGCGAGCAAGGCGTGGTGGTGGATGCCTGTAATCCCAGTACTCTGAGAACTGCAAGGCTGAGCCTGGCCTGGGCGGTTTAGAACCTAGTGAGACCTTGTCTCAAAAGTGTAAAAGAGGACCGGGGATGTAGCTCAGTAGGAAGGACCTGAGATTGTCCTGGAAGGGAAGCCCAGCAAGGCCTGAGTATTCAGATCCTTCCTGCCCTCTCTGTCGAGTTCCTTCTTCCTAGCCAGGGATAGACCCTCTGGAGTGAGGGTCTGCACAGGGGAAGGAGAAGAGAGAAAGTGGCCTTTCTAGGTTTGGTGGCAGCCTTGGGGGAAAGGAGAGGAGTTTGAGTATTAGGACCAGCCCTTGGGAAGCCCAGCTGGCCTGGAGTTTGTGCGTATCTTGCATTAGCTCCTCAGAGCGCTGGGATTGTAGACCTGAGTCACAGTGCCCAGCTCCTGACACCTGCTAAAGAGTGCAGGACAAGCCTGGGGTCATGGTAGGAAAGAGGGATCGACACTGGTGTTCCTTGAACCCAGTGGGGAGCTTGAGCAGAATCCAGTGGTCCAGAGGGTAGGCCTCCCACGCTCCCTCCTGCCCACATCCTTTCCTCTCTCTTCTCCCCTCCCCTTCTTCGCTCTCCTCTCTTCCCTCTCCTCCTCTGTTTTAAATGATCCTCAGGCCTGTGTGTGCTACCACAGGCAGCAAGGTCACATGCAATGAGATTTGTTAGTGAAGGCAAAGGAGAAAGAGGGTCCAGTGAGAAATACACATCCTCCGAGAGCTCGCCCTGGGGAAGGCGTGTGACACAGCTACTATTCGAGGTACAGGGAACCAGCTCCATGGAAGGAGTAGTTACCTGTGACAGAAGGAGCAGGAAGACTTCTGGAAGCGTTTGCATCAGCCCTGCCCTCCCTGGCATTGCCTCACCCCCTGTACCATGACAAATTTGAACATTTATGAGTGGGTACGCTCCGGGAGGGGTGGGAGCACAAGCCGAGCAAGCTTGGCCTGCCCCCGTGTACTTTGCACCTCTTGAATTTCCTTTGGTACCAGGCGCTCTGGTTGTACTTAATCCACGGTGTAGCTGGCACAGTGCGAGGCTGTGACTATGGCTGCCCCTGCCCCAGAGTCCACCCGGGGCTTGGAGCTCGAGGCCCCAGCTGCTGCAGGTGATAACGCCGGCCCTGTTCCTGCAGCTGCCATGTCCACGCAGAGGCTCCGGAACGAAGACTACCAGGACTACAGCTCCACTGACGCAAGCCCCGAGGAGAGCCCATCCGAGAGCCTGGGCAACTTCTCACCCGGCACCTACCAGCGTTTCGGGGAAAGCAACACGACGTGAGTAGCTGTGACCTTGTGTCCCCCTTTGTCAGTTCTGCACTTTTTTGTTTGTTTGTTTTTGTTGGGTATCAGGGATTGAACTCACGACCTCGCACTTACCAGGCAGGCACTCATGCTGCTGAGCTAAGTCCCTGGCCCCTTGTCAGTTCTACATGTTCGAGATGAAAGTAAGCAATAAAGAGACAGGGTAAGCCGCAGCGCTGAGTCACCCTGGTGGCCGCCACTCTTTCTTGCTCTTTGCTTCAGTTGTTCCTTGAAGAACGCTGGTGCCTGGACTTAATCTCATCTCAGAACCATGTGTTGTGTGCACTGGATTTCTAAATGCCTCCAAGCCCGGTTGGAAACCTCTTTGGCTGATCCCAGCCCCAGCTCCGCCCCCCCACTTCTGCCCTTTCGCTGAGGAGCCCTTTCCTCTGGCTGCAGAGGGGAGATGGGGGAAATCAGTCCTGAACCTGGACGGTCCAGCAGTTGGTAGAGCAGAGGGGAACACTTTGGTTTCATAGAGAGAGCTTCAGTCTCATCCCTGGAAACTGAAACCTAACACCTCTCTTCGCTGACTTTGGCCCTTTTCGGGCCTTGGTTTACCCAGATGGAAAAACAAATTTGAGAGGCCCAGTCTAAACTGTGCTGTGTGGTGATCACACTTGATTCAGAAGGTTCAGGGGAAGCTTTTCTACTCCCTGGAGTTTCCCTGCTGCTCCTGAACCCCACAGACTGCTGACGTTTCTTGGGATCCCAGAAATGTCTTGGAATCCTGTCCTTTGTAGCTCTTCTGCTTATCTTCAAGCTGAGTTCACCCTTCTGGGGTTCCCTTGTGGGTTGGGGTGCCTTGCCGAAGTGTCCTAGAGTGATGCAGCCCCCTGACCCTCCAAGGGACACGGAAGCTTGTCTTGAAGCCCGCTCTGTAGAAGCTCCTGCCCACGTGCTCTCCAGGGAGGGGCACTGTCTTTTGTGACCTGGAATGGGTGTGAAGAATTGGTCAGCTCCTGAGGACCACAAGCTGCTTTTTGTATACAAAGATTCTGGCTTGGCAGCTTCTTCCCCACGTGGTGTGTGCTTTGGTAGATTTCCCATTTGCAGGCAGTGTTAGCAAAAGATTGCTTCCAGCCAGCTGTCAGCAGTGAGGACCACCCTTCCCCTCTCCCCTTGAACCTCGTCCATGCCCTAAGGGTTCCCCAGGCAGAAGGAGCTCCACGCTTGGCCAGGGTCCTGTGTCAGCTTGTCTCTGGGAAGCTGTTATTGTGAAATAGTCCCTTCAGGCTTCTGTCTCTGTAGTTTCTGTTCCAGTTTTTGCTGCTTCTTATTCTGAGGCGTCAGCTTATCTATGCCTGCAGTAAGAGCTCTAGCTCTCCATTTTTATAGAGACTTGCAAAGTGCAAATCTCACCAGCAGGCGTTCTCAGCATAGGTGCCTGTGGGTTTTGCAATGTGAAGGATGCCTTCTGCGAATCTTTTGTCCACATAGGAAAATAACCAATAGCCAGGTCAAAATTATTTCCCCTCACTTGTTAAGACTTGAGTACATCAGAAGATACTTTCCTTGGGCTTAGATTGGGATATTTTCCCGAGTGTCCTGCTCTGACATTGCCATGTGATGTAGGGACCAGGATGCCCATCTGTAGCTGACACAGACCTCGCAGCCCCACCACAGCTGGTCCAGGTAGCAGGACAGCTCCCTGCAAGATTCGTTACTTCTGTCCAAGGGCACAGGAGCCGCACAAGCGTTTGTGCCCAGAGTGAGTGAGTTAGATTGATTTGGGGACCTTGTTAGCCTGGGTGAACCTCTGATATGGAAGACGTGGCAGGGACAGGTTTTGAGTTGGATTCCTTGGCTTTTTGTGCTTGCCCTACCCTGTTACATAGTTCGCTAAGGAACAGAGTGCCAGGAAATGCCCATTAACCTATCGTGTGTACCTAGGCTACCCATTGGCTCTTCTGGAAGTTAAAGGTTCAGTTCAGACCCCTAATTACAGGGTACAAAGGAGAACTCCTGACATCTCCACTATGATGAACTAGGAAGTGAGACTTTCCTAACATTTGATGTTATCAAGCCGTTGAATTTATTGACAGCAGCCTTGGTTTATACTGTCACGTATATTTTCCTTTTCCATGAGTCATATAATAGCAGCTAGAGATTGTGCCAGGCAGGCTGAGAGCCCAGCTGAGTAGACCTGGCCTTCCCTAGGGGATCTGGAGCAGCCCTCTGCCAAGCGTGGTCTGCAGTCTTTGGGGGCTCAGATCATGCCAACATGTCTAAAGAGCACAGAACCCCTTCAGCGTAGCTCTGACGCATTGGTGACGTTCATGCTGAGGCAACAGACACTGCCAGGTAAACAGCAGGCACCATGGCATGAACCAAGGCAGTGGCCACAGATGGTGCCAGTCCCATGCATTTCCACTGGCACACAGGAGGAAAAGAAAAAAAGCCAATTTCACTCAAGAGTGTTCAAAATAAAGTTAATCAGATCACTAACTTTATTAAATTGCAACCCCTTGGGACAGGTCTCATTACTACACTTAGGACAGAGACTGAAAATACCAACGTGAGTTCTGCAGCAGCTGTCTGGACGGGCTGCTTTATTTCTTTTAATACTATTTTTACTAGAAAAACAATGAACTGGGGCTGGGGATTTAGCTCACCAGCATAAATGCCTGCCTTGCAAGCAGGTAGTCGTGAGTTCGATCCCTGGTACCGATAAAAATGAAAAAAAGACAAAAAAAAAAAAAAAGAAAATAAAAGAAAAACAATGAACTATAGTTCAGTCAGAACTGAGTGGTTGGCGTTTTCTTGGTAATTAAAGAAGGGAATCTGTCCTCGTGGAAAGAAAAGAAAGGGACCTGTCAACTCAAGAAAAATGGTGTAAGCCGGGTGTGGTGGCACACGCCTGTAACCCCAGCACTCAGAGGCTGAGGTTGAGAATTAGAGACCAGCCTGGGCCACAAAGTGAGCTCAAGGCTGACGTGAACGGCATAGCGAGACCCTGTCCCAACAAAAGACAAAAAAAAAAAAAAAAAAAGAAAGAAAGAAAACAAAAAACAGTGTTTGTTGCCCACAGTGAAATTTGAGCTTTCAAGAAAAATTAGAAAAAATGAACAGCAAAAAAGAGAGGACCAGGATAGCTCAGCAGGACAGCGACTGCCTGGCAAATGTGAGGCCCTGAGTTTGGTTCCCAGTACCAAAAAGGAAAATAGTTTAAAAGAAAGAAAGAAAGAAAGAACAATACAACCTCCTTGTATCCCAGCTCTGTGAGCTTGACAGCTTCTCACTGCATAAAACTTTCCAGACGAGACCAGCAGTGATATTAATGAATGTGGTTTTTTCAGTGTTGTATTCTGAGAGATGTTAGCATTTGGAGGATTTGCATAACTCAGGGGACCAATATCCATCCAGTACCCTGAATGTGATGTTAGAGACTGTGCATGGGGGCGAGATCCACCAAAGGGCAGGACCACCAGTGGATGTGAGTGTAATAAAGTCCAAAAAGCTCACGCATTACACATTGCAGCCCAACTCTGAGAAATGATCATGTGTTCATTCCAAAGTTGTGGGAAACAAAAATTCCTGTAACTACTTCCTTACCCAGCCACATGTCTAAATTTTCTGTCTTCAGTTAATCAAGGCATATAAGACGTCAAAAAGACAGTCTCATTTTCACAATTTTCTTTTGAAAATGGAGTTGCTTTTTAAAAATGTTACTTGTATGAGCAGGTAATGAAATTATGAAATCGTTATTTTTAATGAAATGTTTTAAATTTTTCTGCTATAATTTTTAATATCTACCAACAAGATACAGTCTCTATAAACAACAACTATTGGGGGTCCTTCACTTATCAGAGAATAAAGAGATCATGAGACCAAAAAAGTAATAAGCACTACTGAAGGAATATAAACGGAGTTTTGCTGTTTTGCTGGGCTTTTCTCTTCCCTCTTTAGCTGCAAGGGCTCCCGGCCGGCTGCTAGGTTGCTTTTCTGATGCTCACGAAGTCTTGGGTGGTGTCTGCTCAGGACCGTTTTTTGCAAAGAGCTATTTGGATTAGTGGCCTGTTTGTTCTGAGCCAAAGGGAGCCCAGAAGCTGTCCTGGTCAGTTCCCTCACTCTATAGACGAAGCAGCAGCCCCCGGGGAGAACAGGGGTTTGTTGTGTGCGGGTGATGGCAGAGTGGGCCCGGAGGCTCCAGGCGGATGGGTTTGGGGCTGTTTCTTCACCCTTGCACCGAGTGGGTTAACTTCACCAGGCTAGAAGGTGAGTGGGCTCACTGTGCCCTGGTCACTGGCTGCTGCTGATGTCTCTGGACCCTGGGAACCCCCGTTTTTTTCTCGATCTTTCCTGGAAATTTGGAGCAGAGTGGGAAGATAACGAGCTGTTCTTCCTGAGGTCAGAGGACAGGGTAAAATCACTTTCCAAAAGGTGTGGCTAGGTCTTATTAACAGCCTTTATGAGTGACAATTATTACTTGGGAATGTCAGACCTGAAAACCATGTGTTTAAGTGACCGTGTTGAGAGATTCATGTTATTTGTGCAGGAGAATTTCCAGACACTGTCAGGGGCCCAATCCTGGGTGGCTTAGACCGAGTGATGCGTTTGACTTCCTTCCTTTTCCTTTGGAGGTAACAAAGGATGAGAAAAAAAAATACCAAGCCAAGTGTGCTCCTCCACTGCCTCTCCTTAGTGAGCCCCCTCTGCCTTAGCCAAGGGGGATCTCCCCGCATGCTCCCCTTCACTCTGGCCACGCCTCACTTTCTCTCTGGGGTCCTCTCACCTGGCTGCCCTCGTCCCCAGTGGCATCTTCTTCCTCAGCAGTTGCTGTTTGTACCGTGTGTGTCCTGCTGGACCCCACTCGAGTCCGTCTGCCCTACCAGGCTTACCTGGATCCCTTTTCCCTGGGCTCTGTTCCCGGGCTTCTCTCCAGACGTGGTCTTTCCACCATGCGTGGTTGTGAATGTGTTTGCTTATCTTCCGTGGATCATGATTTCCAGAAACTGAGCTGTTCATCTGATTCTTGCCTGTTTCCAGTGCCGCAGTTGATACCTAGTAGAACCGAGTAGATGATAAAGAATTGAATGAGGACGTGTAAGGGGTTGCAGCTTGAGGGAACACCAGTAGAGGCGCGAAAATTTGCCTCAAGTCAGAAGGCTGACCAGGTAACCATTGAGACCATCAGAGATGGCTGCTCCAGTGCCAGGATGAGCCAGCAGTTATTTTTTCCCCCCAGTTCACAATGCAGTGGGGACCTCCAGCCTCTCATGGGCTTTCCCGACTTTTATCTGGGCTTCTCCTCTCCCGCCAGTGTCTGTGCTTCACGTATCCCCTCTTGCTGTTTTTGGGAGTCAGCTTGGTGGTTAGAAGCAGAAGGACACGGTAGAAGGCCTAGAGCCTGCCTGTGCCCTGCTGCCTGGCGCCCGAGAGAGGCCTGGGCACAGCGGGTAAGCATGAGCTCTGGGTGGAATCCTGGTGCAGTGCTTTACCGGGTGTGTGACCTTTGAGCAAGTTGCTTCCTTATGCAGAAAATCAAATCTCATCAATCCAGCGGGAGAATGTGCTAGGCGCTTTGTGTGGTGCTGAGCACTTCCTAAGCCCTCACTTCCACCGTGGTTAACTTGCCTGTGTCTCCTTTCCTTCCGCTTCAGATGGTTCCAGACCTTGATCCACCTGTTAAAGGGCAACATTGGCACAGGACTCCTGGGATTGCCTCTGGCAGTGAAAAATGCAGGCATCTTGGTAAGGGTCTGTACGGTGCAGCAAAGTCTCATGCCAGGTTTTAGGAGGGAGTGTTTTAGTTTTTGATTATTTCACTTAAAACACTATATGTTAGAAAGCTGCTGCTTTTTTTTAAATTCAGCCAAAAAAGCAAACTGGAGCTGTCCATTCCCCTAAAGATGTTTAGTAAGGGCTGTCTGTGAGCCAGGCACTAACAGGCTGTCGGACCAAAGTCCCTGTCCCCTGCCCCCCCAAAAGTCCTTGTCCCCAGGGAGCTTGCTTTGTGGTGGAGAGCACACACTCGAAATGGGCCAGGCAGTTCTGTCGATAATGTGAACTGATGAGCTGACAGATAGCTGCCCATTTTCTCTGTCCCCTAGCCCTGCCCCTCAGTGAGACACGTGACCTCTCCTTAGGATTCATCTAGATGGCCTGCCCAAAGCTGTTCTGGTGCAGATATATGGCTGGTCCTCTGCTAAGTGGCTCTTCCCCCACATCCCTTCTCCCTAGAGCCCCGGGATCTTCAGTCCTGCCAAATGCAGCAGTCTCCGTAGGGACTTGCTTGCATCCCTGTCCCCCTTGGGGCTGCCTCCCTGGAAGCCAGCGAAGTCTGTGTGCACGCCCCCCTCCCAGAGCATGTCTCCATGATCGTGCTTCTCTCCTGTGGGCCAGGGGTCTAGCCCCGGACAGCACTGAGTAGCGTTTTAGTCACCTGTAGGTCGAGTTTCCTTTGGGCTTCCCTCTTAACCCCGCCTGTTTCTGTCTCCTCTCCTTTCTGCAACGCCTGTCCCAGCTGGGTCCCCTCAGCCTGCTGGTGATCGGCATTGTGGCCGTGCACTGCATGGGCCTCCTGGTGAAGTGTGCGCGCCACTTCTGTCACAGGTGAGTGCCCTGATCTGCCCCCCGGGGGACAGGCTGTTACCTTTGGCTTCTTTCCCAGCCCTGGAAGCAGGAATGCACGCAACTTGCGCTCCGTTCTTCTTCCCACGGTGGGAGGATGGCTGCTCAGTATTGAAGCCCAGTGCACATCGCTTAGTAAACTTCCCCAGGTCCAGTGCGTAGAGGCTGCGCTGGAAGTTCATGTGCTTTACAGGGCTCCTGCCACTGAAGTGGTTCTCTAGGTGGTTGTGAAAGGACCTGACCCATGGATCTGGATCTAGCTCTTGGGGTCCTGAGAGCACCACATGGGAGGCTCGGGAGTGGCACCCCCGGGGGCGAGCGGTGAGGAACTGGCCTAGGTCTCAGAGTCTCCGTTAGTTCTGTCACTGTCACTAACTGACACACTCTCCCTTCCTCTGTTTTTTCCCCCCTCCCAGACTGAACAAACCCTTTGTGGACTACGGTGACACCGTGATGTATGGTCTAGAATCCTGCCCCAGCCCCTGGCTCCGGAACCATGCCCACTGGGGAAGGTAACTGGTTTCCTGTTTCCTTTCAGCCGTGGCCTCCCAGAGTGGAGGCCTTCAGATAAGGGTGTGGGGACCAGGGCAGCAGAAGGGAGTGTTGTTTGGGTCAGCTCTGCTGCTGGAGAGCTGTGTGACCTTGGGCCGTGTGTCCCTTTTCTTCTCTGGCCTCAGTTTTGGGGCCTGGCCTAGAAGATCTCCCCTGACCATTCCAGCTTTGACAGTCTGTGGCCAGCGATCATGTGTGATTCCCTCATTTGCCCAGAAAATGTGTTTTATTTTATTGTATTTTTTTTGTGGTACTGGGGACAGAACTCACAACCTTATACTTGCCAGGCAGGGGCATATGCCACTGAGCTAAATCCCCAGCCCCAGCAAATGTATTTTAAACACAGCCTGTAAGTGGACCAACAGTTCTAGGTCGGGAAGAAAGATGGCCTGGGATAAAACAGTCCCACCCTCCCAGAGTTTCTGCCCAGGGTAGAGAGAAGCATCCACAGGTAAGGTCGTCTGTTAGGGGTGGGGAGCGTGAGGGATGGGACAGACATCTGGGGCCTCAGGGGAGGAGCGTCAGCGTTGCTCAGGCCTGGCCCGTGCTCAGGGGAGCACACAGAGAAGGGAGAGCAGGAGTGGGCAGGAGACAGCCTGGGAGCAGTGAGAGTGTCTGTTTCCTCCTCGCAGTGACTTTCCAGATGCCCGCAGGGACCTGCACTACTCTTGTTCCCTATAGCTCCACGTCGAGGACAGATGCCATTGAGGGCTGAATCTTTGTTCTGTTTTGTTCAACTGAACCACTTAAAGCCATGTTCTCTAGAGTGAAGTTCCTTTTGGGGGGTCAGAGAAGAAACGTAGCTTTCGTCTCTGAGTCAGCTTTGTCCTGTGATGCAGATTCTGTCACTGCTTTTTTTTGTACCGGGGATCGAACTCACAGCCTTGCGCTTGCCAGGCAGGCGCTTGTGCCGCTGAGCTACATCCCCGGCCCTCTGTCACTCTTTTGGCAGAGTCCTTTCCTGTTGATTGTGAGAAGCCAGACAGGCAGGTGCCCATTGTGAGTGAGCTGGTTGCTTGTTAATCCTTCCTGCCTCCTCCTCTGCCTGTGCTTCCAGTACCCTCCCTTTTCATAAAATGTGTTCTCATAGGAAAAGCATTTTTTTAACAAGACAGAAGGACATAAAGTTAAGAGTAAACACTTTTACACAGTTACATATGGGTACCCTTTTGGAACTTTCTGTATGTTTGTGAACATTCATATGTTCTGCAATGTTTTTTACGTTGGGAGATTTGCTTTTCCCCCTTATGTGTCTGAGATAGTTTTCTCTATCAGCGCATGTAGATTTAACCGTCTTCCCAGTGCCCCATTGAGGAATGGTCCATGGCTTAACTGCTTTCCTCTGGTGGCCCTGTAGGTTGTTGGCAGCTGTTGTGTAACTGTGCCCTCACCGGAGTTATCCAGGTGCCTTTATTTCTTTGTATTTAGATCGGTTTTGGATACAGGTTAGAGGAAGAGCCTATGAAGATTGTTCTTCTGGGTCTTTTATTTCAGAGTCTCCCTGTGGCTTTAAGAAGCAAAGGCCTGAGATGGGGCAGGTGGGCAGTGGGGAGAGAGGAGGCCAGGGGCTGTGACAATTCCCTGACCTCGTGCTGAGTTCTAGATAGGAAACTGGGAAAGGGACCTCGGGACCACACACGTAGAGCTTCTCTCCTTCCTCCCAGAGCTTCAGGCTGGTGGCGCAGACACAGGTCTTCCCCTTCTGGGACATGCTTGTCCTCGTCCTATTGGGGAGGACCCGTGATGACTTTAAGAGCACTTGGGAAGCACCCGTCTCCCTGCGAGGCCACCATCTGCATTGTGATGATCTTACCTGTTCCCTCCCCTCTCCAGGCGCATAGTGGACTTCTTCCTGATCGTCACCCAGCTGGGATTCTGCTGTGTCTATTTTGTGTTTCTGGCTGACAACTTTAAACAGGTAGGATCCTGATCAAAGAGAAAGAATAACAAGAGATATGTCAAATTTCTAGTTAGGATTCCTGCTAAGCTAATTTTGGTCCCCAGAAGAGTTAAAAGGTTTTAGACTTTATAGACTACAGTTCCTCTTATTTGACTCTCAAGTCTAGAGCACAGAGATACCCCAAAATGTCTTGTCTACCCTTCTGTCTTAGGTGAGATGCGCTCGAACCCGGGTGCTAACGAGAACCGTGGAGCTCTTCAGGGAAGATTCCCAGCCCACGGGTGTCGCAAGCCTTGTTTGTACCCTGGAGCCTTCATCAGGGCTTCTTCCCACCAGACACCATCGGCTTCGTTGGCAGGGTTTTTCTTTCTGCCCTTCGTTCTAGGTGATCGAAGCCGCCAACGGGACCACAAACAACTGCCACATCAACGAGACGGTGATCCTGACACCCACCATGGACTCGAGGCTCTACATGGTCACCTTCCTGCCCTTCCTGGTGCTGCTGGTCTTCATCCGGAACCTCCGGGTGCTGTCCATCTTCTCCCTGCTGGCCAACCTGAGCATGCTGGTCAGCCTGGTCATGATCTACCAGTTCATAGTCCAGGTATGAACCCGAGCCCTCCCTGGCCTGTGAAATACCTGAGAGACAAAACGAGGAAGTGGAATGTAAGCAGTTACCTGTTACCTGCCTGTGGCCTATTTAGATTAAGAGTTCTTAGTGTCAGCACTGTTGAGATTTTGGGCCAGGTAATTTTTTTTTTTTTTTTTTTTTGTAGGCAATAGAGGAAACTATTCCCCAAGTTGTGACAATCTGACATTCCCTAGATGTTGTCCAGTGTCCTGGGGAGATGCCTTTAGTCGCCCGTGTTGCAATCGCTGGTTTTGAATTTTTTGATTCAATTCTCAGTGCATGATTAGTGCACATGATTGGAAAACAGGGGGTGGGGGAAAAATGAAGATCAAAATAGAAATGGATTTTTCTAATCTGTGTTTCCATAAGGTAATTCTTTACCGACTCTAGTTTTGCATTTACTTCTCAAAATTACAAATCAGCTCGTGGTTTGCACCGCTTGCTCAGCCTGGCGAGCGGGTCTGCGGGCCAGTGGGGGAGGGAGGGCATCTGAACATCAGTGAGGGGACCAGGTGTGAGCAGGCCGCGCTGGATGGCTGGGGGAAAGATGATGCACTGCACCAAGATTCAAGAGAAGGAAAAGAAGTAAAGGTAGGCAAATAACAGCATAACGTAAAGGAAAGATACTTATATGTCACTTCCTGTGAACTCACATCAGTTCCTGTTCATTAACGTGCAGACCACACAAAGCTGCTGAATGCCCATCTGTGCGCTGATGGTCTCCTCAGATGCGCCTGCTGTGTGAGTGGCCGGATGGGTCCTAGAGCTCATGGAGACATTGTGTGATTATGGTGTACAGGCAACACATTAAACAAAAATATATTTTTAAAACAATATGTAGAAGTTACCTGTAGAGTTCATTTAAGTGTTTTCTCTGTCGCCAGTGCGTCACAGAACTCTCCGAGTCAGGCGCTGTGGTGCCAACCTGTAATTCCACTGCTCCGAGGCTGAGGCAGGAGGATCAAAAGTGTGAGACCAGCTGGGTGGCTTTGAGACCCTGTGTCAAGATAAAAAGGGCTGGGCTGCCGCGCAGTGTGAGAGCACTTGCTTAGCATGCACGTGGCTCTGAATCCAACCCCCAGTGCCGTGGGAAAAAAATCTCTCCAGGTTGACAAGCCTGGCTCTCCTCACTCTTCAGCTGCTCCCTAGAAACAGAGAACAGATGTGGAGCAGGTCATTTAACCGGACCACCAGTGGGCAGTGGGCTCCTCTCTGCGGCCGCGGAGATGTTTGTCTGAAGGCACAGTTGCGGAGGAGCGTGCACTTCTGCCTGCTTTCCACCGCCCACTGGCGCTCTCCAAGGCCGCCAGCTGCTTTCGTGTCCATGGCCTTCCACGCTGGGCACACCTCTGCTTTTCTACCCCAGCCAACTCTGGCTGCTCAGCCCAGTTAATCGTGATCATCCTGACAGTGAGCACTGCCTCGTTGTTACACAGTGACCCAGTCACTACCAGTGTGGCTCCTGAGGGATCAGCGGGTCCCAGGAAGCAGGGCCTCTGTGCCCTGAGGGAACTGTGTAATGAGTTCAGATTAAATTGTCCCCAGTGGACGTGCGCTGAGGCTTCCTTGCCACGGTTAGTCAGATGGGTGGCAGATACAGACCCTTCTGCAGAGGAGAACTCTGTCTTTTCTCTCCTGTGCCAGAGATAAACCATGTTTGAGAGTTTGTTGCCTAATGCCAAGCTCCTGGCTCCTGTGCGTGTGCCTCATAGGGGGCAGGTCATGGTCCCCCAGCTGAGTAGGTCGCCCCATCTTCATGGCTCGGTTCTGGGCCCAGAGCCTTGCCCACAAGTACGTCTCCTAATTCTGAGATGTGTTTTTGCACAGTTATGCTGATTTCAAAATTAGAATATATTTTCATCTATATGTATAGGTTATGGCATGTTCTTAAAAAGCTTTTTTAGAATTGATAGTGTAGTAGAATTGAGGAGATAACGCTAATAATGAGCTATTTTAATTTGCATGTTTTTTCCTATTTAGTTGGTTAGGTTGTGAATCAGTAGCAGCATTAAGTAGGTAGAGTTTATACATTGCTTCTGTATGTGTATGTGTGTCGTTCTGCAGTTCAGGCCAGCCGTGGGCTCACTTTGTAGCTCAGGCTGGTCTCCAACTTGCAGTGATTCTCCTGCCTCAGCCTCCCGAGTTCTGGGATTATAGGCTTGTACCACCAGGCCCAGCAACACTTTGCTTCTGTTGGTCCCATTCACACAGCGTCCTAGAAGATATGAGTCGTGAAACTCCCTCTCTGAACCCTCAGTCTGATCTGATGTACGAACCTGGACAGGTTCACCCCTCACCCACAGAAACACCTGTTTCCAGGAACTTCCGTTTCATTTGTGACTCAGGAATAATTAGAGGCAATCTCACTCTCGTGTGTCATTGTAGAGGAATAATACCTATTAGTCTGTCTTGGTTCTGGATGCTAAAGTGTGTGTTGTAAATAAACAAGTCTGATTTCTGAGCTGGGCCCCATAAAAAGCATGGCTTTTTCTTGTCCTTTTTTCCTCCCAGAGACTACAGTATAGTTGTTTTAAAGTCTTTTAGAGACTCTTGCCCCAGAGGTTAGTAACAGAGCTCCTTTTGTTCACCTACGGTTATTCCATCACGCTGTTAGAGCATGCCCCATCCATGTCTAAGGACCGGTGCAGAAGCAGTAGTTTTGTTTCCTGAAGTCCAATGTGGAAAGCAGGGCAGCTGCTTCTGGCACTGCTGGGAGGTGGAGCGTAGTGGGAGGAAATTAGACCTGGGGAAGTAATGTTGAAGAGCTGCTGGGACCCCAGCTCCTCCTCCTCCCTCTTTGCTTCCTGGCTGCCATGAGGTGAGCAGCTTTGCTCCCACGTGTGCTCTCACCATGGTTTGCTGCCTCACACCAGGCCCAAAACAACAGAAGCAAACAGCTGTGGACGGAAATCACTGAAACTGAGGTGAAATAAGGCTTTTTCCCTTATTTGTTGTTTGTTTCAGGTATTTTATCTCAGTGACTAATACAATAGTTCAGTCAGTTTTAAGCCAGGCGTGGTGGTGCACCCCTGTAATTCCAGCACTTGGGAGGCCGAGGCGGGAGTATTGTTACAGGTTTGAGACCAGCCTGGGCTACAAAGTGAGCTCAAGACCTGCTTGAATTACATAGTGAGACCCTGTCTCAAAAAGACACACAAAAAAAATCAGTTTTAAAACATGATGTCTTGGTCTGTTTCCTGTTATTGCAACAGAGTAACCACAACTGGACAGTTTATGAAGAAAGGGAGTTTGTTTAACTCATGGTTCTGGAATGTGAAAAGCCTGGATAGTGGTGAGGCCCTCGGCTGCTCCTGGCATGGTGGCAAAGTGGAAGGGCATGCCATTGTGTGTGCAGGAGACCAGACAGGGCACAGCGCACTTTCTAGTGCCCTCACAGTAGCTGACCTAGGTCCCTGAGAGTGAGGACTTATTTATTCCCTGATGAGAATGAGAAAGGAGGCATTCGTGCCTTCAAAGACCTCTCAAAGGGTGCGGTGTGATCACAGTGTCACTCAGGGTCCAGCCTGGGCTTTGGAGGGGACAGGTGCACACAGTGCACTGGGAAAAGCAGTTTTAAAGTCAGTTTTTCCTTTACTCTCCACAGAATGTGTGCACCGGTTTAAAAGCCATTTTCTAGTAGGACTGCAGCTCCTGAACCACTCCTACCCACTGGTCCTTTGCACGTCTGTTGTCAGTAACCACCGTTCAGTGTGAACCAAGCAGTGTCGCGGGCCTGTGGCTCCTTCTGCTGCAGCCCTTCAGCCCTCCTTTGTGCCTGCACTAACAGTTGCTCTCATTCCCCCTTTTTTCTAAGGACTGAACCCAGGGCCAATGCCCTGAGCTGTGCCCCAGCCCTTTTTATTTTGGGACAGGATCTCACTTAAGTTACCTGCACAGGCTTGAAGTTGCAATCGTCCTGCCTCAGGCTCCCAGAGTGCCAGCCTTGCAGGAATGCACCACCATGCCCAGCTACCAGTTGCCTTTTTATTTGTTTATATTTTAATGTTCTTTTTGCTGTGTTTCCCCCAGTGTTTCCCAACACACTTTTCATGTGCTTCTCAATATTTTCCAAATGTGCAGTAATAAGAACTGTAGAAGTAATAAAACCCAAAATGTGTAATTGTCATTGTACAAAAGAAAAGAAAAGAAGGTGCCCTAAAGGTTATAACTGCATATATGTTTGAGTGTATAAGATGGATAACCATATTACTGAGTTTTGTTGGATCATTGAACAAAACTGTTTGCACTCTCACTGTTTGAAAGTCCACTTTATATGCTTTAATTTTGTAACTTGAACAACTATTTCTAAGATGAGAATATGTAATCTATTAACTAGTGATTTCTTACTATTTATATTTTAAATTTTGCATTACTTGTACCCTTTCTCTGTTTTTTTCTTTTTCTCCTTAAATAAAAAAAAATTGGCAGACTGAAAAAAATATATATATTTTCCAAATGTGAAATCTCATTGCCAAGAAAAAAATAAGAAACACAAAGCCTGGCATGGTGGTGCACACCTGTGGTCGCAGCTGCTTGGGAGGCTGAGGCAGGAGGACGTACTTTGAGCCTAGCTTGGGTGACTTAGACTGTGTCTCCAAAAAATAAAAATAAAAATAAAAAAGACTGGGGTTGTAGTTCAGTGGAGAGCATGTCTAATGTGTGAGGCTGTGGTTCAACTCCTTGGACTACAAAACAGAAAGAGAAAGAGAGGAAGGAAGACAGAGAGGGTGAAAAAGGAGCAGAGCTGATCTTAAATTTTACCTGCTCTCCTTCCAGCTTTATTTACACGGGGCGTTTGTGTGCCAGAGCTGGATGATGATGTAAATTTAGCGGTATTTGTTCAATGTGATTTCCTAAGCAGTTTCCCACTTTCTACCTAGTTACCACTGTACCCTTTTAAAACACTATATACTGTTCTGTGATGCACTCAGTGTATGGTTATTTTCTTAGCTTTTGTTTGGGAATATTTAAAATGGAGGTTTTTTTCAGTTTGTCATTTTTAGGCAACTTTCACCATCTTTAGGTATTTTTGTTTGCATCCAATGGTAACAGTCTCTTGTCAGCTGTCGGGGCCTCTCCCTCGCTGGAAGCTTGGAGTTAGGGGAAGGTCTGGCCTCTTTCAGTAGCCCTTCACTTGTCCTGTTCATCTCTTCCAGGGGATCCCGAACCCCAGCAACCTCCCCTTGGTGGCGCCCTGGAAGACCTACCCGCTGTTCTTCGGCACGGCCATTTTCGCCTTCGAAGGCATCGGAGTGGTAAGAGCCGGGCCGCGCTGCGCTCCTGGGACGTGAGCCTGATGGCTGGTGGCTGTCGGGTTAGGGGAGGGAAAGTGCTTTGTCCACCCCGACCGTGGCAGTGTCCCACGGGGTTTGATTTATTAATAGTGTCACTGAGTTTGTTACTGAATCATGAACCAGTGAGTGGATGCCTCTACCCGGAACATGGGTGTGCTGTGCTTTCTCTGTGTAAATAGTATTTCACTCCTGGCCTGGCTTCTCGCCCTCACTGCTGCGACTTCCAAATTCTTTGCCTCCAGGGGGCCTCCGCTCAGCTTCAGTTATTTTGATTTTCACTTGTATTTTTCATAGTGGCTCAGATCGCTTTGATAGAAAGTTCTCTGCTGGCTAGCGGTTCTGAGAATGAGATAACTCTTCTCCTTTCCCGGCATTTCTTTCTCTCCTCATCTGATTTCACTAATACTTTATTTTACTCAAAAAAAAAAAAAAAAATCTGCTGGGTGTGGTCCTAGCACTCAGGAGGCCGAGGCAGGAGGGTTGCCATGAGTTCCAGGCCAGCCTCAGCTGCATAGTGAGACCCTGCCTCAAAAAAACCAAAACAATAGCAACAATAAAACAAAACCCCTAAAACCAAGACAAATTTCTTTTAGTCACATTGCCGAGAAATCAGGTGAGCATCGTCTGCGGGAGGTGTTAAGGCTGTGATTGTTTAGGGGAGGCTCTGCAGGAGATGGCGTCCCAATCCCTGGTCCTCCTGAGGTTTACCTTTCCCCTTGGGCATTCCGGGCACCCCTCGTAGCCTGTGAGGACTGCCTCACCTGACTCACCCTGGGTTTCTGCTCCTGGGTCAGAGGCTGCGTGGGCCCAGGAAGCCAGGACTGGAGCGAAGGGGTGGAGACGGGCGGGGAGGTGCCCGGGACCCTTTGTGAGCGGTGCTGCTCACGCTGGTATCAGTTTTCCCCTGTAGCCGCTGTTCCTGGCTTCATTTCCTCAGCCAAGCTTGGGTGCAGCATCGTTCCGTAAACATTCCTGATGCCTCCAGCCCTGCCTGTCTTTTCCACTGGGAGGACAGACAGCCCTGCTGTTCTGAGTCCTTTCCTAGGGTGAAGTCTGGGTGGAACACCGTCAGCCGGCCTGCTGTCCTGGGCCTGCTGTGGCAGGAGATGTGCCCCTGCCTGTCTGTGGCAGTTCTGGTGGGAAAGACGCTACCCCAGAGCTGAGAAGCTGTTTGTGCTTGCGTGAGGCTCAGCTGAGGCTTGAGATCCTGCAGCCGAGGAAGAGGCAGACACTGCAGACGTGAGGAACTGCAGAGCCTGCCATCCTTCGGTGGCAGTGCCGTGCATGGTGTGGGGTGAGGTGTAGACCACTACTCCTCCCAGCCACGGGCACCGCAGGACAGCACAGAGCCAGCAGGCCGAGTTGACTGTCACTGTGCCGTAGCCGGGCATGTGCTTTCACAGGGGCCATTGCTTTAGCCAGAATTGAAGATGCCCCCGGTGTGACCAAGAGGCAGAGGCATCTGGGAACCAGGCTCAGGGTAGCACCTGAGTGTCCTCTGGCCCTCGGTTAAGTCATGCTGTGACCACCACCTCAGTTTCTGACTTGGAGGTTGAACTCGTCACCACAGGAGGCCACCCCATGGGGGTTGGGGGTGGTTTCGGGGGGACAAGCGTGGCCATCTCTGCTGGCCTGTGTTTCGAATTTTGAGCTGGGTGAGTGGGAGCTGCTGGCTCAGGTTTGGCTGGAGGCCTGCAGTGAGGAGCCGGCTGGTGGGTTGTCACATGTACTGTCCCCCTAGTGACAGGAAGGCAGGGCTGGCCCAGGCCAGGGGCCCTGGGCTCTTGGCCAGCCCCTCCTGACCTCTCAGGGCTTCCTGGTGTGCCAGCCGAGTGCTGGGTCCCTTCTGGTCCTGAGAGTGTCATTTCTGATGCAGTAACTCAGTCTTGTTTGTTAGCCAGTCTAGGAAAGGAAGGTGACCTTTTGGAGGATTCTGGGGCTAAAGAAGTGACTCTTTTTAACCCCTTGACAATACTTCGTAGGCTGTTAATTTTCCTTTCCCTGTGTTTTCTCTCCTCTCTTCTCTCTCTCCCCAAGGTTCTGCCTCTTGAAAACAAAATGAAGGATCCACAGAAATTCCCGCTTATCCTGTACCTGGGCATGGCCATTGTCACCGCCCTCTACATCAGCCTGGGGTCCCTGGGCTACTTGCAGTTCGGAGCCAGTATCCAAGGCAGCATCACCCTCAACCTGCCCAACTGCTGGTATGTGGGAGGGCTGGAAGCGCGGAGCAAGGCTGTCTTAAACAGTGTGGGGGCCGGAGGTGGCGGACCCTTGCTCTTCAGCCAGCCCGCTCCCTTCTCGTGCTGGCCTTGGCTGCCCTGCTCCTGGACGGGCCCCCTGGGGACTCACGCCAGACCCCTGGGCTGATAGCACGTTTCTCCTGGGAAATCCTGAGCCCAGGCGGGCAAAGTCCTCCCCGCTTACCTTAAGCTGTTCCAGATCGCTGGTGAGAGAGGAGGGCAAGGCTGGTAACTTCTGAAGCATCCCTTCCTCAGCGGTCACAGGCAGACGAACAGGTGGCCCACACTGTGGGCGGGGCGCACCGGAAGTCCTTGGTCTCTAAGTGGTGATGATGTCCTGTGGGGCAGCGCTGAGGCATAGCGAAAGGCCTTCTGGAAAGGCAGATGTCAGCTGGGTCTGGTGGCGCATGACTGATCCCAGCTACTTGGGAAGCTAAGGCAAGAGGATGGCAGGTTTATTTACCAGTCTCAGACTCCATCTCAAAATTTAAGAAAACAAAAAACCCAAACGGGCCAGGAATATAGCTCAGTGTGAAATTCCTGGTTCTCATACAAGACAGACAGAAAGACAGATAGAGCTGGTGAAATATCATTGCCCAGCACTGTAAAAATAAAACAAGGAGAGGTGACACAGAGAGGGTGTTGGCTGCAATTCTCTCTGAAGATTAAAGTCTCACCATAGAGAGTGGCTGTTTAGGGAGAGTGAGAAGCTTGTCAGCGTCCAAAGAAATCAAAATAAGGTTTCAGGGCAGCCTGGCTGGTCTGCCCGTGCATGCTGGTCAGTCTTCGGTTGAGGAAGGAGAAGGCTGAGAACGTTTGTAGTCCTCAGTGCGTAGCCCGGGATGCCTCGTCAGCACCTGTGCCGAGGCGGGCCACTCCGAGATGAGGTGACCCTGCCGGCCCATGAGGCTGTGGTAGGACAGGGCTACAGTGCAGTGGGAAGATCCGCTCCTACCTGGGGGTCCTGCCTGGCTGCCATCTCATTCTAGGGAGCCCCTAATCAGACAGGAAGAATAGAAATAGGTGTGTTACATTTAATTGTATTTTTCATTTTGACTTTGAAAGTTTATCTGCCCTGGGGATTAGGACAGACTCCCAGGAGTTCAGCAGGTATGCAGGGAATATTTGGGTTTCGCTGCCCCCAGCAGAGGCAGCCATACTTCTGCCGCCTTATGGTTCCTGCTGAGCTGTGGAGCTCCTGTGTGCGGGTCCTGCGTGCACGCAGAGGGCGCATCCCTCTCCTGTGCTGAGACGAATCGTAGCACCCAGGAGACACGACTGCTACATGCTATGTTCACACGGTAGCACAATGTACAGACAGCTCTGTGTCAGTGCCTGGGTTTTGTGTCATACTTTATTTTTGTCTTTGAGACAGGGTCTTGCTGTGCAGTTCAGGCTGGCCTTGAGCTCATTTTGTAGCCCAAGCTGGTCTTGAACTTAGAAAGTTCATCCTGTCTCAGCCTCCAGAGTGCCCAGCCTTGCACTGCAGTTTTTAAGAGCCACATCGGGACACCATGATTTATTTAGCCGATGCCCCACTTTGTATCGTGTTTTTAATCCCTCCTCCTTCAATACTACTGCAAGTGCAATACTTTGAACCCGTGTTTTTGTGCACATGTGCAAGTGCCCCTGGGAGAGAAATTCCCAGCAGGAGTTGCAGGGTCCAGGACTGCCTGTGAGGGCCGTTCTCCCTACCCTCCACCCGGGGTCTGGGCCGTAGCTGGCTGCTGGAAGCTCCGCCCTCTCTGCAGGCTGTACCAGTCAGTGAAGCTGCTCTACTCCATTGGGATCTTCTTCACCTATGGGCTGCAGTTCTACGTCCCGGCTGAGATCATCGTCCCCTTCTTCGTGTCCCGGTCGCCGGAGAACTGCAGGCTGCTGGTGGAGCTGGTGGTGCGCACCTTGATGGTGTGTCTGACCTGTGAGTGCCGTGTCTCGCTTCCCTCAAAGGCTGCCCAGTGCCCAGGGGTCTCGGGAGGGCGGGTGGGTGGGTAGGTGAACCCCTTCATAGGGGAGGGGAGCCGCCCGTGCAGGGGGGCGGAACCCACACACGCTCCCTTCCCACGAGGCCTGTGCAGGTGGTGAAGCGAGGGCTCTCAGGGCGCGGGGAGGAGACAGAAATGTTTTCTAGGAAATGTTCCTTCACCTAGACGTTTCATTTATCTTTTGTGTCTTATTCCCTTTTCCCCAACCACATGCCCAGGGCTGTGAGTTAAAAAGAATGTCACCTTATTTACTCTTTGTTGAAAACTGATAGAAATTAGTTTAAAAAAAAAATAGCAATTTGTTCTTGTTGCTTCTATGATTTCTTGGATGAGGAAATCCCTGAAAAAAGGGTCCATAATACGTAATTTAAATACTCCAGGAGGTTCACAGTTGTTTTCCACATGAAGTGCTCGATGTATGTATGTATCATTTTGGGCATTCTTACTGTAGGTTTTATTCTTTTGGGGCAAGAACCTCTTGCTTGGTATGTTGAGACTCCCCTGGGAATTTCCTCACTCAGTCCCAGTCCCTTTGGGATAAAGATCGGTCTTTACGATTTCTGTTTGAACCTGAGATGAGTATTTTAGTGAAGGCTGATACAAATGCCCTCTATCATTTGCTCCCAGTCCGGGAAATCAGAAATGACTGTATTGGTTGTCAGCAGGTGAAAGGCAGGAAGGGGCTGCCTGTCCCTCTTACCCTGAGCAGGGTACCAACACTGTCCCCTGGAGAACCTGTTTGGGCCGTTCCGTTCTTAATTTGTACAGTTCCGTTCTTAGTTTGCTTCTAGCATAGTTGGGGGAACCATGGTGTCCTGGGTCTGTGTGTGGGAAGAACTCACCGGAACTAAGGAGGTGAAGGCTCCTGGGACCTCCACAGTTCAGTGTGCAATTTCCTCAGGGTCTCTTGTAGGGTGGGCAAAGGTGGGGATGGGGATGGTGTGGGCATAGCTCAGGACTCCTCCCTGGGGCTCTTATTTGGCCCACAAGGCAGCTAAGTCACGCTCATAGCGACTGGCAAAAGAAAGGAACACGGCATGTTGCTTCTGCAGGACTGTGTTAGTAAGAGAGGGTGTCTGCACTGTAGACTTCGCCTGTGCCAGCTGCTGCTGGTGCTTTGGTTCAGACGTGTGTATGTTCGCTTGTGTGCCACAGCTTCAGGGCCCGAGGGGACAGTGTCCATGTGGACAGCAGCTTGTGTCGCGATTCTAGAATTGAAAGGTGTTGGTAGTTCAAAGAATGTACTGTTCTTCAAAGTGGTTCCTATGGGAAAAGTAGGTCTGTCTAGCCAGCATGCTTCGATTGACCGAGCTTCACCTTCCCCTGCCTGAGGAGTGGTGCTGGGATGTGGGTGCCGGGCCGGACTCTCCTCCCTGCTCTGTTCCCTTTGCCCGCCTGGCTCAGCCTTCTGATGCATGCATTTGCTTATGTCATGCCCCGCAGGAGGCCGAGGTCCCTGCTGCAGCAGACCTCTGGCTGTCTTTAAACACCTCCTAGGCTTTTCCTTCATGGGGCTGGCATTCCCTGCAGTCTCGCCTCCCCTCTGCAGAGTGATGCGCACGAGGCAAGGCTGCTTTTGATCTTCAAGCCCAGGCGGCTGTCTTTCCTTCCTGTGATCTGCTATGACTGCATTAAAGAAGGCAGCCCTTCATCTCTGAGAGCTCCCTGGCCCCTGCTGCCTTCCCTGGAGACTTTGAAAGGATTGTGGCAGTCAGGCGGGGCCTTTCAGGCAGTGTCAGCTGAAATGTATGGGTGTGAGTTCATTTTGTCCTTGCTTCCCTGTTGTTCCAGGTCTTTTGGCACAAGGTCTGTGACAAATCTTTGATACAATGATTATGTTCAGTTACGCTCACGCATCCCAATGGCAGCTTGAGTGATTGCTGTTTCTGCCATTTGTCTTTTCCCCAGCCTTTTCTGTCTCCAAGGGGAACAGGAGGGCTTGGGTCCAGCCTCAGTCCCCCAGCCCTCTTCTTCCAGCTCAGCGCCCTCACTAGTCTCTTCAGCCCTCGGAGATTACTGTAGCCGATGCCGACTTTCTGTTGCTCAAGTTTGGTCGGTTGGAGAACAAAGGAGGGGAAAACATTCAGAGGATGGTGCTCATTGTGCAAGCAAACGGGACGGCTTTCTTTCGGCTCACAGGTGTGCCAATGCGGATGTAGCGGGTTGCCTAATGAGTGGAACTTGTGTAGGAAGAGACCCCAGGAGACGCCAGCCTCCCCGGGGGAGTCAGGAGGTGTCATATAAATACTTCCCACTGGATGCCATGTGGCACTGACCTGTCCTTCATTGGTCCTCAATTCTTGGTGGCATTTGCCGTGTGAAACCTTCTGCATCACATAGGTTTGAGATCAGGAGCCCATCATAGAAAATGTAACGTAAAGCCCTGTCTGCTTTGAGGCCTGTGCAGACCGGAATGCACAGCCTCAGAGCATTCTGAGCAGAGTCAGTGAGAGCAGGACTCTCCACACCGACAGGCTTCTCACCCAGTGATGGCCTCCCAGCTGCAGTGGTCAGAAGGAGCCTCATTAACCACCTGCACGACTCTGGGATGCTTCCCTGGGACCTGCAGGGGCCTCAGATCCCTCACTGTGAAACAGGAAGTACTGTGATCGCTGAGGTTGCCCCGGTGTCCAAGTTCTGGGGCTTGGTTTTAAATTTCTCCATAAAGTATTGCTGTAAGAAAGGAAAGCCCCTGGTACCGATTAAAAAAAGAAAAAAAAAAAAGAAAAAGGGCTGGGGATTTAGCTCAGTGGCATAAGTGCCTGCCTTGCAAGTGTGCGGGTCATGAATTCAATCCCTGGTACTGATAAAAAAGAAAAAGACAAAAATAAAGAAAGAAAGGAAAGCTAATGTAAAGACATTTGGGGCCCAAGCAGTTCTCAGTGCCCCACTGACCTAACAGAGTCATTTTTATTTTGCGTTTTATTTTTGTCTTAACCCTCACTGGCACATTGTAAAAGTATTTGCAGTCATGTGCTATGTGTAACTTTGATCTCATTTTATTTATTAGCACGAATATGTGCATATTCTTTAATATTTGCATGACTGCGTAACATTCCATTGTATTGGTGGACAATAGTTACCTCCTCCTTAATGGACAGCCAGGTTGTTTCTCTGGCTTTTTCCTGTCTGCAACCCTACCAAGTGAATTACATACCTATTCAAGACTGTTACTAATTCCAAAGGCGATAGACATTAGAAAGTAATGGTGTGGGCTCTACCGGCCTTGATCGAAGTGGAAGAGTAGCCAGCGCTCCCCCACATAGAGCAGGGCGGTGAGAGCCCGAGGTTCCTGCACACGTGTGCTTCTTCTTTTGAGGGCTTTGCTCTCCTCCTGTGCATGAGAAGTCAGCTCGTTCCGAGGCCGGGTCCGAAACCACAGACTCCGGCACGGCGGTCATTTCCCTTTCTGAACATGACCGTTTGTCTCCTGATGGCGAATCCTCAGTGTGTCTGGACCCAAAGGGAAGATGTTTCATAACACATGAAAGCCTCGTGACTCAGCATGTGGCCGGCAAAGATGCCCTCAGCCCCCTCCTGCTGCTGCGGGAGGGAATGCACTTCCGTCTTCCCGAGGCCAGTGGGAAGCATTTTGCATGGTGGCGAGATGCATATGCCTGCCGTGGCACCCCGGGGCTGTGAGGCCAGTTTGGTTGGGGCACCATGCCCTTCCCCTTCCCCAGTCATCGTAGCAGGGGGCCCATGCTTCATGCTTTCTCCCCGTTCTCCTCTCCGCTGTCAGGCCTGGCTTAGGGTCCCATCCTGCCATCTGTCCAGCCAGGACAGGAAGAGTCTTTCCTTTCGCAGCCATGGGAGAAGATGTGTTTGGCCCTTTATAAATCTCTGTTAGGGACAGTAGGAATGCTTCCCTCTCGTCGCCTCTGTAGTAAGAACAAGAACAAGTTTTAGATTGCCTGTAAAATACCACGACGTGGAGGATCTCTGTCTGACGTGAGAAAAGATTGTGACCCCGCAGGCTTCTATTTCTGTTTCCAGTGACCTCTTGTCTGGCACAGGGCAGGGCCATCTCTGGCTACACTCGCCTGCTGTTGCCAATTGTGTCTCTGTCCTTCCAGCTTAGCATGAGAGGGTAAGGTGACAGGTCCTCCAGGCTGGCAGGGGCAGGCCGTCCGACTGAGTCCTGCAGGGCTCTGTCCTCTGGGACTGAAGGCCTCCCTTCTCTCCGTGGGCTGGTGTCCCTGCAGATGCCCATGCAGCTGGCCCCTGAGTAATCGCCTGCACTCCCTTTGTGGGCAAAAAGCCGAGTGAGCTGGAGCTGGCTGGTCGGCACAGCCGCGGAAAGGAAGCCAGCACTTCGCCTGCCACTCTTGGGCAGTGCTTGCTGCTTCCCAGCTGCCCCTGAGCTGAGGGAAATACCCCGAACGTGTTCCATGTGACCCCACCTGGACCATGCAGTCTCTTCAGCTTGAGTTGGCTGCGACTTCAGGGGGTTGCTGGGGTCCCGAGTCCCGGTGCCACCTGCTTTCTTTTCTGCTTCTGCTTCTTCTTTCTTTTTTCTTCTTCTTCTTCTTCTTCTTCTTTTTTTTTTTCAAACCTTTCAGGGCAAGTTAAAAGTCTGCGCTTTTTGACTGGTTTCCAAAGGCTTAAATCAGTGCAGATGCTCACAGGAACTGGTGTTAGGCTGATGGAAGAAGGGAGAGATGAAGGCTGTCCCAGGGTGCAGAGCGGGATCTGTGGCACCACGTCCCTGCGCCCCCTTTGCAATCAGGCTGTGAAACCCTTGTCAGTCCCCTTGGGCAGTGCTGGGGCAGGTCTGGGCGGCTCGGTGCTATGTCATCACAGACACTTGTGCTGCATCTCTGGGAAGCTACCAAGTATCCTCTCCCCGCTTCTTCCCGGACAGGAACCTGCTGCCCACCCCCAGGCCCCTGCTCCCCTCCTGCTGCAGGAATCCTGTGCTTTCCAGCTCCTGGGGTCCCTGAGGGCTCTGTCCCAGGGACTTGGGGTCCTGGGTTTAGTCCTGGCTGTGTCCCTCAGCTGTTGACTTTCCTGGGCCTGTGTTTCCCCAGGGACAGGAGTGAGCACGGACAAGGGGACCTGAGCTCCACTGCCCTGCCGAGTAGGTGCTTAGCAGGGCCGTCGGCTGCGCAGTGCCAGTGATTTGCAGTGATGGAAATGTTTCACGTCTGCATTGTACAAGACAGGAACCCCTGGGCACTCGAGGCTGTTGAGACTTGGAGATGTGGTTGGTGTGAGCCAGGAGTCGATCTGATTCTAGTTCATTTAGAGTTTAACAGCTTGGGCTGGGAAATGGCTCACTGGTGCACAGCGCCTGTCTGCTGGGCAAGCCTGAGGTTGTGAGTTCAATACTGATAGTAAAAAACGTAACATAAAGAGCCAGCTGTGGCCAGTAGCTACTATCTTGGGCAGCAGAGCTGCAGAGCAGGCATGAGACGGGAGGCCCTAGTCTGACCTTCCCTGGCAGTGCTCTCAGAGAGTGCGATTGCCATCTGAATGAAGGTGAAGTATTTCTTGTGCCATTTGGTTTCCAAATGCCATCTGAGCCTTTCACCTGGTGCTCAGCCAGAGATCCAGTGACTGATGCAGACAGCAGCGGTGAAATCGGCCTCCTGGGACCGAGGTGTTCCGGCAGCAGCCGGGTGGGGGCGGGGACCTTCCTCAGAGTGACCTGATGACATTTTTGTGCTACAAAATGGACTTAGAACCAAACGCCTATGTAGAATGCAGCTCTCTTGGAGGAATCAGGGGTTACAGGTGTAAGAGAGGCGCTGGGTCGCTGTCTCCACACTCAGAATGGCTGGTTGCAGCCCAGTGTGGGGGAGCAAGGACCATCAGTCTTTATTTGGTGATTCACTAATCACTGTTTTCTCTAGCGAGCAGGTGAACTCGGGCGATGGCATTAACATGCGTTATGTCCCCGCTGTACACAGGGCCCTGCAGATCGTCATGAGTCAGTCATGGCAGCTGCGGAGAGGAGGGGCAGTTGGTCCTCCCTTTAGGCCGACAGGAAAACTGGAGCAAGTGGGTAACGGAACCCACCAGCGCCTGGGTGCAGGAGCCTCATTCCAGTGCCATGGTCCCCACTCAGCCTGTCACGTGGGTCTTTGCTTAGCTGTTGGAAAGATCAGTGACCCTGGAGCAAGGGTGCATGGTGGCCCTGGGCACCGGGCTGAGTGTGGCCTGTGCAGTCTCCTCTTTGCTTTAAATAATGCCATGGGTCTTGCCAGTGGCTGGCAAGGTTGTTTGGAAGCTTGGTGCAGCATGTAGTCCGTCTTCCCTCTCTACTTGGTAGAATCCAGCTGCGAAGCCTCTGCCTGCCCTGACACGGGGAGAGGGGCATCGTTCAGGGCCTCGGCCGTTGGTCTGCCTGTGTGAAAGCGCTCTGTCTAACGGACTGGTCATGGTGTCTTTTCCAGAAGACGGAAGATTTCTCCCCTTGGTTTGACTTGTGACATTTTTGGTGGTCCTGGGGATCTAACCGAGATGTGCTGTTCCCCTGAGCTACATCTCCAGGCCTTTTTATGTTTAATTTTGTGACAAGGTCTCACTAAGTTGCCTAGGCAGGGACTTGAACTTGAGATCCTCCTGCCTCAGCCTCCCTCAGGGCTGAGCTAAGAGCACCCATCCCCTCTCCCTACTCCATGTTTGCTGCTTGTCAGAGAATGAACACTTGCTGAGAAGTGCTCTGCCCTGTCTCCTGCCCACAGCCTCACTTGTTTGGTGGAGACCAGGTCACCCCAGAATGGAATTTGGTTCTTTTCTGTTGGACAGATGAAAGCCATGGTAGCCGGGTGACACTGGTGACTCTGCATCTCATCTGCGGAGTGGGAGGGGGGGCCAGGCTGGGCCCCCGGGTCCTCAGCACTTCGGTTCCATGGGAGGCACAGCTGCGGAGCTGGCGGAGGAGGAGGTGCTCCCTCCCAGCCTCGGCAGATCTGACAGGCCCTGTGCTCTCTCCTCAGGTATCCTGGCCGTGCTCATCCCGCGCCTGGACCTGGTCATCTCCCTGGTGGGCTCCGTGAGCAGCAGTGCCCTGGCCCTCATCATCCCACCGATCCTGGAGGTCACCACCTACGCATCTGAGGGCCTCAGCCCGCTCACCCTCGCCAAGGACGTCCTCATCAGCTTGCTGGGCTTTGTGGGCTTCGTGGTGGGGACATACGAGGCCCTCTCGGAGCTGATCCAGCCCAGCGCGGCCCCCGTCTCCAGCAATTCCACCGGTGCCTTTGCCTCCCGCGCCGGGTACATCCTCTGACGGGGGGCTCCCCAGCGCCCTGGGGAGCGGCTGTCTGGGTCCCATTCTGTCTCTCACCGGGTACCTGGGCTCCGGGGAAACTCGGGCTGCAGGGAGGGTAGGTCCACGGCACGCGGGGCGTCGCCACGCATCCGTACTTCATTCCAACCCGACCTCGTGCCCTGTTCCCCAGGAGCCTCCTCCTGTAGCGTGGCCTCCTGTGTGGGACCCCCGCCCCGAGTTGTCCCCCTCGCACAGCTCACTTTATGTAAACTCTTCAGCACCTCACGTTTTCCCCTTCCCTGGGCCAGACCTGGGTGGGCGTGGGGGCCTCGTCCTCATGCTCCCCAGACCCTGGACGTCGTTGAGTTCTCCCACCTGCCCAACCCTCCAGGGGCGTCCGGACCTACCTCACGGTTGAGAACTGGTCCCCGAAACTGGAGTTTTTAATCTTCCCTCTCCCTCGCTGTCCGTGACCCCTGGGCCACCTCCCCTCTGAGCTCCTCTGGGGTCACTGTTGTGTGCCCTGCCTTGCATTAGTTAGCTTGGACAAGACATGACGTGCTGCCAAAATGGGAAATATTTATATTACCTTATTTAAGACTAGGTTTTTGTTTCCAGGTTCTGAATCAGCCTGGGTTTTTAGGAATCGTTTCTTCCTCAGTAAACTTGGACTAGGCCTCGAGCCTTGACGCAGGAGGCACGTGCAGGTCTCAAAGGCCCCGCACCTGCCACCCTACCTGTCCTTTGCTGTGGTGCTGGGCAGACATCTGCTTGTGGCTGTGGGCGGGAAGCCGAGGTGAGGGTGCCCAGGTGCTGACATTCAGCCGATCCCACACTACGCACAGTACTTGGTCGTTTACAATCAGCGGGGCGAGGGCTGGAAGGGAACCGCAGAACACTAAGTGACCTTCCCCAGTGCCGCTCTGCCTGTAGCAGACACCTCTGGGTCCGCCTGCTGCCCATGGTAGGGAGCAGACTTCAGAGGGTGGAGGGAGATGCCAGCTGGCGCGGGGCTGCTGCCTCCTCTCTCTCAGGCTCACTGCCTCGGGGGGGCCCCCGGGGACTCACCTTCTCCTCGGCACAGTGTGTGTCCCTGTGCACAGCCGAGCAACCCCCAAGTCCCCTGCACCCATCCCAGGCCTTTGCTTGCCCAGAGATAGGATTTGCAAGAATACACCAGGGTTTTGTGTTTGTTTCATCTGCGCTTCGAGGGCGGTGGCTCCGCCTGGCAACCAGCTTTTTCTTTCTCTTCGTGCTTTGTTCCAGAGCCGGCCGGGCTGCCTTCCAGGTAGAGGGTGGGGAAGAAGAGACTCTCGCACCATGGTGACCGCCAGCCTGCCTGGCAGTGCGGTAAGCTAGGAAGCTGTCACCATCCTGTACTTGTGCTCCTCTGGGAGGGTGATCTTCTGCACCCATCTTGTGTGCTTTTGAGGTCTCTTAACAGGTGCTTAGGTGACCAGGGTCCCAGTTGGGATTAGCAAGGCACCGCCCTTACAGGTCTCAGGTTTAGCAGTGACCACAGTGGGCTCAGACATGGTCAGCTCCTGTCCCCAGCCCAGGCTCTGCAGCTGTCTTGTGGTAGCTGCCTGGAGAGTTGCTTTGGGTGTGAAAGGTCCCTCCTGTGGAAGGGGCCAGACTTGTGTCCTGCTGCTGGCTGCTTCAGTGGAGAGGGTGGCTCAGAGGCCCTAGTAGAGATGGATCAGCACAGTGTCTCCTCAGGGGTCCCTTCCCTGTGCGCTGATCTGGTCCCCTGGTGAGGATAAGTAGCAATCTCATCACCAGGTGACAGAGCCTGAGGTCTCTGGAATGCAGGCCTGCATCTGCTGGATGTCCTGAGGCCTAACCTTCTGGTCTGACCCTACTGTCCTGTGTCCCCGTGCAGCCCAGGTTCTGTGAGCCCACAGGGAGCTCCCCCAGAGCTCCTCCCAGTGCTGCCTTAGGGCATCGGATCACAGCTCCCAGCGGGCTTCCTCCATCCATTTCCACTTCCTGCTAGGGTGTGACCTGGCACACTGCCTAGGAACCATCACCACTGACAGGTGACATTACTGCCACCGCACTGCTGTCCCTTCCCCTGCACAGCTTCAGGCCAAATAGCTGTGGCCATGAGTTTGTGTTATCAGTAGTTAAACATTAACCACAAAAAACCTCCCAACTTTTTCTTCTCACATTTCTCCCTTCTCACAATGTAATTTGCCTTTAACACTACACAGTCCGCCTCATCTTTCTTCAAAGTGCAAAATCTCAGTTCGGGTCCATTTCCAGCACTCTCTCCCTGCCCAGCAGGGGCTCTATGTGGGCTTGGTGTTTGTGTCTCTCTGTCTCTTTCTCCATAGCTGGTTGGTGCTAAGGCAGGCCTCAGGGTCAGCACTGCCAGTAGGTGACAGTGCTGCTTCCTCTAGCAGGAGATAGCGGGAGGGGCAGGACGTGGCCCTGGGGAAGGCGGCTTCAAGTGGGCCTTAGAATTCAATTTATGGACCTCTGGGTCCATGGGGAGAAGTACCGTGATACGGGTTGTCTTTAAATCGTGGCCAGTGCTTTCTGACAGATGCTTGGGTGGGGTGGGAGGCGACCTTCCCTGGCGTCAGCCTGTTAGGTTTCTTCCCTTTCCTGTGTACCACTGCACCCTCCCAGCCGGTGGATGTAAGCAGCTCTCACAATAGGTGGTCGGAGGACAGGAGTTTGGAACGAGGGTGGGAAAGGCCTGTCCTTACCTGTGTTCTTTGGTTTAAATCAAGATGACGCTGGGAAAGCTGTTTGCTTTCAGTGCTCCGTAAAATCAGGTGGCTGTGTTACAAACCATCAATGGGTGTGTGGCCGTGAGGGGCAGAGTTGCCATTGGCAGGTCCTGATCCAGGACAGCACCGGGAATGTTGTGTGCCTCACAGACTAATATTCCCAGCGTGGTGCGTTAGAGATGTGGGTGGTGCCAGTGCTCATAGGTGGCATGTCGGGTTGTGCATTAAGCTTTTCTTTTTCAATAAATTAATTTTATTTTTTATTTTTGAGAAGTTGCGGTCTGTGTCATTATTTTCACACTTAAAAACAAAAGGTCACTCGTGCTCATTATCCCAGCAGTGTGCGAGGCTGAGGCAGAAGGATCACAAGTTAAGAGCCCAGCTGGGACAATTTAGCAAGTTAGTGAGACCCTGTTGCAAAAATAAAAAGTTAAAAGAGGGCCAAGGGCATCCAAAGACCCTGGCTGGGGTAAAACCTCAGCACCACAGAAAACTGAAAAAAGTACTGTAATTCAGATTTCTTTGCTAGATCTTTGGTTAAAATATTTCTGGCTTAAGCCAAGAGTTTATACAGGGGCAGGAGTGCAAATGATAGGACTGTCCGTGGAATCAAGAGGTACCAGGAAAAAGCCTGGGGAATGTTTTTCTGCTGTACAACGCTGCTGTCCTCTCCCCTCGAGGTCTTGAGTGGGGATTTTCAGCCCTCTGTGTGTCATAGGTTTGTGGTTACTTTCATGTGTCAGCTGGTTATTCCCAGTTGTCTAGTTATTGTTGAGAAGGTGGTCCCCCGCCCCCCCCCCCACACACAGGGTCTCACTGTGCAGTTCACGGCCAGCCGAAAGTTCAGGCTGGCCGTGAACTTGCAACGATTCCCTTGTCTCAGCCTCCGGATGCTGGGGTTATGGGGTGTGTGCCACCCCACCTGCTGTTGAGAGTTATTTTGGAAATGTGGTTCACATCCACAGTCATTTGCCTTTACATGAAAATTATCCTTCCCACTGTGAACGGGCTTCAGAATCCAACTGGCTGAAAGGCTTTAAACTGCGGTTTCTCTGTGACACAGGAAACCGGGTCTCAGGACTGTAGCATCAGCTCTGCCTGAGGTTCCAGGCTGTCAGTTGCCCTGTGAACTTCAGATTTGCTGTCCCTGCGTCATGGAAGCAGTTCTTTGAAATCTGTTTTGTCTTACACACGCACACACGGAGGCTGGGACTTGCAGAGTGCCATGGCTGTGTCGCTAGGGACCAGCACTTAGACCAGGGCGTTTACCATTGCTGGAGTTGGCTGAAGTGTGCATGACTCTGTGTGTGTGGGGCCCACTTTCGCCCGTCTGCAGCCTTGCGCTCCCTGGACTCGTGTCCCCGCCTGGGCTTTGGGCCTGTCTTCAGGCTTCTGCAGGCTCTGGTTTTTGGTAGAGCAGAAGGGGTCGGGGGAGCACACTCGGCCTCCTCCCCGGCCTCTCTCCCAGGTGCTGATCCTGCGCGCAGCCACGCCAGCCTCACCACGGTGGCCTCCGGCTCAGCCCGCGCCGGCTCTTGCTGCTCCACTGTTGGTCGTGGGGAGGCGCTGCCCGCCGCGTGGCAGGGATCAGGGCGCGTTCCAGGGGCTCCTCCCAGGAGCCGAGCTTTCCGGACGGCATCGCAGCTTTGAAACAGTCACGGTTGACAGGAAAGTACAGAAATGCACGGGAGGTGAGGTCCGTGTCCCCACCTCGTGACACAGTGCGTGGCCCTGGTCGGAATAGGACCTGGAGACTGATGCTGGGGCGCCCCCTACAGGCTGTTCCGGTTTCTGCAGTTACACGCGGACCCGTGTGTGTGTGTGTGTGTGTGTGTGTGTGTGTGTGTCGCTGTGCAGTTGAGTGCAGGTGTAGCTTTGTATGCACTGTAGTCTGACAGCTCCTGGCATCACCATGAGGCTCCTCAAAGCTGCTCCTTTGTACACTAATCTCGCTCTTTGCATCCTGACATTTTGACTTCACAGTGTTCAACGAATGGTGCATAAATTTAATTAGTGAATTATTCTGTTCATAACCTTTTGCAATTGGCTGCCCCGGGAAGCCTTTCAAATGCTGGGATAACAGGCGCGTTCCAGTTCATCCTGCCTAGAGTCAGTATAATTTCAGTTGGTTTAATTTCCTTGGGTTTATCTAAATCATTGCTTGTGTCAGTAGTTCTTTTTTATTGCTAACTAGTGTTCCACGGTACTGTTTTTCCTTTCTGTGAAAGGAAATCTGCAGTTTCTAGATTTGGCAGTTACAGACACAGCTATTGTATATACTTGTTCAAAACTTTCTTCATACAAATAAGTTTGCATTTCATCAGGATAGGCATGCAAAAGTGTAATGGCTGGGCTGTGATGCAGAGTTCCTTTTCAGTTTTGAAAGGAGCTTCCAAACCGTTTTTCCAGAGCAGCTGTCCCGTTCTCCACTTCTGCCGCTGCGTATGAGCGGCTGTTTGCTGTGCAGCCTTCTCAGTGTTTGGTGGTGTCGCTGTTTGCTGTTTTAGCCACTTATCAGATCTTAGGTAGGTTTCGTTGGATCTGTACCTTTAATATTCTTGGGAGCAGCTGTAAATGCAAATGTGCTTTTCTTTCAGGGTCAAATGTTTGGCGGCAGTGTCTGTGTGACCCCTCGGTGCTCGGTAATTATGTGAATTTTGGGGTAGATTTCTTGAGGTTTCCTCAGTGATCCTGGCATCTGCAAGCGAGAGGTTTGTGTTTGCTCCTTCTTTCCTCTTCCCCTCCCTTTGTTAGAGCTTTGAGTGTTCATAGCGTGGTAAGAGGGAGCAGCTTAGGATCACCTCTGGTCCCCAAGAACGCACTCGGCGTGTCACTGAAGTCCCATAAAAGAGGCAGGTTTTTATAACAGCTTCCTGCATTCCTGTGTTATTCTGAATAGGTATTGAATTTTACAGAGGCGGCAAACTTTTTGTCTCCTCTAGTCATAGTTTTTTTTTTTTTTTGCCCCTAGTATGGTTGCTTATATTGATTATTATTATTTTTTAAATATCAAAGTAGCTCTACTTATCTGGAATACATTCTGCTTGTCTAGGGTATAGTATATGTTTTATTTATTTATCTATTTTAGCATAACTCTTATATACATACATATATACATATAATGTTTCAGCTTCTCACACTAGTGAGACAGTACGATGTTTACACATGTGCATCTGATTTATTTCACTTATGAGCATGCTCTCAAGTTGCATCCATTTATTTATGCATATCTCAATGTGATCCTTCTTTATAGCTGAGTAGTATTCCATTGTATAAAAATACCACAACTTTTTTATCCATTTAGGTTGTTTCCAAGATCTGGCTATTACCAATTGTGGTGCTACGAACACGAGTGCACATATATTGCTATGGTATGATGTTTTTAATTCTTTTGGGAAGATATCCAGAAGGGAAACAGCTGGGTCGAATGGGAACTCTCATCCTAGTTTTTTGAGGCATCTCCACACTGGTTTCCACAGTTGTTGCACCAGCCTACACTCCCACCAACAGTATAGTATGTGTTTTAAATATATGGTTAAATTACATTTCATTATTTTATTCTCCCTGACATCTACTCTGTTAGATGTAGAATCCGGAGTGGAGCTGTTTATAAAAAGCAACCCAGTGTGCTGGGCCCCGGCTGTGCCTATGCTGTCTCGCTAGGTACTGAAATCCACTAAGGGAAAGGACCTCCAGCACCCCACTTTGTAAAGCCAGGCATGAGAGTTAAATAACTTACCCAGGCATGTTTCCCAAGTGGCCGGGCCTTTCTGACTCCCCACCTCCGTCTGCCCCTGGAATCTCCTTTCTGCCCCTGCTTCTGTCGCTTCTCACCTCACCTCTGTGGTGGACACAGAATCCCCAAGCCCGGGTGGTCCCGAGGCGTCCACACGGCCTTCTCCCTGCCTGGCTTGGTGATGGCCCCAAGCACTCCGCTGACATCCTGCAGGGCCCCCAGTGCTTTACCCTCGCCTGCCCTCTTCTCCGTGCTGGCTCTGAGGCTCAGCTTCTAGACCCAGAGGTCAGATGGCCGCTCCTCCCTCGCTCCCGCCTTGGCTGGCAGGATGTTCAACCCTGTCCTCCACCACCGGTGCTGCTGGGACCCACTAGCCCACTCTCCTGCCTTGGGTTCCACTGTTGCACCTGCAGGCACCTGCAGATGGAAAGATGCATCTGCATTGCACATGCGCAGGCCTTTCTCCTTTTTCTGTTCCCTAAATAATTTAGTAGACCAGCTGTCTGTCTTAGTGTTTTCGTTCCCTTGAGCACCATAAATGATCTAGCGTGGCTTAACATGTAGGAAGGATGTGTGTAAACCACGCAGCTTTACATGGTGCATCCTTCAGTTTGGACACGCATGAAGCCAGTCCCCTGTGGATCCCGAGGGCCGCTGGGTATGGCCCCTTTCCCTAGATCCTGAGCTGCCGGAGAGCCCCGGTCCTACAGGGGCTCATGTTCTACAGGTGTCGGTTGAGCACTGAATTCGGTGTGGTCTCCTCTAGCAGGGGATGGTGTTCTGGCTGGCAGGGAGTTGCTGTCATGTGCTTACTTTGAATTTGCTTCCATCTAGGCGAGCACTTGCCTGGATTGGCTCTTGAGGACTGATTGGGGAATCCTCGGAAAATTCCCAGACCGAAGTTGTCCGACCCACAGCCTGCTGCTTTGTCCAGTGGGCCAGTGTGTGGCCGTTCCACAGAGGCAGCAGGGAAAGGGCACCCGAGCTGGTCCTCAGAGTCGGTGCCGCGGGCTTTTAGCCAGCACTTGGGTGCTTCCTGTCCGGCAGTTAATCAGTCCCTTTTCCCCAAATCTAGACACACCAGCTCTACAGATGTCACTGCTGTCAGAGCAGTGTTCGTGGCTTGTTCTGAGCTCAGCTGCTGAGTACCGCTTGCTGCTGTGCTCGCCCCTCTGGGGTCCTAAAGCTGGCATTTGTCATGTGAATGTGTGTGGGCACAGCTGGTCAGGCTGACCCCACTTGGAAAGTGAGCCTTGCGACTTCCAGACATTGTGGCCTCATTTAAGTTCTTAATACCGAGCGTTCTGCTCGGTTTCTGTGCCTTGATTTTGCCACCCATAACCAAGGACTTAACGTGGGATCTTTGGAGGATTTGAGGTGAGGCAGAGGGCATGCAGGAGAGGTGGCTGGAGAGGTGCTGGCTGGTGCAGATGAGTGTTCCTCTGGCGGGCTGTGAACTCCACTTGCCATCTCAGACTTGGGATATTTGGAACCAGGTGGTCCAGTGGCTTGGAATGGGAAGAGTTCCCTGAAAGCCTGGGGCCTCCGGGAATTCTGTGCCCAGTATTGAGCTCAGAGAGCCCTCTAGTGGCTGACATGGGAAGGTGCAGGCTCAGAGATGCCTAGAGCAGGGGAATGGCTTGTGTGGGGTGCAGGGTTCAGCCTGGGTGTTGCCTTGCATTCCAGAGCAAAGTGCTGGCTCTGAGCCCCCTCTAGGAGCCCTGAGGTGAGGAGCCTGAGGTGAGGTAGTTCACTATTTTGCAGACCATTTGGGGCGCTGGACAGTTTCTTTTTTAGCTGAATCATTATATATCTTCATATATGTTAGAAAAAAATAGTAATTCTCAAATCCTTTGGTTTATGGATATTATCATTTTAAGGCAAATAAAAATTTTACTTGAGACCATAAATACATTTAAAGGAAAATATTAAGTTGCTACAGTAGAGATGGTATGCTTTCAGGGCAAAACCAACAACAACAAAAAACCATAAAAGTGGTAAAGAAAGCAATAATTTTGTCAACATGAAACTAGATTATTCATAGATTCCCACATGATGCTTTCTGAACCTGTTAACTGCTGGCATTATGTGCTTTCCTAACGGTGGGTGTGCTCTTGTGCTTCAGTGAGCTCTCTACATTTGCAGTTGTTTCTTACAACAAGATTAGCGGACAGCTGTTGTTTACTGTCTTCATTTTACGGAGAGAAATAAACTGAATTAAACTTTGACCAGCGAGCCAAGGGCAGGAGCAGTGGAGAAGTGGGCTTTTCCACAAATGGTGCTGGAACCACCAGAAATCACATAGGAAATTAATCCAGACACAGACCTTGCACACGTCATGAAAATGACCTCAGAATGGATATCAGGCCTCAAGATGAGTTACGCCACAGTGAAGCTCTTAGGAGCTAACATCAGAGAGGCGCTAGATGACCCACGGGGTGGTGGGGATCTCAGACACAACACCAAGGCACTGCCGGGAAGGAAGTAAGGCGGACCAAGATTAAAACTTTCAGTTCTGTAAAAGACTCGGATGAAAAGACATACAGACTAGGAGAAAATGTTTACCAAAAGATCTATTGGATAAAGAATTATTATCCAAAATACCCAAAGAACTCTTAAAATACATCCATGAGAAAACAACCAACCTGATTTTTAAGATGGGCTACTTCACTAAGGATATATAGATTCCCTTCAAATAAAAGATAGACATTGTATTTAGACTAATAAGACACTGCACAAGTCAAGGGCTAAAATCCAGGACAGTGCTATGCTGGTGAGGATATGAATCAAGAACTCCCATTCACTGCTGCCTGAAATGCAAGCTGTACAGATGCCTTAGTGGTTTCCTAGAAAACTAAACATACCCTTACCTTAGGGTCAGTTGTACTTTGTGGTATTCTCCTGAAGGAGTTGAAAACTTAGGTCTGTGCACAGATGTTTAGAGCCGTTTTAGCTGCACTTGCTCAAATTTAGAAATGAGCAAGATACCACCCTAGTTAAGAATAGGTAAACCATGATGCATCTCAACAATAGGTTATTATTTAGGGCTAAAAAGAAATAGGCTATTGAGCCATGAATGGACAGGGAGGGAATTTAAATGCATGTTAGTGAAAAAGAATCGATCTGGAAAGATTACATAAGGTGTGATGCTGCTAGATGACTTTCTGAAGGAGGACTCCGTGGAGATGCTGAGATGGTCAGGTATTAGGGGAGTGTGGTAAATGGGTAGATCGCAGGGGACCTTTAGGGCAGTACAGCAGCTCAGGGTGATACTGCAGTGCTGGATGCATCAGCACACACCTGTCCACACCCGCAGAATGTGCAGCACCAGAACGGACCCCGCTGTAAACTGTGGGCTTTGGATAATGATGTGCGAATCAGTCTGCTGATGAAACCCACTTACCACCGTGATGGGGCATGTGCATAGCCGAGGAGGTTATAGTCCTGTCCTGTTAACCTGGTTTGATTAACCTGTGGTTAGTGGCTGCCGGGCAATCAGACCCTCGGATTTTGCACCTGTAAGGAGTTTGAACCACTGCAGGCAGCTGAGCCAGAGTCAGCATGTTATGGCTGGTGTCTAGACGTCCCCCAAAGCCTCATGCAGTCATAGGTTTCAGACATGCTTGGGTCTAGAGTGTGTGACACTGGGATTGATGGTGCAGTGCCAGGCTCAAGGGTTAAGGGTGTGAGTGCTGCCCACCCAGAGTAGCCTGGGTAAGGTACAAGGGATAGAAAGAGCTGTGGTTGCCCCTTGTTGCTTTGCTGCCTTCTGCCTAGCATGAACTGTTTCTTCTCTGTGACACCATCCTGCCTCGGAGCCAGCAGATTATGGACTGAAACCTCTATACCCTGGGAGCTAAATTAACCTTTCTTCTCTAATTTGTGGGTGTTGGTTATTTGGTCTCAGCAAGAACAGTAGCTAAGACCCTGGAGTATTTTTTTCCTAAACAGTCTCCCCTGCCCACCCTCAGGGCTCGGTTTTGGGTAGGACTCGGGGGTCTGGCTAGCAATTGCAGCAGATATGAGAATCCCCACGCTTGTGACCTCAAAGAACTCATCCGGCTCCCAGATTGCTTCTATCTTGGCTTTAAGGGTTGTGTAACCCTCATGCGGTTCCCCTGATCTGAGCTTAAGGGGGCTAAGTGACACAGTAAATAACAGTAAAAAAGATACTTTATTGTTTAAAAAAAAGTACCAGGCACACATGCCACCACTCGTGCTCACAATCACACACAGCCGCGAGCCACTCACGCTGTATGCTGTCACCCACACCTGTCCTCCCGCGGTCAGCAGCAAGCCTGTGGGCAAGAGTGTCTCATTTCCTTTTCTCCACAGACAGCCCACTTGAAAAGGCAGTGGACCGGGCAGAGGAATGGCCAGGGGAGGGAGTGTTGAGGCTGCCGGAGGCCACGCTGGCTTCTGCCCCCTTCACTCCTGGCTGCATATACCCCACACGTGTACACGCAGACTGCACACAGGCGCCCACATTGACCCTCATGCATGGGGCGGAGTCAGTGCGGGTAATACTTGATTGGCAGGCAGCGGTGCTGGAGGGCAGGAAGGCTGGGGCCCAGCCTGGACAGTCTGCTGGTTGGCTCCCTGCCTTCACTTGCCCTGAATGGGAGTTCCAAGTTCCTTGTGTCTAGAGAAGAGAGATCCCTTTGGGAAAAGTCATCAGACAGCAAGGTTGAAAAGTGCCATAGAATTTTTTTTAACTGAATTATTTCCTTCTTGCCTTTGGCGAAAAGTGCCTGGACTGATGAACCCAGAGTCTCATGGGGTCCAAATTCTTCAACAAAGAAAGGCTGCTCAGAACCCTGGCAGCCCGAGCTGGGAAGCAAGTGGTGTGATTGTAAGAGCTGGAACAACTTTCTCCCATGTGGGGGCAGGAGCTGGACCAGGGGAGACCGAGCCCTGAGGGATGCTTCCTAGGAGCCCTCGATACCCAGCACTGTGCCTGGCTCAGTGCCTGAGACACTGGACAAGTATGCAGGAAACGCATGCACAAGGCGGTCTCTGGTGGCTCCGTACCTGCTCACCTTTCTGCTCCTGGGAGGACCTCGCGCAGGCCCTGGGCAGAAGACCCTCACCTCTGCAGCACAACCTGTGCTGACCTCTCAGGCACAACCCTGTCAGCCTCTGAAAGGGCGCCTCTGGGCAGGGCTGACCTCGTCATCCTGCCTCCTTCCTGGGACCGAGAGATGGCCGTCCACATGACCTGTCTCTGGCCCATCCCAGGGTCACTGCCCTGTGCATCCCTCTCTCCTGGGGCCATGGTGCTGTTTTAGGGGTGCTACCCTCAGCTTTCCTCTACCTCAGGAAGCAGCCGGGGGACAGGAAGAGCACCTTACAAGGGATGGCAGCCTGGCCTGGGTGTGCGGGCTTCTCTCCCTGTCCCGGCCATACTGACATGGGAAGGGGGCGCCAAGGTCTTGGCCCTGCACCTGTCCCCCTCTGAGCGCAGGAAGCTAGAACATGACCTCCTCGCAGCTCCCATAATCGCTCTCCACCAGGTCGGAGCCCTCGTAGTTAGGGGGTGCCCGGGGCTGGGCCCTGCCTGAGGGAGGGCTCCCCTCCCCCGCACAGTCTGCATAGGAGGGCCCAGCCCTGCTGAGACGCATGCTCACCCCCTTGTAGCCCCCCTCAGTCAGGCAGGGCCCGCCTTGCCGGAACTGGGAGTGGTAGTAGCTGATGGCCGTGTACTCGTTGAGGCAGGGGGCAAGCAGGTGCTCCCGGGGACTGGGGGGCTGTGGGGGCATCAGGTCTTCTAGGTTTTGGTTGCTGTAGCGGGGTGGGAGGGGAGCCCTCTTGTTTTCCAGCTCCAGGGGGAAGGGAAAGCCCCCATAGAGACCAGTGGGCTCTGGCATGCCTGCTGGGGCGGGCTGGCGATGAGGCGAGGGTGGCAGAGGCCCCTGAGTAACCTGCGAGTGGTGGGGGTATTCCCAGTGCTCCTTCCTGGAGTAGGAGGGGGGGCGGACTGCAGTGCCTCCAACACCAACACCGGGGTACACTGAAAAGGAAAAGCAGGAGAGGTGAGTGCTGGCTCTGCCTGGGAGCAGTTCCTATGGCTACTCTACATCACTGTGCTTGCCACCATGTCCAGCGAGCAGGCAGGTACGTGGCCCATTCACAGGCACTCGATATATCAAAGCCATTGAGGCAGGTGCAAGATTTAAACCAAAGCCATCCCACCTTGCGAATCTCTGCCACTGACCTGAGAGTGGATGGATAAGGGAGGAAAGTGGGCAGCTCCATGCAGGCCCCCCTGCCCCGCTGGACACCCCGAGAGCTATGGAGAGTTTCATTTCCCAAGGGAAGGAAGCCAGACACACAGTTTACACTTGGAGATTCGATGGCGTCTGTCATGGGCAGGGATGCAGTGAGAAGTGGCTTGGAAGAGACTGTCAGGCAGGGCTCCCTGGTCCTAGACTCGTCTCTGCTAGTGAAAAGCTGGGGGAATTAAAACAAGTCGCTTCATCTTGATGGGTGCCTACTGGCAAATAATGACAAATCTGTCTTGTAACTACGGGAGAATATGCCAGAAAAACAGAAAGTGCTTGACAAATTCATTTGTTTTTGCATCAAAAAGGAGAGTGAAGTTCCCTCCTCTAAGCCAGCCGAGTCTCACTCAAGGTGGTTGCGCCTGCAGACGAGGTGAGCAGAAACTTGGACCACTGTTTCCTTTTCCTCTCCCAGCAAAGCACCAGTGTGCAGACACCCCCACACCCCTTTTTCACCCTAGGGATTGTACTGAGACCTCTGGGCACCTGGCTGTACTGACCCATTTCCTCAGCTGACCAGGTCCTCTTGATGATGGACTCGTGGTCAGAGTGGGAAGTGACCGTCACTGGTGGGAGCCTGGGAGGGACGCTGCAGACCACCGGCCGCTGCTTTGAGCTGGGCCCAAAGGTGACGAGTTCATTCGGACCTGAGGTCTTGCTGGGCTCTGGCTGAGTTAAGTTGTTGCAGGAGCTGGTGCTCAGCGGGTCGAGCTCCATGGCAGGCGTGGCTTGGGTGTCCACACCAACACTCCTGGCCAGGAGGTCTGGGTCCTCCATGGCCACGGGCTTGTGAGGCCTGCAGTGGCGGCAGTAGAAGAGGAGTCCGACCGTGGTGATGATAATGAACAGTATGGCTGCGATGACAATCAGTAGCTCCTGCTGTCCCCAGTCCCCTGTTGTGATCTCAGGGGTGATGAGGCAGTGTCCTTGGGAGCAACCGATCGCCTCCATTTCACACCTACAGAGAGAGAGGTGAGCAGGGGCTGAGTCATACTGTATTTTCCACGTCCTCTCACAGAGTCTGTGATACAGAGACTCACCTCTGGGGCTGCCACTTTCCATCGGATAGATGGGTGGGATGGATGGATAGACAGACAGACAGCTATTATCAAACACATCAACATCAGAACATTGTATCCTTCCCCAGGAAAAGATAGACTTCAAGCCAGGTATGGTGGCTCAAGCCTTTAATCCCAGCACTAGGGAGGCTGAGGCAGGAGGATCGTTGCGAGTTCGAGACCAGCCTAGACTACAAAGTGAGCTCAAGGCCAGCCTGAACTGCACAGCAAGACCCTGTCTCAAAAAAAAAAAAAAAAAAAAAGAAAAGAAAAGAAAAGAAAAAGGATAGGCTTCAGCTGTATTCCCTTCATCACCTTTAGAATCTGGGCGTATTATTTTCCACCAATGAGATCGAGGCAGTGGAGTCTCTCCACCAATGAGGTATTTCCAATTAATGGACACACCCAGTTGTCCAGGGCCCCAGAAACAGGTCAGTGGTCACCTCATGATACTGACCAGGCATCAGTACTACCTGCTGTCCTTCACCAGCTGTCACAGGAGCCCAGCTGGCCTCGTACAGATCAGTCTTGCAGAGCATAAGCTGCTCTGGAAAAGCCCTGCAAACCACAGGACCGCTGAAATCCATTTCAGCTTGGCTTTTCATGGCGGAGGTCTCTTAGGGAAACTTCCGTGGCCAGGTCTACTCACTCTCGAGGGGTACGGTACTGAGAAAGGTTCCCCTACCTTGCCCAAGTCTAAAAACTCTCCCGCCTGAAATTCTACTGCAGTTTATTCTTTTGGGCAGCTTTGTCTGAAAGCTGCTGGCTGCAGATGCGGGGGTTCATTTGTGTCTTCTTCTGCCCTTTGGTCCGGATGATGTCACTGTGTGTTGTCCATTAGGGTCCTGAAGCATGTCTTGAAATCAGGGACTGCGTGGCCTCCAGCCTTGCTCTTTGTGATCAAGATCGTTTTGGCTATTCGGGGTCTTTTGTGCTTCTGTATGAATTCTGAGTTCTGTGAAGAATGTGGTTGGTATTCGGAAGGGAACTGCATTGTCTCTGCAGATCATTTTGAAGAGTATGGAATCTTAGTAATATTCTTCTGGCCTTTCCATCCCATTCCCCTCATGGGAGGTCTTCCCACCTGGGACTGTGTTCTTTTTCTTTCTTTCTTCAGCTTTCTGTAATTTCTAGTGTGTCAAGTCTTCCACTTTAGTTTATTATTAGCCTGGCCCCCTTTTCCCTCTCAGTGGCTATTGTGAATGGCGTTGCTTTCATGATTCGGTATCCTACTATTTTATTGGCTTTATCAGACCTAATTAGTCTTTTGGTGAAATCTAGTTTTTCTTTTTTTTTTTTTTAATCTCTCTTCACTATGCATTTCAGACTGACCTTGAACTCACTTTGTAGCCCAGAGTGGCCTTGAATTTACAGCAATCCTCCTGCCTCAGCCTCCTGAGTGCCGGGATTGTGAGCGAGGACCACCACGCGTGGCCAGTCTAGGTTTTCTATGTATAGAATCATCATCTGCAAACAGGGGTAATCAATAACCTCTTTTTCTATTGGTATGCCTTTTATTCTTTTGTCTTGCCTAATTTTTCTGGTTAAAATATCTAGCACTATATTGGACAAAAGCAGTTTAAGTAGGGATTTGATTTGTTCCTAATATTAGAGGAAATATTTTCAGTTTTTCTACATTTATTGAAATGATAATGATTTTTATTCTTTGTTCTACTTACATGGTGAACTAATGTATTGACGTTTGTATGGTGAATCATGCTTGCAGCTCTGCAGTGAAACCAGCTGGATCATGATACAGGATCTTTTTCACGTGCTGTTTGTTCATCATGGATCCTGGTCTAGATTGTTGTTTGTTTGTTGCTGTGTTCTTGTCAGGTTTTGGTGCCAGGCTGATGCTGACTGTGTAGAATAAGGCCCTCAGTTCTGTGGAATAGTTTAAGGAACATTGCTGCTAGTTCTTTAGATGTTTGGTAAAACTCAGCAGTGAAACCATTTGGCCCTGGGGTTTTCTTTGTCGAAAGGCTTTTAATTATTGATTTAATCTCATTATTTGTTATTAGTCTACTCAAGTTTATTTAATATCATTTTGGTTCAATTTTTGTATGTCATGTGTATTCAGAAATTGTTCTGTTCCTTATAGATTTTTCAATTTGTTAGCATACAGTTTCTCAAAATAACCCATAATGGGCTCGGGATGTAGCTCAGCAGCATAGTGCCTGCCTGGCAAGCATGAGGTCATGAGTTCGAATCCTGATATATTAAAAAAACAAAACCTAATGATCCCTTGTGTTTCTGTAGAATCAGTTGTAATGTTTCCTTTTTCAGCTCTTAATTTTATTTATCTGGATTTTCTCTCTGCCTATCTTTTGGTTAATCTAGTTACAGATTTGTCAGTGTGGCCTATTTTTTCGAAGAACCAACTGTTTGTATCATTGATACCTTTTATTGTTCTTCTAGACACTGTTTCCCTTATTTTGGCTTTTTATCTTTTTCTTTTAACTTTGGGCATGGTTAATTCTTGTTTTTCCAAGACTTTGAGGTTCATTATTAAGTTATTTTAAATCCTTCTTTTTTTTTTTTTCCTGGTACTGGGGATTGAACTCACAACCTCATAGCAGCCAGGCAGCACTGTGCTGCTGAGCTATACCCCCGGCCCAATGCTTCTGTGTTTAAGGAGTCACTTATTGCTATAAACTTTCAATACTGCTTTTGCTGACACCCCCCCCACAAGTTTTGGTATGTTGTTTCCATTTTCATTTGTTTCAAATAATTTTAAAATTTCTCTTTTGATTTCTTAAGTGACCTACTGTTCATTCAAAAGAGGATTATTTATTCTCCACGTACAATTTATAGTTTCTGTTGCTGTGGATTTCCACCTTCACTGCACTGTGATCAGAAAAGACACAAGATAGGATTTCAGTTCCTTCGAACTTGTTAAGACTTGTCTCATGGTCTAATACATGATCTGTTCAAGGTCCACGTGCTAATGAAAATGTGTATTCTGCAGTTGTTGGAGAGAATCTTCTGTAAAGGTCCATGATGTAGTTGAACTCTGGAGCACCTTTGTTGATATTTTGTCTACATTGCTCATTGGAGAGAGTGAGATATTAGTATTTCCCTTTATTGGGATTTATTTTCCCCTTTACATCTAATAGTGTTTTGCTTATAAAATTAGACTCCCTGCTATTAGGTATAGTTTTATAATCACCATATCTTTGTTTTTTAATCCTGAGGATTGAACTAGGGCCTCTGCACTGAGGTACATACCCAGCCTTTTTAATTCTGAAACAAGGTCTGGCTAAGCTGCTAAGTTGCCCAGGCTGGGCTCGAGCTTGCTATCCTGTTGTCTCAGCCTCTCGGAGTGCTGGAATGACAAGTGTGCACCTCCACGCCTGGCCCGCTGCATTTTCGTGATGAATTGATCCTTTGATCACTATGTAGTGACCTTGTCTCCACACAATTTTTACCTTAAAGTCTGTTTGTCAGATACAGCTATAGCTCTTCTTGCCTATTTCCAGATTCCACTTGGCTGAGTTGTTACTTCCCACCCGCTGACTCTAGCTCTCTGCGTGCCTTTATTCATGAGGTGTATTTCTTGCAGGCAGCATCTAGGTCTTGATTTTAATCTGTTCAGCCAGCCTGCACCTCTTAACTGAAGAAGTAAAATCCTTCACGTTCAGAATTCTGGTGAGATATACAGGCCTGTGTCTGTCACTTTATTTTCTTCTGATTGTTTTGAATATTTTCTGCTTGACTTACTCTTACTTACCTTTACAGTCTGATGGTTTGCTGCACTGATAATGTGATTCTCTCCCATGCGTTATTTTGTGTTCTTACAAAGAGACTGAGATTTTCACATGCTGTGATGATGGTAGTTACCTTCCTCCTTCTGAGTATAGGACTCTTAAGCATCTTTCATAAGGCCAGTTTGGCCATGGACTATGTTAGTTTTGCTTATCTTAAAAGGTCTTCAACCTGAAGGATAGATTCTGCAAAGTATAGTAATCTTGATTGAACAGTTATTTTCTTTTGGAACGTGAAATAGTACATTATTCCATACCCTCCTAGCTTGTATGATTTCTACAGAGAAATCTGTTGGTCTAATGGGTTTGTGCTTAAATTTGACTCGGTGACTTCTGTTGCAGATTTTTAAATTCTTTGTCTTGTACTGTTGACAGTTTACTGTTGTGATCAGGAAGTTTTCTGCTACTATTTTACTGACACCTTCAAGTTTTATTTCCCCTGCTATCTCATATGCTGCCATGAGGTAAATATCTGATCTTTTCATGGTGTCCCAAAGACCTCGAATGTTTTCTTTGTTATTTATTCTTTGTTTCTGTCTGAATGAGATACTGCAAAACACCTGTCTTCAAGCTGCAGGATTCCCTGTTCTCCTTGATCCAGTGCACTACTGAGGCTTTCAAGTTAATTTTTTGTTTGTTTGTTTGACTACAGACCTCTTCATTTACAAGATTTCTGATTGGTTCCTTTTAAACTATCTTTGCTCATTTATACCTTGCATTGCTTCACTAATTTCATTTAACTGTATATTCTCGTAGGTTTCAGTGAGCTTTTTAATAACCATTTAAATAATTCTTTATGAAGCATTTCACCCATTTCAATATTTTTGGAATCTGTTACTAGACCATTATGTTTAATTGGTACCTCCACCATGTTTATGGACTGGCCTTCCTAGTAAGTGGCTGCCTTCTGAAGTTACATCTTGGGGTGTCAGTTTCTCATCCAGTGCTGTTTTCTTCAGTCGGAGGCTGTGCGGGAGCTTCTTAGGCTCTGATTAGTGAGCTTGGGCAGAGTGTGTGCACCATATGAGTGTGGTGGGGAGCCCTCTCTCTGCAGGAGCAGGGACCCTCTAGCAGCTCAGGCCAGTGTGGTGTGTACCCTATGTGCTCACTTCTACACAGGGAGCGGTGCCCCCAGTAGGCCGATGGAGATTTCCAGGGCACAGCTGATCCTGACTCTCTTTAAAACTCTCATTTGTATTTGAGTATGTGTATGTTTGCTGGCTGTTACTTGAATTCGTCTCTGGCATGGTTACAGCAGTAGTGGTGAGAAGTCCAGGACGAGGGTCATAGCAGGCACCCTCTTTGGGGCCCTCATACCCAGTCTTGTCAGCAGCCTGTGATGAGATGAGGTGTGGGGGACAGGGCGGCTATGGCAGGAAAAGCTAGCTTATGTTCTTCTTTCCTGCTACTGGGGCCGCGCCTGCCTAGGACTGAGGTAGACACTAGGGGCTCTTCCCCCAATTTTTGTTTGAGTGCCTGCAGGTCACCTAGGGGTGAGAAAATTTCATCTCAGCTGAGGCACTCGCAGGACAGAAAGAAAGAGTGGGATGTGGTTGACTTCAGAAAGTTTCTCTGCCGATCTTTTCAAGCTTTGTTCCTGGGGCAGGACTCCAGCCGGGCCACCTTGGCGTGGCTCAGAACCCTGCCAGTGTGCCTCTACGGAGGCTGGGTTTTTCTGTGCCATGCCTAGCATTGGGACAGCAGTGGGAGGAAATGCGTGGGGGTGGTGGCCCCAGTCCCGACCCATGTGAGACAGCGGTCACCTGGCCATACTGCTCCCTGATTCCCCAGCCTCTGTGAATGGCACCCTGCTCTCCCTCCGTGTGACAACGCCTGCTCCCCACTCTGTAGCACCCTCAGTGGGTTTGTGTCACAGGAACTCTATCACCGAGGCAGCCCCCGCTGAGCCAGGGCAGCAGAAAGTCTCTGGGGTCCCAGAGGGGGGATGCATGTGGCCTCTGACCTCCAAAGCAGTGCAGATGCAAACTGAAGACAGCCCTCGGCACGCGCAGGGATTTCTGGGAGACGGCATGAACTCCTTTTCCAAAGTCGGCAGACTGTGTGGATCACTGACCTCTTAATCTATTTAGGCTGCAAGCACTGTGAAACTTTCCAGTAGCTAGGATCACGGGGATCTGTGCTGACAGTTTGCTGGGTCTCTCTCACCTTTACCCCTGCGAAGCAGAGTCTCCTCGTACTCCGGACATGGAGCCAGGGCAGCAGGTGCCTGTGTGTTTTGTTTTCTTGCTCTGATGCTGTCCCAGGTCACTGGGTTTTACCAGGTTTCTGTGTGCTGGCAGTTGAATTGCACTGTTTTCCCAAAGGTGCCCAGGCCAGGGGCAGCATCTGCATGTTACTTTGGTTCTTCTTTGGGGAGAAGCGAGTGAGTGCTGGGTGCCTGTGCTCAGCAGTGTCCAGTCCTCACCTCCGTGCACTTTGGAGAGATTCCTGGAGAGGCTTCCCCACCTAATGTGAGCCCAAAACATCTCCCAGAGCCTGAAATCTCTCCACAGACAAGTTTCTCCTTGAGGATTCAGTGTTGTGTTTTTTTTCCCAAGTTCCTCTTTGAAAATACAGACCCTGCTTTCTTGAAGTACTGTGCTGTGTCCCCACAGCATGTCTGATGGGTCACACTCCCTGTGGCAGGACAGGGAGCAGGGTGGGAAATGACAGTTCGAGTCCTTCTTCTCATCCGCATGTACGGTAATCTTGGGCAAAGCCTTTGTCTCTCTGCACCTCAGTTTCCCTATTTGTAAAATGGGCGAGTGGATCACATCATTGGCTGCACACAGGCTGATAGCATGGAGATCCCTTGGTAAAAATAAACCCAGGCCCATGTTTGGAGATTTGGATACAGCTGGTCTAGATGGGATCTGGGAAACTATTTTTCACAAGTTTCTCTCATGACTTCTTAAAGGATCCAAACAACAGGATGAGATTCTTGTCAAAATATCTTAACCTCTAGGATTCTAAGATCAATTTCTTTCCCTCACATTGCCCACTGCCAGGCACAGACAGCCTATAGTGCGTTTGAGATCGGGCAGCACCCGTATCAAGCAGATGTATTTTGCCTTGGCCACTTTCTGGAGAGTCACGGGGCAGAGAAAGCACAAATACTTATTTTCAGATTTCAGCAAAGATCGGAACCGAGGAGCTGGTGAGGAGCGTACAGTCCCAGGCCGTGCATCTGACTCAGTAGATTCAGAATAGGGAGTGGGGTATCTTGGGAGGCTGGAGGGGCTACTTCAAAGGACAGGGGTTTGGATACAGGATCAGAGGAGAGGGAAAAGCTAGAGGCCATGTCTCTGCAGTATGCAGTCCCTGGAATCCCAGCGGCATCTCCGGAGACATAGTGCCCCGCCTGAGTGCCGAGTGAAGAGCAGCCTGTCTGGACTTACCGGTCCCCCATGTAGGGGTGCGGGCAGGTGCAGGAAGCGCCTTCAGAGGAGGAGATGCAAGGACCCCCTTCGAGGCAGGGTGTGGAAGTACAGTTCTCGGCGCCTCTGCGTTCATCACAGTGCTTCCCAGAGAACGGAGGGGGACACTCGCAGACATAGCCTAGGAAAGACAGGAGAAGGTGGCGGCTGATGGAGTCACCAGCCAAGCAGGCGGGTGGGACTCGGCCGTGTGGTGGCCATTGTTCTTTATGCAGCCACCTGTGGCCAAATACCAGTGGTGCCCTGCTGAATAGGAACACTTGGTCCCTAGCCTTAACCTACCTACAGGCAAGGAGGGAAAACGGGCATCTGAAGAGTAGCTGGGGACAGAGGAGTTACAGTTACGGTAATAAACACTCACGCACGGTCACTGATCTAAGGGTCTTTGTGATTTAGCTCTTCTGATCCTGAATTCCTTGGTCTAGTAATCAGGTACCTGACATCAGCTGCGGTTCCCTGATCCTCTCTGGGCACAGGACCAGAAGTGGCCAAAGAGGGAGGGAGACACAGAGAATGTGTTCTATTTGCTCAAGGTCACACGGCTAGTAAATGGCAAAACCTGGAATTCAAATCTAGCTACTGGGCTATAATTATCTCCATAATTACGAAGAATTTAGTTTTATTAAAGGGAAACATTGAGGAGAGGGTAGTATAGTCTAGAAGCCCAGGAAATAGTTCATTTGAGACCTGAAAGATGAATGGAAATTAGGAGGAAAGAGAAAGCGGTTCAGGCAGAGGATTGTAAGGGCTCAGAGGAGAGGTTGTGGCGAGTTCAGAAAAGGAAAGGCCGTGAATGTGGCCCGCCCAGTGAGGAATGGGCACAGTGTGAGGTACAGGACAGCCCAGCGCACGGGGCAGCGGGGGCTGTGGGCACTGATTTACACTCCTCAGTAGAGGGGGGCGGGCCACCGGACAGTCCTTACAGGGCAGTGGCGTGCCCAGATCTGTGCTTCACTGAGGTCACTCTGGCTCCTGCAGGAGGTGGGATGTGTGGGGAGAAGCTGGAGAAATGGCAATGGGTCATCAGGGTAAAAGTGAGAAAACGGATGATGTCAGGGTGGGCAGGGGTGTGGGCACCCAGCAGCCTTGGCACAGCTGGTGAGGTAGAGACTGCAGTGGTCACGCTGTGAGCCACCAAGCTCTGGATAATCAAGACACTTCTTTGCGTACTCCAGGCACGTGAGTATGCAAATAGGAAACTCTCACACAGGTTCGTAAAGAGCTATGGATAAGATGGAGATGCCCATGTATGTATGGCTGGGAGGAGGGAAGGGAAAATGTTAGTTCATATGCACCATGGGGGACCGGGCCACAGTTAAAAGCAGTGAGTAAGAATTACTCATGATAGTACGAGCTGATCTGAAAAATCCGTCGCTGGGGCTGGGGCTATCAGCAGCATAAGCACTTGCCTGGCCAGTGCAAGGTCCTGAGTTCAAATGCTGATACCTTAAAAAAAATTGCTAAAGCTGGGTGTGATGGCATAAGTCTGTCGTCCCAGCTCTCTGGGAGGCTCAAGCAGGGATCCACAAATTTGAACCTAGGCTGGGCAACTTAGTGACTTAGGGAGACTGTGTCTCCAAACTTACAAATAAATAGAGGGCTGGGGATATAGCTCAGTGCAAAGCCCCTGGGTTCAATCCCCAGTATTGAAAACAAATAAGTGAACACGTAAAAAGTTACTTATTAATAACACATTCAAGTGTCAAGCTAGTCATATGCATTGTGTAAGGACCCGTTCAGAAACATTAACTGTTCCTGGTGGGGGCCAGAAGGGTGTAAAGGGTGGAGGACAGGTTAAAGGGGGAGAAGAGGTGGCCCAGACCACCAGTGACACTGAGATATGTGATTATATCAGCTCTGGGGACCCGGGGTCTTCTGCAACACCACAAAGACATGAGGAAGAGGAACAGCTCCTGACTCCCCCAGCATAGACCTAGCAGTTCCCACCCTGCTGCCCATAGCCTGGTGAGGGTAAGAGAGGGGTATACGGAGTTGGAAGGCACGAGTGTGCTGCCTGGCTCTGTACCCCGAACTCGCCTCTCCCACTGAGCATCCACCCTTGCCCTATGCAGCCCTTAGAGCCCTGCAGTTCCCTGAGCTGTGACATGGCACTGTGAATGCCTCTTTCTCCTCCTGCCCTCAGGGCCATGGGGAAGGCACTTGCTTTGTCCGCCTGCCAGTGACACGGGATTGCAAGCTCAATGCACCAAGGACCCTGAGGAGTCTGGGGTGAGCTCAGGCTGCCTGCTCTGGCTCTTACCTGCCCCAGGGGTCTGTGAGCACCTCCCACCGTTGAGGCACGGGTTCCGGCTGCAGTGGTCGCCATGCAAACAGCACTGGCTGAGGGCCCGTTTCTCCAGTAAACCTGCAGTCTTTTTGCCGTGGACCAGCAGCTCCAGCCCCTCTCTGTTGACCACAATGGCATCCAGGCAGCCCTCAAAGCCCTGGGAAACGTTGGAGGAAGAATTCGAGAGGACAAGGCCGCCCAGCACAAGGTGTCTTTTAGGCCGCAGAGCCCGGCACTTGTCGGGGACAGCGAGGGAGACGTTGCTCATGCCGTCCACTGACAGGCGAAGGGAGGTATCTGTCTCCTCCACCAGGATGGAGTGCCACTCGTGGTCATTCACGTGGCGCTGGGAGGAAAGGTTTCCATAGAAGCCACCTGGACAGCGGTATTCCAGCTGGGGCACTCCACGGGTCAGCTGCAAAGAAAACCCAAACAGCCATCAGCAAAGCCAGGAAGTCCTCATAAATCTGCCAACCCACTTCCAGTTCAAAGAGGGTTGCTTCCTGGGGACGAGCAGTAGTGTTTGGTGATTTTCAAGGGTGTTCTAGGCATTGCATTCGAGGGACAGAAAACCCCCCAGAGTCTCATTTGGCTTCACACATTGCATGGGACGATCTGAATGACAGTCATCTCCGTTTCAGGGCCGAGGAAACCGAGACCAGAGATGTCTTACTAGTCACGACCCTGTAGTTTGGAGTCTTCGTAGGCCTGTCCAGCTATCAGCTATTAAACCAAGCAGAAGAACCTTGAAAAATGTAAAACAGCCTTACTCTTGTCTCTTATTTAGATGTTAGAAAATGTAATTATTTTTCATAAAAATGTGGCATTTATATTAACATGTAGAGGCTTTCTTGTTAAAGGAGGTCAGAAATATTTTAAAATATTTTAAAATATTTTTAAAACAATGAAAAATAACAGTGCTGACAACCAAAGCCCATATAAGCAAAACTTCCCTCAAATCCTCAGCAATTTTTAAGAATGTGAAAAAGTTGTGAAATTGAGAAATCAGAGGCCTACTCTGGCGTACAACATTTTTGTTCACTCCCAGGAAGCAGGCTCGCCTGGGGCCGAATGCTTTTCTGTTCTCTCTGGGCTCGATCGTTTCCTCTGGGCTAACTCTGAAGGTCTAACCCACTTTCCTGGAAGCTTCCCACTTCCATGTCACCTTTTCTATTTGTCTGGGTGGACCCTAGCTATACCTTTATATAAGAAGGAAACCGTATTATTGCCACTTTCCGCTTAGACAAAGGATTAATGAAAATCAGTGCAACTCCGAGCACTGCGGTTACCTCGGTGGGAGCACAGGTCCATGCGCCTCACCGTCTCTCCTCTCGGTTGTGGCCTGGCTTTCCTGCTCACCCAACGCAAAACCACAATCATCATAAGCACCGCCTTCTCACACGCTCGCCTTCCTGTCTCTTCCTTCCTAGAACTCACACTCGGTTAGCTCCCAGCTCTGGAAAATCCAAGTCTGCCTTATTCTGCAGATGGCCAGAGAAGATGGGCTGCCTTCTGGCTGCCTTTCACTTCATGGCCAGCGGTCTCCAGGGAGCCTTTAATGCCGCCCGGTCACAGCTCTGCCTTAGGACTGTCGTGACCTCTCTCCTCTGACCCGGAGTGTCCTGCCCCATGCTCACTCCTTGCCTGGCCTTCCTACTGCAGCCTCAGTGGCATTTGGGGGCACTCTGCCACCCCATCTCTCCACCGTGGCTGGAGCCAGGATGCCCTAGATCCCCGCCTTGCTCCTCGAAGGCCAGGTTCTCCTGAGTCCTTGCTCTTGCCTACAACTGTTTCATTCATTCTAATCTCCAAATTATAGTCGCCTTGAACTTGATGATCCTCTTTGCAGCAGAATTGCATACACACGCCCCACCTCCACACTACGCTGAAGCCACTGGTGTCAGGGGACTCGGTGGCCTCCGTGATGCCATCGGGAATAAAACCTCTTCCATCTGCCTGGGCTCTGGGCGGCAAATCGCCCGGCTGATCACCACTTCCTCCTGGCGCGTGCTCTTCACGCGTGCACTGTCCTCACACGGGTTTTCCGCCCACTCTCTGGCTGCTTGTTTTTACTCCTTTCTTGGCCCCTCCCTTTGGGCCTGGCCCTTTCATGCTCATGTGTCTCATGGATTTCAATCCAGATGCCCACGTTCCCATCTGCAGCCCAGACCTCACAGCACTGTATGGGTTTGTCCACTTCTGATGGAGGTGTAACACACACGTGTGCAAAACAAGCCACTCCAGCACAGCCTCCCCCTACTCCGTTCGGGGCAACTCCGTCCTTCAGGTTGCTCAGGCCAAGATTTCACTCCTCACGTTCTTGCCTACCTACACGCAGGCTCTGAGAAATGCTGTCAGCGTCACCTGTGACATCTTTCCAGAACCAAACACTGCACCAGTTCCTCTGCCATCACCCTGGTCTCCATTGCTGACCGCTCTCACCCAAACTGCCGCCATCACCTTCTGATTAGATCTGGCTACTCTGGTCATTTTTCCTCTAAAGTCTGTTTTCAACACAGCAGCCACGAGGACCCCTGCCATGGTTTATACCTACATGTCCTGCAAAAGCTGCCTGCATTCCTAGGGAGGGCTTTTGGAAGGTGACTGGATCACTGGGGCATTGTAGCCGACTCTATTAGGAGGTGGCTTCTGGTCAGAAAAGGCAGGACACTGGGGCATGACTTGCAAAGGTTTACCTGCCACCACACCCGCCCCTCTGTGCACCATCCTACCTGGGAGCCAGCTGATTACACAAGGACCGAAACCTCTACAAACTGTGAACCATGCAAGCCTCTCTTCTAAGTTGCAGGTGGCAAGTATTTCGTCCGGCATGGGGAAAGCCACTAAACCAGACCCTTTACAATGCATCCGATTATGTGATTTGCTGCTCAACAAAACCTTCTCATACCTTCCTCTTTGCTCGTTATAGAATCCATAACCCTTCCGTGGCCCACAAGACCTGGATAGATGTGTCCCCATCCCACAATATCTCTGGCCTCAAATCCCACTGCTGCTACCCCTGGCCCCTGCTCTGGAGCCCTGGAGAACTCTGCACTGTTCTGAAACATGCTACAGGCTCTGTCAGAAGGCCTGTGCCTTGCTCTTCTGTCCACTGAGATGTCCTCACTGATGTCCACATCGCTGCCTCTCTCACCCCCTTCAAACTGTTGCCAAAATTGCAACTCCCCTCACCTGGCCCCTCTTAACCTTTTCTTTTGCCTCCTTACCTGTAACACTTGCATTCAAACTAGTCTATGACCTCCCCATTTGTTATGGGTCAGTCTCCCTCCTGTGGAATGAAAAGCTCTATCCCAGACGAGACTAGAACAGCACCTGTCACACAGTATAGATTAGATGCCCATTAAATGTGCTGAATGACTGAACACCTCCCACCCACAGAAGCCAGCTTTCTGTGTCACAGTGGGAGATCAGCCCATGTGACAGAAGTGTTAAAATCAGGCAGGGAGCCGAGACTTCCCACAGGACCTGATGGTGAGCGCTGAAAGACTGCTGAGAGGAAGTTAACTTTTCCTCATGTGGCTTTATGCTAGTCGTGTCACCGTGAGCAGTCCCAATGGTAGCCAACCCTTGGAAAACACCAGCCTTTTACTCAGCAAAGACAGGCACAATGCCAGGGTTGGGTCGACCCAGCCATCTCCGCCTGCCCTCTGGGGCTCCCTCTTATTACCCCACAGAGCCAGCAGCCCAGCACGGGGTTATCAATGGACTGTGGTACGCCTGTCCCATGTCCTGGCCCACTGGTCAGCCCAGGATTCCTGAAAGTGATTTCCTTGCCAGGAGTTGGCTTCTTGGACACATCATGCCCCCTCCAGCCCCTTGCCCTGGTGTGACATGCCCGAGGCAAGAGCGCCTTACCTTCAGGGAGATGGGGGCCGTCTCGTTGGTGAAGAGGAGGACGGCATGTGGCTGGAGCGTTTTCAGAGAGAAATGGATGTGCCAGTTCCGCCCCTCTGCAGGTCTGTACTGCACGTAGCTCTGCCCGTTGAACCGTGTGGCAGTACCTGCAAAAGCCACCAGAGGGATCAGTGCCACAGACTGACTTGTTTCATTCAGTTCTTAGGTGGGGGAGTCTCTTCCAGGGCCGCACAGCTGAAAGACCTGCACACCTCCCCCTGCCCGGGGACCACTGCCCAGTTAGGGGTCAGAACCCATGAGCCTACATCAGAAGAAAGCTAGAGTCGAGCCAGGAATCTAACCAAATGCATGCGTGGAAATCAACATTTCTAACTTACACCTTCCATGTTACAGGATTTCTGACGTCACTCGGGGGAGAGAGAACTGCAGAGGATTTTGCACATGTGCGGGATTTCCTGAGCACCAGGGTTTTTACCTGGTCCTTATATCAACAGGACTCTGTAATCATTAGGTAAGCGCTTCCACAGTGAACAACCCCCCCCTGGAGTTCAGGAATATTCCATGATAAAGGGGGTTGAAACAGATGGTTGGCCCAACTTTCTGTAAAGTCCAGCACCCCCACCTCCTCTTAGCCACTGCTAAAGCACAGGTGCACAGTAAAAGGTCTAAGAATTCACCTCTCCTCTGATTTTTCAAGTGCATCTGATGCTGGGACACGCTTACGTGGATACCCTTAGGAACAGCGAGCTGAGCTCCCTTTGAGAAGTGCTGTGTTAGTTAAGCACTGCCTTCTAGATGTGAGTTCAGCTATCAAATCATGCCTAAACACCCAGAGTTTGCCAGGGAAAGGATGAATAATGCGCCCCAGACACCTGAGGGAAGGAGAACTGTTGAAGAGCAGGAACCAAGGCCAAAAAAGAACAGAAGGGAGACCAGGCAGCCTGCGGCTGCAGGGGCCCAGCATCCAAGGAGCCCACCCACTTGAAGCCTAAAGCTCTCCGACCTGGCGATTCCCGCACAGCAGGGCATTGTTGCACGGGGTGGGGGGCTGAAGATGGGCAAGTCAAGAACCCCCAAATGTGGCTAAATATCAGGATCACCCAGAGAGCTACTTAAAACGCAGAGTCCCAGCTCTTCCTGTCGTGGATCTGGGGCAGTAGGTCTGGGTGGCACCTGGGAATCGGAGTATTAAAAGTCATCCTGGGATGAGTGTAGCTGGAAAAGAACCCGAGCGAGGCTTCTGAGATATGGGTCATCCCCTGGCTTTTTTCTTGGTGCTGGTTCCACAGATTTATCCAGGTCGTGAGAACGATTGAGCTTTACACTCATGGCACATGGATTGATTCTTGGAGTGTCACACTGCATTAAAATACATTTTTCAAACCCTCTCTCAAAGTGATTCTGTTATTCAGTGAGTCTGTCTAGCATTTATCAAAGCACAGCCCTGGGGTCACCTGCTTACAGTTAAATGTCAATTGTAAGATTCACCCAAGAGCTTCTAGAATGTGGAGGGTGCACCCATGAGCAGGCATCTTTAAAACGAAGGTGAGCCTGTACAATGTGGACCTCTAGAATCTCTGCCATCTGCTGCCAAGTGGTCGAGAGAGATCTTTCAGCCGCATCAGCTTTCCCTGAAGCCTGCGAAAGAATTTCCAGAATGCAAACTGGATGGCTCTGTAGAGGGGAGGCTGGGCCGGGGAGAGGGTGATGGTCAGCCGAAGGTGGCATCCCTGCGTTCACCAATGATGAGGCGCTCTAGAGAACTGGTTAGACTCAGTCAGAAAACTGAGTTCCAGGAGAGCTCAGGGAAGTTTCTGGTTAGAACAGGAATTCACATATGGTACCCCACAAAGCATAAGCTCCCCAACTGCAGTTTCAGGTGCAGGTGGGCTAAGACCCTTCTCGGGGAGGTGACTTGTGTGCAGAGCTGACACACAGCAGGCTGGTTATGTCATCCCTGCTCCCCAGTGATGACAGCCACCATCCATCCTGGCCTGACTGTGGGCCGGCTCCCCAGACCAACTCCAGGAGGCAGTGCTAATACTGCCTCTGCTATATAGTTTAAAAACTGGAGCCAGGAGGATTTTGATAACAAATGCAAGGCTACACAGCTAATAAGTCATTAGGCTACGGTCTGAAGCTACACTGAGTCTAGACTGTGAGCTGACATTAGCAGGCTATGGGAATAGCATTAGTAACTTGTGTTTAGCAAGCACTTTCTTCTGTGTCAGGCGCCCTCATCAGCAAGTACCTGGTATTTCATGTTCATTCAACCCCTGTAGCAGCCAAGCCCAGACAGAGGACGTTGAAGCCAGTAAGGGGTAGAGCTGAGATTTGAACCCAAGCAGCCTGATGCCACAGTCTGTGCTCTTTCCTGCAGTGTTAAGCTGCCTGCTGTATTCTCACTGTTATTTGCAGAATTCCCCAAAGTGCCGGAAACCGGGTTATCATCTGATGACTAGATTTTGTGAGGCTGCAGTGATATGCAGCATCTGGCCTCGTTCCACCTTTCCCAGCTCCCCACCGAGCCTCTGCGGGCTTTCTGGGCTCAGGCAGAGCCTGACAGGAGGGCCCACTCCTCACCGTTGCAGGCACAGCTCCTCTCCAGGCGATGCCTCGGCGTGAGGATGCTGAGCCTGGCCGTGCTGTATGTGGGCCCCACCTTGGGGTCCAGGTGCACCGTCTCTTGGCAGGGCTGAGCCTGGCAGCTGGGCCCCTGGCAGGGTACCACAGGCATGGCTGATCTCATCTGAATTCCCACCGAGTGCTCCATCTCCTTGGCTGAGTGAGCGAGGATGGCTGCCAGCTCCTGGAGGTTATAGAAGGTTCCGGAATGCCCCTCCAAGACCAAGAGCACGTCCACCCCGGCTGTGGTGTCAGCAGGCTGGAGGCTGGCCAAGTGGATGTTGGCCCGTCGGATGTCCAGCTTGTTGCTAAGGAACCGCAGCAGGTTCCGCCAGTGGTCGCTCACCAGCTCTTCGGGCGTGAGCTGGTGGAAGCCGAGCCACAGGGCCTGCCGCAGGGCCTCCTGCCCCGCGTGCCACACATGCACGTGGACCCCCGCAGTGGTGGAGAAGGTCCCGTCACTGACCGTGACGTTGAACACATAGCGGCCATGAGGCAGCCCCCGGGCAGCGATGATCTTGCCGTCTGCAGTACCCACCGAGAAGCTGCTGCCCAGGGACCCCTCTGCTGCCAGGCTGTAGGTCAGGGTGTCCTGGGGGTCGCGATCTGTGGCATGGATTTTACCCACCATGCCACCCTGGAACGCCTCCTCCCCAACGGTGATGAAGATCTCCAGAGGGAGGGCGGAGGGTGGGTATCGGCTCTGCTCCGTGACGCGGATGCTGACCCACGTGGAGGACGAGAGTGGAGGGGTGCCACTGTCTGATACCTGTAGGCAGGACCAACACTGCCGTTAGGTGACACAACTGGGGCCCTGGGAGCCCTGGCTGAGGCTGGCTTCTCCGGGGCCCCATCTCTCTGTCCCACATGCCTGACGACAGACTTGGTGCACTGTCACGTCTGAAAAGAAATTTAACTACAAAAGCATATGTGCAATCTATGGATTTTCTGAAGGTGGGAGTTACAGCCCATTTCCACAGGAAAAGGTTCAGTTTTCTCTCGGTCACCTCTCCAGGAGAGACACAAACGTGGACCGTCTTCCTTCTGGAAGCTTCCTTGTCTGTCTCTTCCCTCAACAGTCATCAGAGCCTCTTAGCAAATCCAAGGCACCCCACCCAGCCAAGGAGATTCAAGATTCTCTTTGTCAGTCACCAAATATTTCTCACACACCCCTGCCCAACTCAATACAAAGCCCGCCTCTGTCTTCCTAGGGCACTGTCACGTTCTCTGCTCAGTCGGGGTCTCCACGGTATTCCCTACGGAAATAGCTCGTCCACTAATGCTTGCTGGAGACTGGGCTGATATCAGTCCCAGCAGCAACAGCTAATACTGCTCACAACGTGATGTACCTAACACCAGCTACGACGGTAGCTCATTTATATAACTACTCGTTATAATACGGAGCTAGCAGGAGCTGAGTACAGACCATATGCCAGTGACTTTGACATGCTAGGAACGTGTTTTCCTAGCTCAGCTTTCTTATGAGATGGGGACCATGAAGTCTCCCATTTTACTAAATGCATCAAGCTCAACTCACCCTAGGTCACAGCAAGCACGAGCAGATGCGGCCTGTGCAGATCTGAACTCGGAGTTTGTGGTCAGTTCCTGCTCACTCGCCTGTCTATGCTGCCTCGCCATGGACAGAAGCAGAAACATGGAACAAACCTGAGAGGGTGGTGAGGCCGGCCGTCGCTAGGCACCTGCCTGGGCCCAGCCCGTGGCCTGGGTCTACAGCATAGGAATCAGAAGCTGACCTCCCTCTGCTCCCACGGCAGTCAAGCTCACGCCTTTGGTGCTGGGGATACTCAGCCTCAGTCTGGACTTTCCCTATGAGCTGCTGACTCCCTGCCCACCATTCCATTGACACCTGGACTTTTACCTGCAGGGCATCAGCTATCCCCTCCCTGTGTAAGGGTGGGCAAAGCACAGCCTCGTTTTACCTCCTAAGCCTGCCTCTCCTCACCCCTCCTGAGTGTTCCCAGGGCTCTGTTGGGCATGAGCATCTCCTCTTTATCAGTGCCAGCAGATCGACAATCAATTTGATTGTTCTTTCTTCTGTATACACCCACATCCAGGCCATCACGAACTCCTACCTATTTACAGATAAAAACTGTCCCAAGCCTGCCCGCGCCTTCCATTCTCACCGTCACCAGAGATCTCAGAGCCCCCGAAATAGCTTGGGGGACCCTCAGCACCCTGCCTTGCTGAGTCTCCACAAAGCTTCAGTGTGGCCATCTGGAGATGCGGAGACTGTCCCTGTTTGAAGCCCTTCTTACTTGCTTAGGTTAGAATCCAGAAGTGTCACCAAGGCCTGCAGTGAGGATGCCATATCTCCTCGGCTTTTACCTGTTGTGATCAGTTACCATCAATCATTTTGGTCCTTCATAGGACTGAATGTTTGTGTCTGTCCATGTTGATTTCTTGAAATCCAGCTCCCCATGTGATGCATTTGGAGGGGGGGTGCCTTTGTGAAGGGAACCAGGGCCCATCTAAGAAGAGGCCAGTGGCCAGCTTGCCGTCTTCCTGCCATGCACAGCACAGCAGAGGACCCTTTCCAGAACCTGCCTGTGGTCGCTGTGCAATCTCAGATTTTCAGAATGATGAGAAGCAGATGCCTGCTCTCTAAGCCACGGTCTATAGTATCTGCCTCTGGGAGCCCGAATGGACTAAAGCTGGACCTCTCAGCTCCCTGGTCACAAGCTGTGGACTGTTAGTCACACAGTGCCCACGCCGTGAGACTGCTGTACGCCCTGGCCTCCCTCCAGCTTCCTCCTCACCATCGCTCCCTGCTTCCTCCTGCACCACAGCTCACTTCAAACTCCTCCCCAGCTCGAGACCTTGTTCATCCTTGCTCAGAACAGGCCTGGCCACCCCTCTCCCAGCTGGCTCCCCAAGGCTCCCCTCAAATGTCCCCTGTGTGAAAATCCATGGGGCCCCTATCTAGAGCTTCTTATCACTTCATTTCTGTACTCTAACTTTTAAAGATGTTATTTATCTGTTTATTAGTATCTCGTTGTGTAGCCCAGGCTGGCCTTGAACCCATGGCCGTCCTGCCTCAGCCTCCTGAGGCTCCTGACGGCTGGGATTACAGGTGTGTGCCACCATAGCAGCTGCCTGTTTAGATTCTAACTATGGAAACAAAGCCATGAGGAGGAACCCCACTCCTTTATCCTGGTCTGTTCCTGGCAGACACTCGATAAATACCGTTGAGAGCCTGAACCACTGAATGTAAATGAATGAAGACCACATCATTGTAGTGCAGAAACCCACAATACTAGGGTCTGCTGGACTTGGGACTTCAGAAAGGAATTTGGGGAATGAAATGGGAGAAAAATGTTTGACCACTGTTCTCAGGTAGTTTCCATACAACCCACGCCACACAATCTCATGCACGGGGGCACAGAGTCGCTCACTGAGCCCACGAAGTCCTGTGAGGTAAGGCTCCCAGCGCCTGAGCCCCAGAGTGGGTTCTGGACACACCCGGAGCTGGAGTGGGTCCTTTGCACAGCACAGGCGTTTGGTCTCTGCAGTCAGAGTGCTTGGGTTTGGAGCAGCCTATGTCCGCTACATCTAGAGAATACTATAAGTCTGTCTCTTACTTAACCTGTGTGCCTCAGTTTCCTCATCTGCACAGTGGAACAGTAAGGAGCATGATGAGGATGTAATGCAGGGGTGCATGTCAAGCACCCAGCCCAGCCCGATACTCAAGTGCCCCTTTTCCTAATAACAGAAGCACTGGCTGTGTGTGTCTGTCGTCCCCACTGTCACCACCATAAACCAGGGGCCAGGCACACTCTCACCTCGATCTGCAGCTGGTACTGCTCCTGAGCGGCCCTGCTCAGGCCTGCAGTGGTCACCAGCCACCCTTCTGGAGTCACTCGGAAGGCAGAGCCAGCGTTGCCCTTAGTGATTCTGAAGGAGTACGGAGGGCCGTTCTCCGGCGAGTCGGGGTCGCTGAGGATCAGCTGCAGGACTTGACTGCCGACGGGGGAGTTCTCCTGAGGGCAAGAGGAGTGGGAAGACAGTGCCAAATGAGTGTCCCCGGCCCTCCTCTGTGCATCTTCTGGGACCCCTTAGGGAGGAGGAGTTCTCGGCCCTCTGCCTGCACCCGCCTGGCACCATCTCTGCGTTCTGTCCTGCTGCCTTTTCGAGCTGCTGCCAAGGGCAGTGCTGGGTCTTAGAAACAAAGCTTACTGGGACCGGAAGGGTCCTTAGGGACCAACGGGAAGCCTTTGGTCAACGAGAGGTGACTCTTGAGAGGTCGCAGAGCTGATGCATTGTAATGATAAAATAGTAGCTGGAGCATGTGGGAGGGAGCAACCAGCCACTCACAAGGGGCCTGTTCTTCAGATCACTGTACTCAGTGTCAGGCAACTTTAAAAATGAACAGGTTAACCAAGAAAATATGATGGCCCAAGTATCATTTCAGCCTTTGTTATGAAATGTGGGAATTGAGTGGTTTATCACACCGATGCTTCAGTAACACAGTCTTCCCCACCCACAGAATCTAAGACTGACAGCTGCCCGGCCAACAGACCGCGTTTCTCTCATTCTCATAAAACTTTGCTTTTGTTCAGGCACAGAATGGCAAAATCCTTAGGCCACAGGTGCCCGTCTTATAAGTTTACAGAGGAAAATTAGTCCAAATCCAGTTCCCTGGGCCAGGTTTTGGTGTTCAGAGTGAGGCTATAATCTAGTCCTGACCTTGAGGGAGGTTTATTGAGTGATCTTTCTGAGAACTTTTGTGTGTGTGTGTGTGTGTGTGTGTGTGTGTGTGTGTGTGTGAGAGAGAGAGAGAGAGACGAAAACGGATCCTTCCAAAGAAGTCCCCTTCTGTGTGCCTTTGCAGACCGTCAGGCAAGCATGTGAGTCTAGAGCTGTAGCAGCTCTTTTGCCATGAGGGAGAAGGTGGAGGAATTTCAAAGGCATTAACCCAAAGCGGTGACGTTGCTGCTTACTGAAATAACCGAGTCTGGATGGAACATTCCATCATCTTAAGAAGTCTTTGTCACTTCACAAACTTGTAGTCGTATCAAAAGCATTCTGACTCACATAAAGCTGCTATTAGTGGGACCCCAGGTGACGGGTAGGACCTGAATTCTCTCTTGCCTACTTCCTTGTCTCCCGTACCTCTTAGAGCCTTGACAATTCCTCCACAGAAACACAAGGCTCTCTTCAAATCCCATTGCGAACTGTTGAAAATGACTTAGGACCTAGCAAATCTTCAGGGTTTAAGGCCTGAGGTGACTTGCCATAGCTCTAGCATGTTTTTCAGCCTGTGGAGTAGGTATTATCCCCTTGACAGGGATGTCGTGAGCCCCCGAGGAGCAGAGGGCAGGGAAATGCTTAACACCATCCCTGGTATCTTCTTTCCATAGCTCATAGTCCCCTTCAGCTGCCCGCACCGCCTTCAGGGATCTCAGTGGCAAAGCCACAGCTGCTGTTTACATCGAGGGCTACCCTGAGGAGACCTCCCACTAAGGGGGACAAAGTGGGAGAGAGGCTTTGGGAGCCCGTGGGGCTCAGGCATACCTGGACAGCAGTGCTGTAGTTGAGCTGGAAGAATCTAGGTGGGTTATCATTGACATCAACCACTTGGACATCAATGTCCACGTCCGAGTGCAGAGGGGGCTGCCCGCTGTCTGTGGCCCGCAGTTTCAGGGAATAGCTGGATGTCTGTCACAAGATGCCCAGTGGCAGGTTAGCAGCAAGGCCCCTTGGGTCTGCCCCTTGACTCATTGCTAGTGTTTTTGGATAGATGGGATGGAGATGCCTGCCTGGACCCACCCTCATTGCCCATCCATGGCACTGTACCACTCAGGCTCTGGAGTCCCGAAGAAGTGGGTGTGATTTATAAGTCAGTTACTAGCTCTGGGGTCTTGAGAAGGGGACTACACTTACTCGGGGATAAGGTCAGTACCAGTTTCTTGGGATCATCTGGAGGACCGAATGATGCCATGCATGGTAAGCATTTAGCAAAATGTGCAATGCTCACTAAGTGGTGGTGGTTCCTGGCATGACCCAGTGATCCCTGATGAATGGTGACAAAAGCCTGAGCTCCACCAGGGGATGCTCTGGGCAGGGGTGGGTGCTGGCTACAGTTCATGCTGCAGACCTGTAGCAGGGCCACACCTCTGCTCTGAGGAGCTCACAGGGGACCCTGCCATCCATTCCTTACCTGTTCCCAGTCCAGGGCCTTGGCCACCTGCAGCTCCCCCTTCTTGGGGTGGATGGTGAAGTGTCCGAGCTGATTCCCTCCTACGAGGCTATAGGTGATGGCGCTATTGAGGGGTCCATCCTCGTCAGTCGCTGACACCTGTGGTGGGGGACAGTGATTGTGAATGGAGGCACAGGAGGGACCACAAAGGAACCTTAGCCCCGAGAGTGCAGAGGAACAGATAGGTCTCTGCCCAGGGCTGCCACTGGTGGTCATCCTTGCAAGAAAATCACAAGGAAGGATTTCAGCATGCCACTGTGTTCCATTCATAGAGCAGGGTGCTGGGAGGCTTGGAGGAAAGAGATGGACCAAAATGAATACATCTGTGCGGAACTGGTTTTATGGGTGATTCTAACTCGGGCAAAGTATAATCAGACTCATGAGGGTGCAGAACACACTGATCCATTCCACCTGGGGAAATCAGTACTGGATTTGGGGAGCCCTGAAAGATAAGGAGAGCTCCTGGGAGGGGACAATGTGCACCCAGAGGAGTGACACTGCTGATGTCTGGGGAGAGGGCACGTTCAGGTAGGCGGGGAAAGCAGGAGGAGGGGACAGGAGCTGTGAATGTCGGTGTCCAGAGCCTGGTTTCACTCCTTAGGAAGGGGAACAACTGCATATCTAAGTGCAAAGGCGAGTGATTTGCTGTCTGCCCGTCCCTGTCCTCTACCGTGTCACCCACTGTGACCAGACCCTGGCAGGCCTCTAGGGCCTGGTCTGTCTTCCCTCTTTGCTCTCCTGCAAAGCTTGCCTGTCCCGTGCTATTCTATCAGAACCCAACTGTATCAAAGGGCTCTGGTAGGTCCTGTCCCAAGACATGGTTTGGCTGAGTCATTTCCAATCAGACCCAAAACTATAGCATATTAATTTGATAAGTGAATCTATGGCCACAGATGACCGGGAACAGAGGGAGTGACGTAAGAGCCCACCCAAACCCGGCCCCACAAAGAGTACAGTCGAGGATCCTTACCGTGAGGATGATGTCACCCCTGATGGCATTCTCTAAGACCCTTGCGCTGTACAGGTCCTTGGGGAATCGGGGGTGGTGCTCGTTGACATCAGTGACATTGACCACGATAGTGGTCACGTCGCTGAGGGAGGCAGAGGCCTTCCGGATGCACTCGATGGACAGGAAGTACTTGGGACTTGTCTCAAAGTCCAGGCTCCTATTGACATATAGGATCCCTGAAGGAAAAAAGGGGCCACAGATGCAGCAAGGCAGGGAGCAGGGGTCCCGTGGGGCTATGACAGGTGATGTCCTCCTCTTGTCTCCCTCTTGTAAGGGTCTTTTCTCTTCTCCCTTCATCTCATTGTTTTTTCTTTTACTGTAATTCCTAAAAGCTGTGTTTCCCTCATTTATTTCTGTAACATCTCATTTAAATCTGTGCTGCTAAATTTATGTCCTTAAGATCTATATGGGAGGGATCAGGCTGAATTCAGCATCAATGTTAGCAATAAAAAAACAAAACAAAACAACCAGTCAGCTGAAATCGTCACCCAGGAAGTGTGGTCAGTCTAAGATTGTTGACTTCACCCAGTCACAGCTTTTGATCCAGACATTCTCAGGAAATACAGAGGCTAGAGAGGTGTGTTTTATGACATCATCAGTTTGACTCAGGCCATCCAAACTGTGAAAACTTCAACCAGACACCTGACTCGAAATATTTCATTAAGTACTTGGTGGGGATGTAGGGAGAAGGTCAGTGTCTAAAAGAGGCTGTATATCAACCGATGCACTAGGTAGACACTGGGGGGGGGGGCTGATAAACCAACTTTAAAAACGAATTTATGACTACTCTGAGAAACTGCCTGATTGGGTAATGGCTTATATTAAGGAACTGTTACCTGTTAGGTGTGATAAGGTACTGTGGTTTTGTTTATAAAGGGAGTTGTCATTTAGAGATTCATACTAGTGTATTTATAAGTGACATGATACAATACCTGGATTTGCTTTGAAATTCCTCTAGATATAAAAATGAGGAAGGAGAATACACTCTAGTGTATCCAAAATAACTAAAAGAGTCTGAAGTTTCCCAACACACGGAGATGATAAAGGTTTGAGGAGACAGAAATGCCAGTTATCCTGATCAGGACTCACCTATTGTGGGTCTGTTCTGAATCACTGTGCTGTAGCCCCATAAAGATGAGCAAACTATCACGTGTCAATTCAAAATCCTGAAGAATAAACTAATTCTGGATAGTATTTTTGGACAAGAGGAAGGGAATTGGAGGGATGAATATAAGATGATTTTCACATATGAAAATTCTGAAGCCCAGTATTTTATAAAATTAACATGCACTCATTTAAAAATACATAAAAAATGAACTTCTGGAAATGGAGAAACAGAACAAATCTCAGCAGTGGATGTGAGTGCGGGGCTGAAGAACAGAGATCCAGCCAGACTTGTGTTCCTAACACCTGAACCTGGGCAAACACTATGCTATTCTGATTATTCAATGTTTAAAATCTCCATAATAAAGACTTCTAAGAAACATACTGCTCCTTCTAGGTGGCTGTGTGAGAAGGCAGACAAGCTCTATCTGCAGGGGAGGTTGCTGATGGGGTGACCTGGGCAGCCCGGGCCCCCAGTGAGCCTGCAGGGACCCAAGGCTGCATGGCTAGGACAATTGAGGGGTGTTTGCCCGGTTCTTTCTCTTTCCATGGTCATAAGGGAAAATGCGGGATGCTTGGGTATTTGAGGGGTCAGGAAGAAGGGCAGCAAATCTAAAAGCGGGTGATTGTCCTGAGCTGAGATCTGATCCCAGCTGGCCTGGGCTGACACTAGGAGGCCACCAGCTGTGGGAGGCGGGTGGGTCGCTGAGGATTTGGGACAGGGAGCCCTAGAGGTTGGCCTGGGGGGATTAAGGGAGGCTCCTGCATAGGTGCCTCAGGGTGCAAGGAGGGACCTGGCCACAGGACAGACGCTGAGACTGCAGACAGGCTCAGGGGAGTCCTACCCCGTTTGGTCCCTGCCCGGTGCCGCCTTCCCCTCACCTGTGCGGGTGTCCAGGCGGAACTGGCCTTGCTCGTTGCCGCTGACCATACGGTAACCGGTCTTCTCAGCCCCGGGGCGGGTGAGGGCAGCCAGCGACAGCACCTGAGCACCAGGTGGGGCGTCCTCACGCACCTGCAGGCTGTGCTCAGTGTTGAGGAACACGGGCAGGTAGTCTTCCAGGCCCACTACAGACACCGACACGGTGCCCAGTGTGGACAGTGGCATGGGGACGCCCAGGTCTGAGGCACAGACCGTGAGCTCCAGTACCCCCTGAGGCCTCGCCTGCAGCGGTTTCTCCAGTCGAATCACCCCAGTGGCAGCATCGATGGAAAACTGGCCTTCAGCAGAATCCGTCAGAGAGTAAACCACCTGGGCGTTGGTGCCTGTAGGGAGGACAAGCGCTGAACCCTGGCCCTGCCCACAGCAGGCACAGTGAGCACTGGAGGGCAAAGAGGGGTCCCCCAAAAAGGCCAGTGGTGCAGAGCACAGAGGAAGTGAGGCTCCTTCAAGCCAGGCTTCTTGCCTGGTGCACCCAAGCCCTCAAAAGATAGGTTTTCTTTGGGAGCATGGTGGAGTGTATAAGAGTGTTAGGTGCCCCTTGAATGCAGAACAATTGCTGCAGTATTAATTATATCAAACCTTATTTCCACGTACTGATACATACGGAGCTGGCTATGATACCTCCTTCTCTCTCTAAATGGCTCTGACAATGCAGATAAGGTCAGCTGAGTCCTGATGGGTAATATTTAAAGCCATTCCGACAGTCCCGTTTCCTCGAATAGTGCTCGCTGTAAAAGATCCCAGCGCAGAGGGATGGCAGAGCCACTCAGCTCCAGGAATGTCAGCTGGGTAGGAGCCTCCGAAGTAAGAGATTATGAGTCCCCAGGACACAAAAGTTTACATATCAGAAACTAAAGCAACAGCCTCCTAAATTCTTTCATATGCAAGCCCAGTCAAGTTCTGCAGACTGGTCCTTGAATATTGCAAAGATGCTTTTCTCCGCACCTGGCCAGCCAGCTCAAGTTACTCACCATCCTCACTATGCCTCATCCTCGAGCCTCCCCCTTCTTCACAAGATAAATTCTGGGCGAGGCCTTGGATCAAGCGTTTGTCCTCATATCCTCATTGGGTTGGGCTTAGGACCCCTTGGCTGCCCTTAGTTGTGAATCTGTCTGGGAATCTTTACTCTCACTGTGGGTTGCATCAGAGGTGGTAGTTTGGAATTAACTTGCCGGGATTCCAATAACATCTCAATGGGGTTGCACATATAACTTTTTGGATTGAGAGGAAGGTCAGAAAGGGATTACAATACTTGGGTTACAGTATTCTTTATTTGAGATTACAGTGGTGGAGCAATGTGCCAGCCTATCAGGCCACCTGAAAATGATGAGTGGCCTCAGGGTTAGGGTCCAGTGTCAGTTTATACATGAAAAGCGAGTGAGATATAACCACTTCTAGTGAGTTCTTTGCTTGTGATAGAATGGTTCTGTGTCTTGGTTATGCTGTTGTTTACACAAATTCATGGATAATATTACACAGAACCACACACAAACACTACATGTGTATAATATAAACCCATGCTGCACATAAACAATACAGACACACCCATTTCCATGACTACATGGAAAATGTAGTGGCCCTGGAATAGGGCTCAATCCAGCTAATAGTACTTTTTGTGAGATTTTAGAAATATTTATTTATGTATTAGGTTGTATAGAACTTCATGTACAACCAGCACTTTTTGATTAGCAGTATTGTCCAGTGCCAATTTCCTGGTTTCCCTGCACTATAGCTGGGGAATCTGGGTGAAGTATGCTCTCTCAATACCATTTTTTAAATTTCCTCTGAATCTATAATCATGTCGAAATTAAAAAGTTAAGAAAACAAACACAGCCGTGGGAAGTTCTTAGTACATCAGAGTGTTTCTGCGGTTTTGGTTCAGATTCCTACTATTTTCCTGGGCTATGAAGCAATTAGGTTATATAGAGCCCACAGTGTGTGAAAAATACCAGAGTTTAATGCTCAGCTATGAAACCATCACCCAGTGGGATACGTGGAAACCCTGAGCCTAAGGCCTTGTGGTGGAACAGAGGCAGGAACTGCCTAGGAGAAGCGTTAGTTTATACCTGTTAAATGCACATACCATGCAGCTAGCTGGTTTATGCATTTTTACAGGGAGAGCGTGAGTTTTCAAGCAACAGGGAGATGCAGGTGGAATATTTGAGTAGGATATTTGAGCTGCGACACACTGAAGATTAATGGTAAACTAATGCAAGGCCAGAGACTGTGTTCTAAAAGGCAGGTAGGCTTTGGACTCCCTTTTCCTTGTAGAAAGGGAGGCTTGGGGCAGGAACAAGGAGTCATCGCCTCTGGCGACAGAAGCACCATGGGAAGTTATGGGGTTAGAAGAGCTAAGGACTCTTCTAACAGAAGACTGAGACCTGGACCAACAGACATCAGGTCAGAAAAAAATGGCACTTGATAATTGTCTGAGAAACGTTGGAAGGAAGGGGCTGCTTAGGAATGGGGAGCTTTCGGTCCCTGGATCTGCAAAAGTCGTGGTCAGCTGACTTTTGTAAATGTTTGTAGCCATTAGGCAGACAGGTAGTTGAAATGGCTAATGGTCACTCCGGCTCCGCTGTATTCTGGTCCTGTCTTAGAAACCCAACTCTGCACCTTAGACAAGTCTGTCCACCAGCACCTGTTATTCCCACACCTTAGCGAGGCCCAGCCACCCGGCCTTTGCACTCACCCTTCCTAGGACCCCGCATTCCTCCAAAATCTCTGTCTTCAATACCAAGCTAAAGTGCATTGCCTCTAGAAGTCTTCAATTTACTTGATATTTAAAAGGCAGAATTAAAAAAAAAATAAGGTATTGCTATGTAGTTCAGGCTGGCCTGGACTCACTATGCAGCCTAGGCTGGCCTCAGACCTGAGGCAATCCTCCTGCCTCAGGCTCCTGTGTGCTGGGATTGCAGGTATGTACAAGCACCAGGCCAAAAGGCAAAATGTTTGACGCTGCTTTTGTCATGGTTGTCATCATGTCATTGTTATCATGATCTGCATCATCCTATGTTAATCTGATGACTTTGACCCCAAGGTCATTATTTTAGTCTATTTGAATTATAAAATTTGATCTGGGAAAGTGGGACTGCAATAGAATATTTCACAATGGCAGGTGGTGCGATTGGTACAATCAGGAACAAACACCTTTGATGAATCCCATGTGCTTTATGGATGGGATTTGATGAATCCCATGTGTGATTGTACCCCCTTCCCAAGTTTGCATATTGGAAACTGAATCCTCAAATTCTTATGCTAATGCTACTCGGAAGTGGGGCCCTTGGTAGATAACTGGAATTAGATGAGGCGATGAGGTCACTGGTGGCTTTAGAGACCCAAGGTGGCACAGGTGCTCTGTCTCTTCACGTGACACCCTCTGCTGCATTACGATGCAGCCAGCAGGTCCTGGCCAGAGGCGGAACAGATGTCACCACCATGCTTGACTCTCCAGCCTCCAAAACTGTGCCAAATAAACTTCTAGTGTTTATCAGCTATCTAGGCAGAGGTACTCAGCAGATGACAGGCTAAGACACCTTCTATGTTTTAAAAGCGACAGAACTAACCCCCATGAAAATAAGGTCATTAAAATTAAAACACAAAATGTTGAAAATAGTTCTACTTCACTGCCCAGAGATTAAACACAGAATAGGCTTACTGGAATTAGTGTCAAAAATTTCTTTTGAGGGCTCAATTAATTAAAGCTGGATAATTCTGGTTAAACGTGTGTATTCAAAATGCCTAGAGATTCAATGACCAGATTGAAAGTTCTCTGGATCTAAGTGGCTTGGGAAGAACAATGAGGTTGAAACACCCTATACCTGCCTCAAAACGTGGCTCAAGTCACCTGTCACACCGTACCAGGTCTCCTGCCATGCACAGACACTTTCCACTCTCAAGCATGCACACACTCGAGGTGGAGGCACAGTCCTTACTAGGGCCAGAGAGGCCAGAGAGCCGGATCCTCATCAAAGTGAGCGGAAGGCAGAAGGGCAGACTCGAGCGCTGGTCCTTGTACTCACCTTGGTCAGGATCCCGGGCGAACACCACAGCCACAGGGGTCTTGACCGTGGTGTTGTCAAAGATGGCCACAGCACAGTGACTGGGGAAGAACCGGGGGGCATTGTCATTCACATCTTCCACATGGAGGGTCACGTCTGCCTGGCACGATCGGCCCCCTCCGTCTGTCGCCTTTGCGACCAGGCTGTACATGTCCTTCCTTTCTCGGTCCAGGGCTGTGAGTGTGGTCAGCTCTCCTGGTGGAGAAATAACAGGAGCTGAGCTTTCTCTGTGGGAAGTCACCCCAGCAGGTGGCCCCTGAGAGCCACAGGGGAGAATCCGGGCCTTGCAGAGGCCAGGGAGCGTACACAGTGGTCAGGAGAGCTACTCCGCCTGTGTCACCTGACACCCACCTGTTTCCTCCTCCTTCCATCCACAGCCACCACTGTCAGCCAGAAACCAATAGACACCTTCAAAGTCAATTAGGCATTTATAATATATAAAATGTGTTTGTCTTTTGGCCAGTAACTTCACTTCTTAGAATAACCTGAAGATTAAAATACACATATAAGGATATTCTCTGTGGCAATGTTTGTAAGAGCAATGTACTGAAATCTTCTTCTGTGTCTTTCAAATAGGGATAAAAATGAAGTATACTGTGACTTGGCCACATAGTAAAGTATTATGCAACTAGAAATAAATCATGACAGAACCTTATTCCAGCCTTGGTAATATCTGCAACATACTTATCGGTGAATAAGAAAGGCAAGTTTCAAAGTAGTAGTCTGTTTTCACGAAACAGTGAGATTTTGGAGATGTATGGAATAAATCTCTGTGTCTTTGTCTTGGGTGGAGGGCTTATCGTGAGACTTGTCAGGTTCTGTGGAACACACACCTACATTGTTCAGATTTGGCACAGTGAGCATGTTGCATTTGCATATTTTCAAATACCGCCCGTTTATTTTTCTTTCAAGTCCTCCTCGATGATCCTGCAGCTGAGCAAACAGCAGCAGAGAGAGATTAGGTAACCTTTGGAGCCGCTCTGCATACCATGCCAGGGTCCGGAAACAGAGCAAAGTCCTGTCTGTCCCGGGACACCCCTCTCCCTGGCCACCGCCCTGCGCTGGAATCTCCGAATCATCTTCTGAGCTACTGGGTTCCACCAAGCGTCAGCAGCCGGTCCCTCTGACCCCGACCCTCCTTACTGCCCATCCCCGCTGCTGCTGTTGGATCCCACCCTAGGGGGCTGGTGGCTCTTCAAAAGGAGGCGCCTCCACCACCCGGCCTGCCAGGCTGCGCGTGGCCTGCCCTAGAGGGGCCTCTTTGTCCCATGGTCTGCTTTGTCACCTAGCTTGTAATGACATCCACCACGGACTCTTCTTAAGGCCCAGCCTGGGCTAGGGCTCCGCGTGCTTTTGGTGCTTGTGCACCTTACAAAAGTCCTATGAACATGCAATGTTCTGTCCTTGACCACAGCACAAGATGGCATTTGGTCCCCATAGGACCCCCTCCTCTCCCCCAGCCCCACCCCTCCCCCAACCCTGTTCTCTGCCACTAGTTTCTGGCTCTGTCTAACCTTTCCCCCAGATGGAGGTCCTTCAATGCCTGTCCAACGGCCTCAACCCAGTTAATGCCTCGTTTTCACACAAGACCAAGGTCTCCCATCTCAGCAGTCTACTGACTATATCCCAGCACCTACAGCAAGGACAAGGACGTTGGGGGCAGCACAGTGCCAACGTACATTTGTTTGTTCAACACGTTTGCTGGCAGATGGACAGATGGGTTGGTGATTTTTGTTCCTGCTCCAAAGACCCCACCATGGCACCTGGCACTGGGCATTCAGCAAATAAGCTCTTAGCTTGACTCTACAACCCAGGAAAGCCCACCTGTGTGGGGATCCATCTTGAATTCATGTGCCCCAGGGCCATGCAGAGAATATGTGATCTGAGCGTTGGTGTCGGTGTCCAAGTCTGTGGCTGAAACTTTCAAAATGAAGTGTCCGGGAGACACATCTTCTCGGACTCTGCCAGTATAGAGAAGCTGGAGATGGAAAGACAAAAAGGAGATTGCAGAAGTTACGCTTCGATCCCGGGGAGAGGGGGAGGGACAGAGACCGAGGCAGCAACAGAGAGACTACAAGAACACAGATGGACAGAGACAGAGAGAAGCAGAGAGAGGGCGGGAGGGGCAGAGGGAAGGAAACATGCACAAGGAAAACAGAGGTTACAGCTGCAAAAGGGAGGGCCAGAGAGTAGGTCCAAAAGGCAGGACAATGAGGGAGAAGTCCAGCACCCAAGAGCCTGCTCTGCGATGGGCTCTGGACAAGGTGGGCGGGCTAGGCTGACACCAGGGCTCCCCAGAAGGTCAGACCAAGCCACTCCAGGCCACATCCCCTGCTTTTGGGTGAGGCCCAGCTGTCACCTCTCTGCCCGTGTACAGGATTGATTGGTGACCAGGACCGCAGTGGCCCTGGGACCTCCCTACCCTCCCTCTACAGCTGTCATCACTATATAATGTGTGCATGGGGCCACAGGGGACAGGCTGGGGTCTCTGAGAATTCAGAATCCAAAGTCCCAAGTGTCCTGGTCTCTGCCACAGCAAGGTCAAGCAAGCGTGGTCCCCGGTGCGCTCTGGGTGGAAGCTTCCAGCCTGGCGGGCCCTCCGGGGCCTCTGTTCTCCAGCTCTAGAGATGCCGTCAGCCCCGCTGGGAAGGCCAGCGTGAGCCTGGTCCTGGCTTTGCCACGGAGATGACAGAGGTGGCAGGATGGTTGAGGGAATGAGAGGGAATGAGGGCAGCCACCTCTCTCGCCACTCAAAATGTGCTCCTCGGGAATCCCCAAAAGACTTTGCATGCACACTGATGACCCGGCTCTCTCTCTCTCTTCCTCTTGTGCTTTTGTGTGACAGAGTGTAGAGAAGCAGAGCAGGGAAGGTGACAGGACCACGCATTCATGTGTGTTGCAAGGGAACTGTCTACGAGTGTGCACAAATAAACGGATGTCTGGATGGAAATCCATGCATAAGAAGTCATATTTTATAAAATAAAAATGTCAACAGTGTAACTTGGTCTAAAAACTTTGCAGTAATACAAATCCCTCCAAAGTTCAAAATGACTTTCCTGGGGTTTAAAACTATATTTAAAGGTAAAGGTCTGTAGCAATGACTATTAGGTGATGGCCTCTAAAAACACAGGTCATCTCCTGCTCACCTCTCTCCAGCCTCATGTCTCGTGCATGTCCCTCGCATGTCCCTCTCAACATTTTTTTCCCTGGGAAATTTGGGGCAATAGGGAGCCACACCAGCAAAGGAGCATCAGGGCTTCGCCAAGCAAGTGGGGCAGACATGAGGGTGCCTGTTACTTCTGCATGAGTTTCGCAGAGAAAACTTTGTATGCAGTGTGTGGGGGGAGATGTGGGCCGGGATTCCTAAAGAGCTTTGCGTAGACCTATGCGGGAGGAAGAGGACTTGCCTATAATGCTTGAGCACCAGGCTGACGCCCACTGGGGAGAAACAAGGACAGGTGAGGTCAACAGCGGGCAGCCTAGGGGCTGCCCCTGGTCCTCCTCCCTGCAGCTCCTTGGGCACTTTCCCTGCCTGCCTTTCCCTCCCCACCACCCTGGTTTTCCATCATCCCATCTCACCTGTGGGCACTGAGGGCTGTTATCATTGACGTCCAGGACAAAGATCTCTACGGGGACCGATGTCTGGAATTTGCCATCCGAGGCCGTAATTCTGAGCAAGTACTTGGCCATGTACTCTCGGTCCAAGGTCTTCCTCGAGGAGATCCTCCATTCGTCCCCGACTTGGCTGATGGCGAACTGGCCCAGGGGGTCTCCCTCTGAAAAGATCGGGCACAGCTTTCAGAAATCGAGGAACAGGAACAACCTAGACTTTGCCTAATAGGCAGCTGCCCGCCTGACACTTCTTTTAGGACTTCTAAGAAAGGAAAAAAGAATTCTTCTCTTAACTAGGAACTCACAGTTCTCCACAAAGTCAGTTTTGGGGACTTATGAAGACTCTTCTGACTTTTTTTTTAGGGTCTCCTGTTAAACCATCAGTGCAGGAAGCACCACATCAAAATATGTGGGGTACAGGGGCAGGATTTTTATTTTTGGAGGCCTAGGAGGTCCCGGGGAAAGTTACAGGTAAACACATTTCCCTCCTATCCCAGACAAATCTGATTACTACAGCTATTCAGCACGGAGGTTTTATTACACAACTGTTGCTGCAGAGCACACGGAAGTCAGGGATAAGTCACCCTTCCCTGGCTCCAGTCACTGGCAAGTGTGTGGGAAGACAGACCCTCACTCTGGGATTCAAAGATTCCAGGGCTGCAAGATTCAGCTATTCCAAAAGTTGACTGTATATTGCTACTTATTATTCTCTTATTCTGAGATGTTACGACTGGTTAGATTTTCAAGTGTCTGACATTACAAGGTGATAAGGTTCTACTTTAAGGTTCTGTTTTTCTAAGATTTTTTTTTTTCTGGTACTGGGGATTGAACTCACAACCTCATGCTTGCCAGGCAGGTGCTTGTGCCACTGAGCTATATCCCCAGCCCTGAGGTTTCATGATTCATGGAGCTCTGATCCTGTCTCCAGATTCTTGGAACTTCAGACTCATGATTTCTCTACTGGACACCTTTAGTAGCAGAAGGAGCCATTTTTATGAGAATTCAATATTGCACCAGAAATGGGAAGAAAAGACACTCTGACCAGGCCTGTAATTCCAGTGCTCAGGAGGCTGAGGCAGGAGGATTGCCATGAGTTCGAGGACAACCTGGGTAATCAATTCAAGGCTGGCCAGAACCATATATCAAGATTCTGACTCAAAAAATAAATTTCAAAAAAAGCCACTCTGGGTGGGTAACGAAACCACCGCTTGGCTGGCTTATCAGGCATTTAGTTTCACAGTATGTATCCACTGAGGAAAGGAGCTTGTAGGGCATAGTTTTTAATCACAGCTTTGCCCCAAATTCAGAATGAGGCCTTGGTTGAGTTTCTCTCCTGATCTGGGCCAGGGCTTTCCTGTGACATGCTAGAGTCGTATTTGAGGGAGGCTGTCATTTCAACACACAGGTCCTGTGACTGACAAAAAATACTTTTCCATCATCCCCCACTGTCCCTGGAAGGTCATGACTCTATCAAGAGGTATCTGGCAGAATTTTCATGGATCACACAACCATTTCCATCCCCTAGAAGATAGCTGACAGTCAAGAGTCTGACCCTTATTTCACCTAAAATGGTGAGAGACTTTCTGTGCAAATACTTTCTCAGTCGAGGGCATCTTTGCTGAGGATGCGTCCTCAGCATCCTCCTGTTATATCTCACTACCACCCCTGGGAGAATGGCAACAGGCTGCCCTACAGAAGGGGCAGTGGAGGTCCTACAGCTAATGGCTTTATTCCCCGCCCCCAATATACTCTGCTAAAAAGTGGCAGAGCTAAGATTTAAGTCCATGTCTTAGATCCACCTCTTCAATCCATCTCTTACTGGGTTTTTTAAAAATGCATCCCAGTGCTTCCATTCCCTGACAGGTGTCCTTACCTGTGATGTAGCAGGTGACCTGTCTGTTCTGCTCAGAGATGTCAGCATCCAGGGTCCTCAGAGTGGTCACAAGCTCGCCAGGCTCACTGTTCTCAACCACAGATCCTCTGTAGTCTTCGGAGGTGAATCGAGGAGCATTGTCATTTTCATCCGTAATGGAGACCTCAACCAGCGCCTGGGAAGACAGCTGGATGGTCTGTCCATGGTCAAAGGCCACCACATGAAAGCGGTAGGTCTGGTGGGTCTCACAGTCCAGCTCCTTGAGAGTGGTGATCCAGCCACTCTCGCTGTCAATGGCGAAGAGCTCGTGGACACTGCTGCCTGGCTCTGCTGACAGCCTGTAGCTCACTTGGCCATCATTCCCGGTGTCCTGGTCATTGGCAGTCACCTGAATGACTGTCGTCCCCCCTGGCATATTCTCAGTGAGGAAAGCTTTATATGGATCAGCCTCAAAGACTGGCCTGTTATCATTGACATCCTTCACTTGGATGTGGACTGAGACCAAGGCCACCAACTCTGTATCCTCGTGGGGACAGTGTGCCATCAGATCAATCTGGTACCATTTGGTGGACTCATGGTCCAGAGCCTTCCTCACTTTTAGGACTCCTGTGTCATGGTCCAAGGAGAAGACGCCATCCCTGTTACTCTCCGGTGTTGTGCCCTGCACTAGACTGTAGATGACCGGGTCTTGAGCTGCCACTGCTTTAACCACCCCAACCTCGGACCCCACTGGAAGGTCTTCGGATGCAGGGAATGTATACAGAGGCTCAGAAAACTTGGGCAAGGAAACTTCATTGGAGACCACCTGAAGTTGTACTGGCACCTGCGAATCCCAGTGAGGGGGGCCACCATCTTGGGCTTTGACTTTGAAGCGAAGGGTCTTGTTTTCCAATCCCACCAGGCTCTCTTTCACCTTGACCACCCCAGTGATTTCATTGACATCAATGAGATCATCCGCCAAGTCCTCCACTGGGTCTACTGAGTAGGTGACATCTGCGTTCCGACCCTCATCTGCATCATAAGCCAGCACCTGGATGACCGGGAAGTCTTTGCTGACATTCGATGGGACGGACAGAGTGTACCTAGAGGCTTTGAATTGTGGGGCATTGTCATTTTCGTCCGTGAGGATGATCTTTACAATGCAGAAGGCCACTTTTCCTCCTCCATCCCGAGCCATGACCTTAATAGCAATGACTCTTTCTGTTGAATTTTCCCGGTCCAGTTTTTGCAGGGTGGTGATCTGGCCATTGGGATTTATGGAGAACTTTTCACCTGCCAGTTTATTAATGATAGTGTAATCCACAGTGCCATAGGGGCCACTGTCTTTATCTATGGCCAGCAATTCAATTACCTTCGTTCCCTCCTTTGCATTCTCTGCTAATTCTGCCTCATAAATGTGCTGCTGGAATTCTGGGCTATACTTGTTGGCGTTTGTGGTGTTGATATACACAGGCACAGTTGCTTGGAAGACCCCGTCCGAAGCACCCACCCTCAAATTGTAGGAAGAGTCCAGCTGCTTTTTGCAAAGGTTGAGCATAGAAATTATTCCTGATGATTTGTTAATGGAGAAGTGACGGTCCTGATTGCCAGAAAGGATCAGGTACTCCAGGCGGGAGGTGTCTCTGCTGTCAGGGTCAAGGGCTTGGACTTTAAGAACCAGGTGTCCACAGGTTGCTAGCTCACTGACGTTGGCTTCATACTGAGGTTGTCTGAACTCGGGGGGATTGTCGTTGATGTCAGACACATTGACAATCACAAGGGTCTCTCCAGTGAGCGGAGGATTTCCTCTGTCCGTGGCCCTGACTTTCACATGGAAGTGTCGTTGGGCTTCGTAATCCAGTTCTTGGAGTGTGACCATCTCTCCTGTGCTCCCATTAATCTGGAAGAACTTGGAAGCGTCTGAGCCATCCTCCACGATCTCATAGGACACATCACGGTTGTGTCCCGAGTCTTGGTCGGAAGCCAAGAGTTGGATCACAGGGGTCTGAGCGGGCAAGCCTTCCGAGACTGCCGTGGTGTACACCAACTGGGAAAAAGTGGGAGGGTTATCATTGACATCCTCTACGAAGACTTCCACCGTGGCTTCCGAAAATGACCCCAGAGCTGTGTCTGTGGCTCTGACTGTGAATATGTGTCTGGTCTTGGACTCATAGTCCAAAGGTCCTGTCACGGTGAGAACGCCCGTCTTGAAGTCAGTGGTGAAGAGCGGCAAAGACTCCTCCTCCACGATGTTGTAGATGAGCCTGAGTCCCTCGGGACTCCGGGCCTGGGTGTGGAGGATGGGGGTGTAGAGTGTGATGTTCTCAGGCACTCGGACCCTGTAGTAAGGACTCTGAAACAGCGGGTTGGATTTATTCCTCACGGTGACAAGCACTTCTGCCTCCGTCTGGAGGGATGGTGTTCCTCCATCGAGAGCCACAACTTTGAGGCGATATTTATTTAAAGCCTGATAATCAAAGGGTTTCTTGAGTGATATATCCCCAACATAGGGGTCAATGCGGAAATACGTGTAATCCTCTGTAAATGCATACGTGACCGTGCCACTGGCTCCCAAGTCCCTGTCAGTAGCAGACACCTGAAAGAGGACGTCCCCTGGCTCTGTGCCGTCTTGAACGATTGTGTAGTAGGGCAGATGCTTGAACTCAGGGGGGTTATCATTGACGTCCTCAACGGACACTCTGACCACAGCCTGGGCCACGCGCGGAGGAGCCCGATTGTCCCTCACTTCCACCACCACCTCGTGAACGTCCTGCTGCTCTCTGTCCAGCGCCACCCCCCTTGTCTGCAGCACACCCGCTGACCTGACCACATGAAACAAATCTGTGCCGTTTAAGAGAGCGTAGGAAAGGGTGTCATTCAGATGATGGCCGTGGGCACCAAGAATCACCAGTGCCTTTCTGTCTGGCAAATTCTCCTTCACCTTCGTCCTGTACACCTCCTGATCAAACTGCAAACTTTTGTCAAGGACTTGGGTCAGAGAAATTTTTACCAGTGCAGTATCTTGATACAGGCCATCCGAAGCCCTAATGGTGAGCTTCCTAGAGGCTCCCAGAGCAGCAGGATTTAGCACAGATATGCACCCAGTGACCGGGTCAATGGCGACGGCGTCATCCGTGTTGCCGGTTTTGATGCTGTAGGTGACCTCGGAATCTTCATCGCTGGCCCGCACGGTGAGAAGCTCCATCCCGAAATGAATGGGTCCCACGACTGCTGCTTCATATATCTGCTCTGCGAACCTGGGAGGAGAATCATTCACGTCTCTGACATAGATGATGACCTTGGCAGGCCTGGGAGCGAATAAGATGGGGCTCCCTTGGTCATGGACATAGACGTTGAACTGGAAAAGGGGCCTGCTCTCATAATCGATCTCAGATAAAACAGTGAGCGTTCCCATACTAGGGTCTATTTTGAAAAACTTTGAGGCCTCTGGATCCAAGATTTTGTAGATCAGCAAGGCGTTTGCTTCCTGGTCCTTGTCAGAGGCGCGAACCACAAAGGGGCTGCTGTCCTCGCCCACGATCATGCTGTACAGAGGAGCTGCCTCGCTAATCTGGCCCACGAACGTTGAGTTTAAGAACATGGGTGCATTGTCATTGTCATCAATGATGTCCACGAGCACCACGATGTCGGTAAATGCTCCCGCCATGCTGCTGCCTCGGATTTTCAACTGGTACGATGAGATTTTCTCATGGTCCAAGTTCTTCTGGGTGGAAATGAGGCCAGAATATGAGTTCATGGAGAACACGCCATCCTTGTTTCCCTCTCTTAGCTCATAGGTGACTTCGGAAGGGCTTGTGGCGGAGACGAGGAGGATTGGGGAGCCAACAGGGATGGATTCGGGGACTTCCACGAAGTACTCAGTGTTGGAGAAGATGGGGGCGCTGCTGGCTGAGGGATAGACATGAACGACCACTGTAGCCAGGTCATGCTTCCGTGGGGACCCGTGGTCTTCCGCCTTCACCATCAGAGTGTGCCGGATGTGGTTTGCCTGATTGAGTTTCCGGGCTACAGTGATGATGCCTTGCAGAACGTCGATGCTGAAAAAATCCTCGCTGTTCCCTGGAACAGAAGGTGAGACAAACTGAAATTTACCATGCTCTCAAGAGAAACCAGCTAGGCTTTCTAGACCAACAAAGAGGCTATTGCAAAAGTGGGACGGGGCAAAGTCTGCATTCTATGCCACTCTAGATTTAGTGTGATAATGAGTACTGAGTAGATATCTACTTTATATGAGTCTACTATGGAGCACGTAGTAGGTGCTTCATAAATAACAGCTTCAGTTGCTACTAAATCTCGGAGACAGAGCATAAGCTACAAACTAAAACTGAAATAGATCTTTGAAGGCTGGAAAGGAGACCTGTACTTTGTAAGAAAAGCACGTCACCCATTTTTGGGGTCACTTTTGTAGGAAAAGCTTTAGTAAGTTTCCATCACATTAGAGAGCATTTTAGCCGTCATTTACATAGTTTGATAATAGCTTTGTTTATTTGGTTATATATTTAAAAGATGAAACTATAAATATGGAATCATAAACTCTCAAAACAGACAAAGGGTTCATAAACTACTTTATCTGTTCCCTCTGTGTCTCTGGAGGGGAAGCCCCTTGCTGGTCTTAAGAGCCTGAGAGGGAGGGCTGGATGGAACACCCAGAGCCTGACACTTCCATATCCATGCCTTTCTTCCAGTCCCCTGCTTTCTTCTCTCTCTCTTCCTCCCTCCCTTTCTGCCTCCCCCCCCTCTCATTTTATACCAGAGATTCACAGTGACACCCCCAGCCCTTTTTATTTTGAGACAGGGTCTTGCAAAGTTACTAATTTCCCAAGCTAGTTTTGAATTCACAGTCCTCTTGCCTCAGCCTCCCAGAGAGCTGGGATTATGGCTATGTGCCACCACACCCAGATCACACCTACATTTTTAAAATGTAAAGCATTGGCACATTGCCTTAGTAATTTTTTTTTTTTTTTTTTTTTGTACGGGGATCAAGTTCATGACCTAGCACTTGCCAGGCAGGCACTTATGCCACTGAGCTAAATCCCCGGCCCAACCTTAATAATTTCTGAATGCCCAGCCACTGCCTTAACTTTTATTATATCAATTACTGGATATTTCCCTTTGAGTGGATTTACTCTTAAAATCGATACATATTTTTAAAAGACAATTTTATATTGCTACTTTAAAAAATTATCACATACCATCAATCAGAAGCTAGCATAAAAACAAATCAATGAAAAAAATCTAGGTACAATTTAAAGTATGTGAGCCTGAGACCTACCTTCTTTCTCTGATAAAAACAAAGAATAGCAAGTGTCGGAGAAGACCAAAGGGTTTCTGGTACTGACTGAGGCTTTGTCTTTGCTTTGATCAGGAAGCCTGAATAAGAATCAAAAGCAAATACGTTCTCCAGGCTCCCTCACCTAATTCAATGCTGTATCCGAGAGAAACACCCGGATCAGTTTGCTGCCCAGAGGAAGTATAGGTCTTATCCTTAGGGAGACATTTTTCACCCCCTTGTTCACAGGGTGTGATTATTTTACGATTTCTGTGCCAAAGCAGGCAGCTGACCTTCGTTATAAGACTTTCAACCTGACTCTCCCACTTGCTATTTCTTTTTTGCAGCAAACTAGGGCCTCCCACTGAACTGTACCCCGGTTCTGTTTGTTATTTTTAGACAGGGTCTTGCTAAATCGCACAGGCTGGGCTGAAATGTTTGATCTTCCTGCTTCAGTCAGCCTCCCGGAGTGCTGGGAGGCAGGGATTGAGGTGTGCATCACACTCAGCTGTGACTCGGACAGATGCTAAGCTCTGTCAGAGAGCACAGTTCATACACGCAGATTTAGAGTGGTCCCATAAACAGAAGCTATATCATTACCGCAATATAACTCTAATTCTAACTTCTTTCTTATGTTATACTGCTGAAAGAGGAAAAAACCAGAGCACAAAATTGTATGTCCACTGGAATCTCAGGACCGTGAAAGATGCTGGGAAAAGATGAGAGGGAAGGACATGGAATTACTATTTTTGGGTGGTAACAATTACGACTACATGTTAGGTTCCTCGTTATACATTTCTGTATAAAGTCATGCTTTCAAAAATGAACAAGAGGTGCTTCTACAGTCAGAAAAATATTTTGAAAGTAATTATCTATAAAATAAAGCCATTGTCTCCATGAGTGGGGCTGTCAGTGAGATGAAATAAAATGAGCTGACTTCATAAATCAGAAAGGATAAATAATTAGCGTATTACAATTTGTGTTCCTCTTCTTCAGGGATGAATAGACTGCTGTCATATGGTAACCATTTCTTCCAAAAAGATTACGTAAAAACTCTGATTTCTTTAGGATGCCTGCTGTGAGGGCAGTGAGCAAGTCATACTCATCTTTGTCCCTCTGTAACATCTAACTTTAATAATTCATCATGTGCAATTAATATCACTTAATAATTATCTTTAATCTCTATTAACTGCACATGGTCAACTATTAAAACCATCATAATAATGCACTGGACACTGGGTATTATTATTTTGTTACATTGACTATAATTATCATTAGTGATATTAAGTAATATTGTATTTTATAGTTTATAATATGCATTAACATACATTTTTTCTTTGAATTTTTACAACTTTCTAGGAAAGGTCATTTCCATGTCAGAGAGGAAGAAAACCATGTAACAGGTAGCCAGGCGTTATGTGGCCTTATCAGAAAATTAGGACACTGCTGACCCCATGCTGTACTCCTAATATTTATTTGCCCATTCTTTCTAATGAATATGCAGAAGGCTAACACATTTTGAAGTGTTACCTGGGCATCATAAGCATCTCCTGCATGCATGGTCATTGGTGATTTATATCATATGTATGTAAATTCTCCCATAACTTGAACATTGTGTCCCTTACTGTTATTACCACCTTTGGAAGTGTGCTAATTTAGGTCCTGATGGCTCCAGGGAAAGCTCTAGAACTCCTTGTCATTTGCCAAAGCTGAGAGAGCCTGGTACTTGATGAATTTGCAGAGTCAAGCTTCTAGTGATTTTGCTTATCGCCAAAGCAGTTACCCCATCTCCTGACCGCATGGCCAGGCCTCTCACCTTTCAGGAGAGAGTAGTGGACCTCAGCATTGGCTCCCCGATCAGCATCCACAGCTTGGACCTGTAGCAGCTCTGCGCCTGGGGCGATGGTGTCAGGAACTCTCGCCTCGTAATGGAGCTGGGTGAAGCGTGGTGGGTGGATATTTCCGTCCTTCACATGAACAGTCACCCACACAAAGTTCCTCTTGATGGGCATCTCTTGGTCTCGGACCTGTGGGTGCAAGGGGTAAACGAGAAGCAGCAAATGGAAAAGCAGGAGGAGGCAGATAAAGGCCAATGAGATTGAATGCCAATGAAAGCACACCCAGCATTAGCTCTGTGTATTCCTTTAAACCTGGCTTCATATTTTATGCTTGTTTTTCTTTTTATAAATAAATATATCAGATGAAGATTATTAGGTGTAGATCTTTTAATGACTGATCCTACATTAGGAGAAAAGATGTATTATGGTTGGGATCCAGTGTATCACCCCAAAGTCTTGTTATTTGGAAGGCTTGGTTGCCCATGGGATTTTTGGGAAGTGATTGATCCATGAAGGCTCTAACTCAAGCAGTCAGTGACTGAGATGTCATCTGATGGCATTATTGGGGAGGGATGGCACCTGGAGGGGGGCTTAGCTAAGAGAGTGGTTCGTGAGGTGCAGCCCTGAGCACACTGCATTGCCCTGGCCCCTTACTCTTCAGGTCTCTTCCTCTTTCTGCATCCTGCTCACCGTCTGGTGAGCATGTTTCCTCCATCACTCAATCGATCCTGCCTTGGTGTTTTTGTCTTTCCAGGCTTTAAAGACCATGAACTGAAACTTCTAAAAACCATGAGCCAAAATAAACCTTTCCCCTTTAAGTTGATTTATGTCGGGTATTTTGTCACAGCGACAGAAAGCTAACCCAGGCAGCAAAGTAGTAGTTTCTAGATTAGGCCTCAGAGAATATTAGTTCTTCATGATGCTATGCAGGAAAAAAATTCCGTGGTCAGGTAAATTTGGAGATCACTAAACTAAACGAAGTTTTTTTTTTTTTTCCAGTAGGATTTCTGAGAGTCTTCAACATACATTGACGTGCCCAGAGGATGGTAAATTAGCTTACGAGAGCCCTGACCCGAGACAGGGCACCAGACCCTAATTCTGGTGTCACTGTACCACAACAAACAAGCATCTCTTTCTCTTGAGCATAGGTTTAGAGAAGTGGGTGGGCTCAGGGCTGGAACAACTGAAGTCTGCAGGGTATAAAATGTAAGCTTTCACTCTCAAGTACAAACGCAGGCACAGGACTCAGAGAGTAAGTCCTCCTTGCTTGATCCTAATGCTTTTGCTGAGCGGGTCTCCATCCCTTCTAGCTCCAACACTATGTGAATCCACAGGGAGCGGGGGAAGCTCTGTTGGGACATGTTTTGGGGGAGTGTAGAGAAAACCAAAGCTAACAGGGATTTCCATGGCAGCCACCCTATCTGCCAGCACTTCAGGCACCCTTTCTGGAAGAAGCCTCTGGCCAGCTGTGAAGTGTCACCGCTCTGACCTGTGTCTAGCACTATGGGCACTGAGGGTAAGCCCACCCAGCCCCAGGCTCCCAGATCGCTTACCATAACTGTCAGCGTGTGCTGCGAGGGCCCTGAGCCCAGGTCCAACTTTCCCACAGTCACCAGGACACCAGTGCTTGGGTCCAGCTGGAAGAGGCTGGCGCTTCCCAGGTCCTGGCTGCCCTGTATGGTGTAGATGAGGCCTTTGCCCTTGTCTTCATCTGTGGCCTGGACACGAAGAAGCTCGACCCCAGGCAGGGTATCCTGGGGGACTCTGACCTCATAATGAGGCTCCAGAAACTGAGGCCGGTGGTGGTTAACATTGGCGATCAGGAAGATGTAGACCTGAAGGGACAGTGAAAGAGAGGTAGGCAGTAGACCACATGGGCTGTGTCTGTCTGCATCTACCTGCCGTCCATGCCTGGCACAGTACCTGGTACACACCAGCCACTCTAACTGCATAAACATTTATTGAAGGAATTACAGGATCTCCAAATCACACGGCTTTTAAGCACCATGCTGTCTAGTAGTTTTCAAAGTGAGACATTTTGTTACCAAGCCTTTTCTTCAAATGAAATGTTATATCAAAACCCAACACAGAAGACAGATAAAACTCTAGCTGAAGCCAGAATAGAAATATAGTGGCTGGTTACCTGACTCCCATTCTTTACACCCATGGTCACCCCTGTGGCATTTTATCTGTAGCCCAAATGCCTGTTGAGACTAATCCTCTCATTTTATGGAAATCTACAGTGGGAGCAAAAATGCTCTCACGGTCACAGAGATAGAGTGTGTATTGGCAGCTGGAAATTGATTCCAGATTCAGTGTCTTTGGGGTATACCACATCCACAGGTAGTCTGCACAGCCTCCTTCCAGCCAGAGGCAGAGGGCTCCCATGTCCTTTCAACTCAGGGGCTACCAACGGAGGTCTCTAACCTGGGTGGCAATGATATGGAACCCGTCTGTCACTTCCACAGTCAAATTATAGCTGGATCTTGTCCTTGTATCAAGAGGCCTGGCGATGACAATACTGCCTGTGGTCTTCTCAATGTCAAAGTCCATGTTCTTGTCCCCATCTAGAGCAGGCATGGGAGAGAGAACACACAACCACAGTGACTTGGGCAGTAGATTTATAGAACATGGTAGATAGTGACTTTTATGGGACAGTGGGCATGGAAGAAAGAAGCTGAATCAGAGATTCTAAGACTGTGCACAGATGTGTGCACCTGAGTGATGGGCAGACTTATCTGTAGACTTTTTTCTGCCTCTGAGATTCAGATTCAGGAGCAAGAGAGCCCTGCATGACTTCTTATCAAAATATGCAAACAACCTATAACCATTCTATACCCAGACATAGAAGAAAATGACAGTAACTGGGTTCAGTAAGAAGAAATTGATCTGACAGCCATTGCGGGAACCCTGGTAAGCCATGCAACAGGAGAAGGCCTGCCTTCCGCCCCTCTGCCATCACGGGAGCCTTGTTCAGAGGAACCCAGTTTCCTGGCCCATTCGCCTGCACTGTGAATGGGCAGCAACATAGGAAGTTCTCAGGACCCAGCAACCGGCTTGTCCCAAAGAACCCAGGAAAATGACAAGATGAAGGAGCAAAGGGTAATCTCAGACCCCTCCGCCCACCCTGAACAAGTCCAGGATACTTGACGTAGAATAAGTTGGAAGTCACACATCAGAGATTTCTGAGATGATAGCAATTGAAGTAAAGAAACAAACCTATGAGTCTGGAAAGGAAATCAGATCAGAATTAATCTCTCAGGTAAAGAAAGAAATGACAACCATAAGGAAGAACTGCTGAACACACCTAAAGAAGACACAGACTTAAAAAAAAATAGAGGAGCATAGGGAAATGATGGAAACCTTGAATGAACAGTATAGGAAAGAATTAGAATGCATGAAACAGATTCAAAGAGGTATCCAGGAAATTAAAAATTCCACTGAAAGCTATAAAAACTGCTTGAATGGAACTGAAGATAGACTTTCAGTCCTTGAAGACAGGCAGTTAGCAATCATGAAAGGAGAGATCTCTTAAAAATAACAAGGAACCAAAAAATAACAATTTAACAGCTGAAAGATGATGCATATGTATATATATATATATATATATATATATATATATATATGTATGTATGTATATGACTGATAGGTGTCAGTGAAAAAGCAGGAGGCAACACAGATAACATTGAAAGACTATTTGCAGAAGCTGAAAATTTCCCAAGCATGGGGAAAGAACCTGACATACAGATAAGTGAGGCATATAGAATGCCAAACAGCCACAACCAAAATAAATCTATACCCAGACATACAATAATCAAGATCCCAGAAATTCAGCGCAAGAATAGAATATTAAAAGCTGTTAGAGAAAAGAAACAGATCAACTATGAAGGAAAGCCCATCACCACAGATTTCTCAACAGAAACCATCAAGTCAGGAAGAGCTTGGAGTGAAATATGAAGTCCTGAAGAAAAAGAAAAAACAAAACAGCTTCCAACACAGATTGATGTACCCTGCAAAACTATGTTTAAAATTAATGGAGAAATAAGATACTCCCATGACAAAGAACAACTGAAGAAACTCATGGCCACCAAACCAACCCGATAAAGAGCACTGAGAGATATTCTAGAAAGAGATAAAAATGACCACAGTTCCAAGAACACAACAGAAAGAAACCACCAAGCAGGACAAGTAATTATACAGAGGGGGAAAGCAGAGAACCAACAGCAGGAAAATAACATGACGACGATAAGACAAAACGTATCAGTTATACACATCAATGTAAATGGCCTCAACTCACCAATCAAAAGAAGCAGACTGGCAGAGTGCATCAAGGAACAAAATCAAACAACATGCTGTATACAAGAAACACATTTAACTCAAAAGGCAACGGAACGGAAGAGAAGATGCAGACAACTGCAAACACACTCGGTCACATTTTCTTTAACAAAAGGGCCAAACATGTTCACTGGCAGACAGCCTCTTTAATAAATGTCACTGGAAAACCTGGCTTTCCACACGCCAAAGACTGAAACTAGACCCAGGTCTATCATCATGCACTAAACTAAAATCAAAATGGATCAAAGATCTAAATATTAAAGCAGAAACACTAAATCTTCTGGAAGACAAAGTAGGTAGAAATCTTTAAGACATGGGGTGGGCAGGGAATTCATGAACAAAAACCAAACTGTGTGGGAAATACTTCAAAGAATCAGCAAACGAATCTCATCTATTAAAAAGTTATTGCACATCAAAGAAATCCCCAACAGTGTGAAAAGAAAGCCCACAAACTGAGAAAGAATTTTAGCCAACTGCCCCTCAGATAAAGGACTTATACCTAGAACACATAAAGAATTTTTTAACAAATCAGGCCCCCAAAATTCAAAGATCCAATCCAAAAATGGTCATCTGAGATGAATACACACTTCTCAGATGAAAAAATACAAATGAAAATATATGAAAAGATGCTCAACATCATTGGTCAATCAAGAAATACAAATTAAAATAATGCTGAGATTCCATCTCATGCCAGAAAGAATGGCTATCATCAAAAAATCAACCAGTAACAAATGCTGGCGGGGCTGGGGTAGGGGAGGAGCCCTTCTCCACTGTTGGTGGGAATACAGACTGGTGCAACCACTGTGGAAAATGATATGGAGATTCCTCAAAAAACTAGGATTAGAGGCTCCCAACCCAGCTATTACCCTTCTGGGTATTTTCTCAGAAGAATCAAGATCATCATGCCACAGCGATATAGGTACATCCATGTTTATAGCAGCACAATTTGTAAGAGCTAAATCTTGGAAACCACTCAAATGCCCATCAACTGAGGAATGGCTAAAGACTTTTATAGGGTGATGGTTGCAACTAGAAATTATACTCATAAGCAAAATAAATCAGACTCACAAGTGTAAACATTGTATCGTCTCCCTAGTGTAAGAATCTGAAAGAGTAAATAAAATCCAAAATATCGTGAAAGGAAGAAGCTGCTCAAAATGAAAGAACAATTGGGATGGGGGAGAGGAAAAAATAAGAAGGGGGGAATATATATATACACATGCATACACACATATATGATAACTAGGATAATTGTACTACTAATTCTAATAGTTCACGACAGGAACAATCAGTGCCTATATTGTTTGATCATTTTTGCGTGTCTATATCTGGTAATCTGAGCAACTATTTTGAAGATAATATACAACATAATAACCATTGTTAATTTCCTATCATCTTGTTTTGAAATCCTAAATTATTTTAGTTATTATTTTATTCTCTTTAAAAAAGAAATTGATCTGAAAAGAAGAAGAAATTGATCTAATAAATAATAGGAATTCAGAGTATAGAAAAGGATGAAGCTATTTACATGTCTCCTGAATAGAATTCGCTTTAGTGTCATGGGAATATGTCACATCTAGAACACAGAGCCAGGGGTGGAGGTGCACACTGTAATCCAGCACTCTGGGAGCCCGAGGCAGGAAAATCAAAGCTTCAAGCCCAAACTGGGGAACTTAAGTGACTTAGTGAGTCCCAGTCTCAAAATAGAAAATGAAAAAAAAAAAAAAAAGCCTGGAGATATAGGTCAGTGGGATGGCCCTGAGTTTACTCCCAATACCATGAAAAAGAAAAGAAAAGGAAAAAAACTCTCTATAATTTATATACTTATGTTAATACATAATATATAAATTATAAAACAATATTTCAATATAACATTACATGTATATAGATTATAAACATATTTTGTATATTATGTTTTATCTATTATATATAATAGACTATATAGTATATAAATATAAAATATTTTCATATAACCCAACATGTGTATGTATGGGTACATAAGTGAAAAGAAACTGCAAACTGTAACACTATCTTCTGGGGCACCCATTTGGGACCCCTCCTGTCTCTCCAGAGTTATTCCTATTCCCCATTCCTTTTCTCTGATAAATTTTTCTACTTTTTTTTTGTATTGGGGATCGAACTCAAGACCTCATGCTTGCCAGGCAGGCACTTATGTCATTGAGCTCGATCATGGCCCCAATTTTTCTACTCTTAACCTCTTTTGTTCCTTAGAACTCATTCTTGGACTTTGGGGAATGTAAACTCGGCATATCTGACACCTAGCATTTCCCCTGCATCACTGTATTTAAATAAAATTTGCAAAAGCCACCAGAAAAAAAATGACTCTTTCTGCTGAGGGTAGTCTCATAAAAAAGAGAAGATCATCTTCAGGTGACTGGACTTCAGGTAATTTTTGTTTCTTCGCTGCATGCATTTGTATTTCTAAATATCCTACAGCATACCAGCATTAATTATATAGGAAAGAAAACAGACAATTAAAAGAGCAGGAATCACAACTCGAAGTAAGGCCAGGCGACAAAGACCTGGGCCCAGGGCATAGCCTAACCCATCCCTGATGCCTGCTGGAAAACTGCGGTAGGATTCCGTGGATCACAGGGGTGCTGAAACTCTTACAGATCTTTTAGCTTGAAATCCTTGATGGATTTCAGAGTTGATACATCCTCTAAATCTGCGTGCAAGCTTACCCTCGTGGGTGTCCCCACGCGTGTGCAACGTTCTTAGAATAGGCCCTAAGCATTTGCGCAGCTCCCAAAGGGCTCTAGGCCCCTCTGAGGTCCTTCACAAATGCTGATGTTGGAGCGGTTGGCAATGTTAGCGGAGCCCGCACCCAAGCACCTCTTAGAATGAGAGTGAGCACGGGGCAGGGTCAGGGGCTGGGGCGGGGACCCCACGGCAGGGGGCGCCCTGCAGGAAGCTGCTTGTTAGCATCACAAGCTACAAAGTTCACTGTCCCCAGACTAGAAGGTACTGCTTACTGATCAGTGTGTACCCACACATGTGAGGACATCCTGAGTTCAATCCTGAGCATCCCCCCACCCCAAAAGGAGAGTAGGTACTTCTCCCTCATCCTCAGTAGGGAACCTGGGACCAGCACACTGAGCTGTCCAGCAGCATGACCTTAAGGGTGGACAGAAAGGCGGTTCTGTGAGGACTGGAGCAGGGCCTCGTCAGGTCTCACCTGTGATGCGGAACCAGAAGAGGCCGGGCCGGCCCTCGACACTGATGACCCCCACCATGTGGTTCACGGGGTCTGTCTCCATGACGGTGAAGCTGTAGTGGGGCTCATCGAAGGCCAGTGGTATGGACGACGGCCGGGGCTGGGGGATCCATTCGATGTGCAGCCGGACGCTGGAGGAGAGGGGCGGCTGCCCGCTGTCTGTGGCCTTGATCTAGAAAGAGCCCAACACCAGAACTGAGCCGTCACTGAGCCCGTGTCCCCTTCACTCATTCATTTACTCAGCGCCCACTGGAGGGCGTGGGGGGCACAGCAGTGAGCAAAACATAACCTGAGCCTCGCCCTGCTGCTGAGCGAATAATGAGAGAGACCACCAACACAAGGCTTACTGGGCACTGGTTCCCAGCATGGCCTGTACATAATGAGCTGTGGTTAAAAAATACAGTGTGTGTGTGTTTATATGGTGAATACGTACATACATGCTTATTAGATTATTACGGTAAGACCCATGGCCGTTAATCCTCTTCAGAACGGCCCTCTTGCTTTGAACGGACTGGCCATTCTTGCCACTTTCTGCAGCAGCTCTGGAAGTCCTTCGTGAGTATCCTGAGCCGCAATGTTGTAGCTGCCTCCACGTCCCGAGTCAGTTCAGAATGTTTACCTTCCACAGTTATTGTGACATTAAGCAAGAGCCAGAGGTGCAGTGCCAGGGCCCATGAAGAAGGCGGATGAGGACCCGCCGGCATGCTCTGATAAGCCTGCGTTTCTGACTCATGGCCGTTTCTGACTCACTGCGTGTGGCAGCAGTATTCACGGTAGCTGTGATCACATTTCGTAAAGACACTCACAAAAGAGGATTTCCAGAACTGCTTCGGAAAACGGCAGGAGCAGTGGGATGAGTGTGTTTGAGGTGAGACAGGGCGTTCTAGGGGGGATTAATTGCAAAATGTCTTTCTCTGTACTTTAAAAAACATTTAAACATTTACCTCAAGTGTATGTGCTGTACATTAACCATAAACACATAAATCTAGAATTCATTGAGTTTTCAGTATTATCCGGCCTTGCTCCTAGAGCTTTATGTGTAGCATCTAATTCAGTTTTCACAGCAGCCCTGGGAGGGATACTATGATCACCTCCCTGTTACCAGGGCAGACTGGGGCTCGACCTGAGGAGTCCACCCACCTGATAATGTACCAGGGCATCAGCAAGGCTGAACTTGAATTCAGGTTGTCTGGCATGAGAACCCGTGACTTAAGCATTGGCTACACTGGCTTCCTCAAAGAAAAGTGTCCTTATCCCAAGTACACAGATACCATAAGACTCAAAAGAGTTAAATGACTCGTTTGAGATCAAGCAGTATAAAATGGCAGTGCCAGGGTCAACACCTAGGCACATCTTGATGCCAACACCCATCTGTGTTTCTTTCATGAAATCCTTTTCTATAAGAAAAGAGGGTCAGGCGTGGTGTCACTCTGGGAGGCAGAGGCAGGAGGATTCAAAGTTTGAGCCCAGCCCGGGAAACTTAACAACTTAGCTTGTTCCAAAATAAAGAGTGTGTTTTTTAAAAAAGGGCTGCAGATACAGCTGTGTGTGAAGGCACTGGGTTCAATCCCCACCATCACCACCGCCAAGATAAAGACAAACCAAACAGAAGGCTTCCCAGGCCCTTCCTGCCCTCAAAGAGAAAGGCCCAGAGTCTGATCCTTTGGTTAAAGGCAAGACTCCCGGTTTTCCCGAGCAAGGCCAAGAGAGGAGCACACTTCCACTGAGCCTGGCTGCCTCCCTCCTCCTGTACCCTGACAACAGGAAGTCCTAGCCAGCAGTGCCCCTCCCAGCCCTGGCCCCACTGTCCGCTCACCGTTAGGATGTTGTACTCCCCAGCTGTAAAGGTGCTGCTGGATGACACCACACCTGTGACCGGATCGATGCTGAAGCCCTCCTCATCACTCTCCTCGATGCTGTACGTGACACTGCCATTGAGACCGTCATCTGGGTCTGAAGCCACCAGCCTGTACACAGCCCCAGGGGACGCTGGGCTGGGCCTCTCTGGAAGGCGGACATTGAAGAGCTTGTGGGAAAACGTAGGTGCGTTGTCATTGATGTCCAAGATGCATACCACCACCCTGGAGGTGGACCTGAGGGACGGCTCCCCGTTGTCCAGCACCGTCACCTGAGGACAGAATTGGACATGAGCACCCAGTAGCCAAGTGCAAAGTAATGACTAGGTGCCATCACCCACCACACCTGACCACTACTGACAGCATACAAATATTGGTCTGTTTGTTCTTTGGTATTTGTGTATTCATCTTATTATCTCACCTACTTGGATTTCAGCTTCTTAGGAATCTCGCCACAGGAAAGCCAAGAAGAACAGAGCAAAGGTCTAGAGAGAACCGAAGAAATCCAGGCCAGAGTCTCCAGCCCAAGAGCTGATTGTTTTTGTCAGGAAGGCCCAGGGCCACTTCTTAGATACTATTTGTTTTTTATTTGCTTGTAATTCCCAGCAGCTTTGTTCTCTGCTTCCCTGGACTACTCAGGGTTAGAATGGGTTTCTACAGAGATGGGTAGAACTTCAGAGCCAGACACCCAGCCCAAGGCTTGAAATGAAATCCAGAGTGAGAGAAAAGGCCCCAAGGAATTTCAAGACCAGGAGCTCTGTTGTGTAGGGAGCCACTGTAAAAATATTTTAGTGTTTAAAGATAAAGGTCTGTTACAGGATTTGGAACAGTGCTTCAGTCTCAAGGCCTAGAAGGCTGTTTATTTGTTGCTTACTAATAATATCATTTCGTTACAGAAGGAAGGAAATGGGCCAAGGAATATGCATCTCTCCCTCCAATGCCTTTAAGACTAAAATAGATGTCCGCTCATCAGCTGGAGGGGAAGAATAGGTAGATTTCCACCCAGCATCCTTCTCTTCTGATTTAATGGCCTCTACGCCACAGACTGAAGCACCTCATTGGAATGGGCCCCTGGACACCTACGTGACTTTAAAGGTAAAAGAGAAAGAGCACAGACATAGAAGACAAAGGTTGTTATTCTGGCTCTGCTGCTGACCTAGTGCTTAACTTTGAATAATTCTCAGGGGATGGACTAGAAAGCAGATCCAAGCAACACATAGCACACACATTCTACCCCACATTCCTGCACTCATGTCAGGCATTACTAATCAATGCACAGCGTTCTGCCCAGCCTGGATATCATTTCAGATTCTTTCCATTTTCAGTGCTGCAGAGCAGCCCAGACCTGACAGTCTTCACCACCAACCATAGCAAGGCTGAGCTCAAGTATACCTTCCTTTCTGAGCCCAGTTCTCTGCTCAGCCATAGGCTGGAGGTATGTGTATAGCTTCTCCACTCCACAAACCATCTGCAGCTTAGCCTCAGGAAGCTTTCAAGAGAATCCAGTGACCAAGCTCCCCAGCTTTCTCACCTCCAGGATATGCTCATCCTTGCTCTCTCGGTCCAGCTGTCGGGCCGTGGAAAGGAGACCTGGGGGAGAGATGGTAGGAGGGAGACATGAAGCAAGGACTCCCAAGGGCTACATCATTGGACTGAGCTCAGGATGGCACTCAAATCCCCGATGAGAATTCTTCTGGTCTTTAGCGAACAAGTATGTTAAGGGGAAGTGGAACATGGGAGAGGGAAGGGAAAGTGAGAAGGTGGGAGAGGACAACAGAGATACTAGCTAAAATTTCCACTTACATCCAGGTTTCACCATTAGACAGGGGCGATGGATCAACAACTCAGCAACCTACCCAATGAGCTCACTCCAATGGGTAGATTAAAGCCTACCCAATCAGATGCCTGCTTAATCAGATTCTCACCCAGTCAGAATCCTACCCAATCAGATGGCTGCCCAATCAGATGTTCTCCCAATCAGATGCCTGTCCAATCAGATGCCTACCAAGCAGATGTTCTCCTTGGCCAATTAGCACAGATTAACCCCCAACCCTCCTAGTGGACTACAGACAGATGGCTGGGCTATTTCATGAGAATCAATTCTGGAACTTCTGGGAGGAAAAGCTATAGAAAAGCCTCTTTTGCATACCAGGTATGCTGAGTAGGTATTGTGAGACCTGTGTGCAAGGTCCTGAGAAGACCCTTTACTCAGAGAAGAGGAGGCAGGGGCAGAACCTACATTGCTCTGTGTGAACCCTGGCTGGAGCTGCGCCTGCAGCACTCATGTCTGGGCTTTGAGAAGGTAAGGAGAGCAGCGTCCAGTGTCACCTCAGCCAGTGTGGACTGGGTTTCTTTCTTTCCTACCTGAAGATGACGAGTCAATTCTGAGACTGGCTGTTGGGCAGGGCAGAGTGAGGGCTCACAGTAGAGTTGGGGGATCAATTCCGGTCTCTGGAATTTCAAGGCCTCCATTCCAACAAGGCACCATTGTCTGACTCAGCCCCTTGCCTTCCCTTTCTAAGGCACTGCAAACTCTCAAATCCAGCCTTGAGTTCCTTTTAGGGAAACCACTCATGCCCTCGGTGCCTCACCTTGACTCAGTTTTTTCCTCCTTTTCTAAGGTCCTCCGACCTCAGACTTCTTTTATAAAAGTTGAACTGGGTGAACCCAAGGTCCTCTGGCTTTAAGTTCTGAACTTTCATTCCACTCTTGAGTAATTTATTCTAAGGAGTTAAAGGCAGAAATCTGGGATGATGAGCACACACACATGTTCAATGCAATTGTACTTTTAAAAATAATCAAGTATGAGGGGCTGGGGATTTAGCTCAGCAGCATAAGTGCCTGCCTTGGAAGCACATGGTTGTGAGTTTGATCCCCAGTACAAAAAAAAAAGAAAGAAAGAAAGAAAAGAAAAGAAATAATCAAGTATGAACCACAGGAAGGAAGAAGACCTGAACTGTATGTAAAAAGAAAGAGTGTGCAACTATTTTGAATGCACTTTTCTGGAGAAGTGGAAATGCTGTGCACAACCTACTGAGCAAAAAAGTAGCTTGTCTGGAGTTATAACTGAGACCATAATCCGAGACCTTAGTCCTGGAGAAGTCATGTGGTAGCTTTTTCCTCTGCCATTGTTTATTGTTCACCTAGGTCTTAGAACCAGCTATCTCCATGACCAGCAAGATGCGGGCTCCTCACAGATCGTCTGTAAATTGGGAAAGTTGGACTCGATGATTTGTAAACCTACTTTGAACTTGCCCAAGCCACAGGGGCTCCAAACTATGACAACAAAGGAGAGATGATGCCAGTCCTCTTTAAGAGTCAGGGAGCTCCACGCTGAGGTTATGAGGGACTCAGAATGTCATCCTAACCCCTCAATCTGGACAGTCATACCTGGGTATAATGAAAGGTCTGCTCCAAAGGCGAGCAGAGCTGAGTAGGGGTCAGTGGACCCTCTGAGAGCTCTCGGTAACTTTACTGGTCTTGTTCAGTGGATGAGATGATGGAGACAGTGGAAATAAGTATGCAGATGAAGCTCAGTGGAGGGACTGGTGGCCCCAGGTGGGAGGCAGTGTGGGAAAAGGGGTTCAGAGCAGGGAGGAGCCTCCTTGATGGAAGAGCAAGTCCCCTGTAGGAGCATGGTACTGCCTTGTGCAGTAGAGCACATCAGCCAGGTTTTTCCTCCTCAGTGGAGGGAGGAAGAGGGAGGGACTGTAGAAGGGGCCTGGGCAGCCCCACATTGGGCGCCCTTCTAGTCACAGGTCGAAGCCTAGTGGTAATGAGAGACGCCTTCCTCGGGCTCTAGTGGGGTACTGTTCTAGGTCACCCACCCAGCTTATCCCCCAAGTGGAAGAGCTTAGGCCTGAGAACCCTCAGACAGAGAGCAAGAGCCAGGAGGTCTTGGGAGATTTCCACGTGGCTCTGCCCATGCCTTTCCTCTCTAGCCGTTTCCTCTCTCCCTATCCTGTGTACCTCTCGCTGTGTATTTTCTCTGTGCATGTCTCTCACCATCCCCTCTCTTCCTTCAATATTTCCTCTCCCCCTTCTCCTGTGTCTAAATCTGTCTCTTGTCCTTCTGCCCTTCCCCTACCCCACATGCCTCCCCTACATTTAAGGGCCTGTGTTCCTGGGGTCATGACCCTGCGGCCTCCTGAGCTGTTGGCCCCTTGTTACCCTTATCTCCCTCTCTGGCATCAGTGTCCTCATTCCCAGGGAGTGTCCATGATAACGGGATACAGCAGAGCCACCCACAATAAGACGAGGCATCCAAAGCCCTTCTTCCCTCTCCTGGCATGAGGCGGTACTCAGTTGGTTTAGCTGTTATCACTTTTCTCCAGCAAACACACGTTTCTCCATCACCCCATCTCAGGCCCATCTTTGACCCTTTCCTTCCTCCCCTTCCTCATGTAGTTGTTTTTCAAGAGCTCCTGATTCCACCACTGCTGGATCCCCATTCCTTTTTCTCTGCTCACCTTGGCCCACCACAGTCCAGGTCTTGCCCCAGTTACCTTTCCCTCTTTGTCTGCTTCTTTCTCCTCCTTCAGCACCGTAGAACCAATGCTCACTGAGCTCGTGCATACCCAGGCTGCCTTTAAGCTCCTTCTGTATCTCTACATATCAGCCTCATGAGCCTCCCAGTGGCCTGGAAGGCAGCTATGATCATCTCCATTTACTGGTGATCAAATTCAGGCCCTGAGCAGTGCTGATTTGAATGTGCTCCCCAGAAGTTCCCACAGTGGAAGCTGAATCCTCAGATTCACATCTGAATCTTATTTGGAAGTAGAGCCTTTGGGAGATACATAGAGTTAGATGAAGTTATGTCTCCATGGTGGCATTTGTGGCTCTATAAGGAGGACCAGAGACTCAAGGTAGTACCTTGCTTGGGCTCAGCAGGTGTTGACCTCCACCATGCTGTGATGCACCAACGTCCTGCTCAGACATCAGCACTGTGCTCTTGGACTCCCAGCCTCCAGAATTGTGGGCCAAATAAACCTCACTTATAATAAGTTACCCAGTCTGTGGTCTTCAGTTACAGCAACATGACATGGGCTGAGACACTTTCTGAAATAATTTTCCCAAGACCTCACCATGTGTAAATTGTGGAATGAGAAACACACCTCAGAACACTGACCTGCTTGCTCTATCAAGGTCCTATCTTCCTCCCCGCCAACCACAGTCCAGCACATTTTCCTCACCATGTCCCCTCCCAGACTGTGACCTGACAAATCCACCCTGGTCTTCAGCTCCACACAACCAGCCCTGTTCCGAGAAGCCTCTGCGGATCTCTGACATAGGGAGCTTTCTCCTCTCCGAGCAGCCGTGGGACCACATCTGTACATGTTTTACTGAGTTATGTTCTTTTGCACTGGCTCCATCCTATGTCTATCTAAATACTCATGCTCCTGGTGGACAGAGTTCTCCAAGAACACAGCTGTGGTGTACTGCTCAGTCTCCCTTCCACAGCCTGTTTAAAACCCTGTGAGACAGACACGTTTAAAGATTTGCTACGTGCGGTCAGTGAACATACCCAGAGCTTAGTAGATTTTGACATCTAGGGCACATGGGTAATTAATGGAGTAATCACACAAATAAAATAGGCCGTATCACCAGGGTTACAGAAAGGGACAAAGGGATGGCAGGAAGCATGTTACACTGTCGGTGAACACTTCTCAAAGGAAAGGACAGCGGGGCTGGGATCTGAAGGAAGGAGGGAAGCCCAGCAGCCCAAAGGAGAGAAGAGGCTCCCAATGGCAAAGCCCCTGTGTTGAGCCCAGTTATGGACTAGAGCAGCCATGTGGCTGGAACCCAGGGGTGCGCTGTGACAGGAACAAGATGAAGCCAGAGGGCCCAGCGGGGCCAGTCCACCTTGTCTGGGACATGGCAAACTATAGGTTTGTTTGAAGGACACAAAGACACCATCCACGCTACCCCACTAAGGAGTGGGGCAGCACACTGGCAGAGATGAGGGACAAGGGCAAAGCCTTCACAGTTGATAGATTTTTTCTTAAGAAGGCTCAGGTTAGTGGGCGGGGTGGCGCAGGCCTGTAATCCCAGCACTTGGGAGGCTGAGGTTGGAGGATTGCTATGAGTTCGAGGCCAGCCCGGACTGCATGGCGAGACACTATCAAAAAGACAGGGGAAAAAAAAAGCAAATGCTAACAAAAAAGCTCTTCCTCCCCTCAGCAAGAACATTAGGAATGTCTCTGCCATCAAGGGCATTTTGCCAGACTTGCTGTCAGGGAACTGTTGATAGTAAACAGAACAGGGATTTGGAAGAAGTTGAGAAGTTAATGCCCTAGGTGAGAGAGATCCAGCTCTTCTGAAGAGACGGACAGAGCAGCTGCAGGTAGAGAGCCAGCTCAGGCCTGTTTTCCAGGGAAAAGTGCCCTCCAAGACTAACCCATGCCCCGAGGCAAAAGGTTAACAGGAAGCTATCCCAAAAATGTCACTGGCGCAGACATTTGGACCCTGTAGGACCCAGCCATTGTCCGTCCCTCCCAATCGCTTTGGTTTTAAGTGCCAGGGAGAAGTCCACTGAGGATTCGCCCTTTCCCCTTCCTCCTGTCTTGACAGGGTTCTGTCCTTCTGGAACAAGAGTGAAGGATGGATAAGATACTGTGTTCTTGGGGAAAAATGTCAGCCTGCTCTGTGACAGGATCGCAGTTTATCCCCTGGGAGACAGGTGTCTTGGAGAACTGCACAGCACTGTTCTCAGTGCCGGCAGGAGGCAGGTAGGTGGCACACATGGGGCAGCAGGCTGGGAATAAGACGCCAGGAGCATCAAGGCTGTGCGGGACCCCAGGATGTGTGCCCACCTGCACAGGGAGCCTCCGACAGCCCCTGGCATATTGTGGGACTACGAAGACTGTGTGACCGCATAGTTTCCTGTTTTTAAAGAACGATCAGGAATCTGGAGTGCACTGTAGGATTTGCCAATGTTTAAATGCTGGCCATAACTTGAAAAGCCAGTTTAAAGCTGTCACAAGTCAAGCGGAACACCTGTGGGTGACACCTGCCTCCCTGCTGCCCAGCCCGGGCCTTTGGATTCCTCTAATCCACCTTCCACCTGCCCTGGGCCAAGCACAGTCGTGAGAGGGCTGGCTGACTCGGTGGAAGGGGTCCCTGTTCTCACCACCTGGCAGCAGGGCTGAAATGGTCTGGCTCAGCCGGCCAGCCAAGTTTGGGACTCTGGTTTGGGACTCCGAGGAGGGGGTGAGTTTGGGAGTATTAGGGTGTTTGAGTCCCGCCTCAGCCTTTGGACAACTAAAGCAAGAAACTCCAAAGCAAGAAAGCGGGAGAGAGTTGCTTCTCATTTTCGCAGAAGCGGTCTTTGTAGAAAAGTGTCTCCAACTTTGTTGCTCGTGGGAACCCCCTGCGTGTCTTGTCAAAACACAGATTGCCGGGCCCACCCTCAGGACCCTGGTTCGCAGGTCTAGGGCAGGGCCTGAGAATCTGAATTTCCAAATGTTCTTGGGCATCGCTGAGGGTGCTCTGACCACACTTGGTAGAGTTGCCCGCTCACTCGACTCTCTGGTTCCTTACCCGTGAGAGGATGAAGAGTGAAGACACCCACGTGGTTCCCAGCGGTGATGTTGAAAGTCAGCTTCCCTCTGGAGCTGGGGTCTGGGTCCCTGGCATCCAGCTGCAGCACAGAGGTACCCAGGGGTGCATTCTCCACAATGCAGGGGTAGAACACAGGTCTGGACATCCGGGGCGGGTTGTCATTGACATCTGTGATCTCAATGTAGACTTCAGTGACAGATGAGAGGGGCACAGAACCCCTGTCCACGGCCAGCACAGTCAACCAGTAGTAGGGTATGGATTCTCGGTCCAGAGGTGCCTGGGTCTGAATCATTCCTGGGGCAGTGAATCACAAACCCAAATTACTTCAGGGCCAGGGCGGCTTTAGAAGCCACCTAGCTGACATCACCTGAGCTATACTGTAGAAAGGTGATGAACAGGTAATCCACAAAGAAGGGACTAGCTGTCCATATGATACGGGACAACTGAGAATTAAGGGCCGTATTGCACAATGTCCTAGTCTATGTGGGGCAGAAGACGGCACGGTGGCCCTCCTTTCCTCTGGACCACGTCCACCCCAGTTCCAGGGACTTCCGGACATCCTGTCACTGAGAGTTCCTGCTGGTTGTCCTGAAACCCTTTTCCTCATCAGTTAAGTCCTGGTAGAGCCTCAGCTTCAGAATCAGGGATTTGGCCAATACATTTCTTTTCCTTCCTGTCACCCTCATGATTTTAGGGGCTCAGCTTCATTCTTAGCTCGCTCGTTCCACAGTTGCCTAGTTTGCACCAGCTCTGGGCCAGAGCTTGGAGGTCTGGTGGGAGGCAGGGGTGGCCTGCACCCTAAGCTCTCACGGGCCTCCCAGCTGGCAGGGGCTGAGTGAGGGGGAAGGGAGGAGCATGTCGGAGATGACACAGGGAAACTGAGGCCCTGAGAGGGAGCCTGGCTTGGCCAAGATTATATAACTCAGCAAGTAAGGGAAAGAACTGGGTTTGTAACTGACTGAATCTAATGCCTTTCACCCCATCCCCAGGGCCTTTACTTAGAATAAATCCCCCTAGATTGCCGCCTCCTGGAAGGCACTCCCTGTCTCCACACACTCCGGGCCTGCCCCAAGGGCAATTTGGGGATACTACAATCACAAGAATGTACCTTATCTGGCTGGGATACAGCTCAGTGGTAGGGTACCTGCTAGGCCTGTGTGAGGCCTTGAACCCCAATCCTGCACACACTCAAAAGTGTATGTTATTCTTTGACACAGTGACTTCATTTTAAAATTTTTTCCTACAAAGCCAGGCATCGCAATGCACACCTGTAATGCCCAGCACTTAGGAGATTGAGGCAGGAGGATCCCTGTCAGTTTGAGGCCAGCCTGGGTTATGTAAGTGAGTTCGACTGCATTATATAAGTGAGATCCTGTCTAAAAAGAAAAAAGAGTTTTCCTACAGAGACTCATGCATATAAATGACGATATATGTTGTAGAACTATACCATAGAATATAAAGATAATTAAAAGGACAAGAAGATGTCCTAATCTTACATTATGTGAAAAAGTAAGTTTCACAAGTAACGTCTATTGTGTTCCCATAATAAGATGAATAGTGAAATGTACTGGATTCAAGGTAAAGACATTTAGAAGGTTATATCTGGAGAGATAGATGGGACACAGACGAACATTTATCTTTTATTTGTGGCTATATAAAGACGTATAACCATCAAGCATTGCTTTCCTGAGTAGAACGTGTGCGTGTCTGTGTGAAGACGGGCCTCTCCCGAAGATGAATTTACAATAAAGGCACAGGAAGGAGAACCCGTGTTCTGCTTTCCCTGGCTGCCTGCAGCCTACTTTCTTCCAGAACCCCCCCCGATTTCCCTGCATCCCTTCCCTCCCACCCCACCCCGGCCTCTCCCTCCCAACCTCAGCCCAGTACCTGTGTCTGGGTCGATACTGAAGGCTGCCAGGCCAGTGCCGGCCCGGAGGAAGTACTGGATCTCCCCGTCCGAGCCATTGTCATCGTCCTGGGCCATCACTTGCATCACCTGAGTTCCCGGGGGGCTGTTCTCCTGCACCTGGCCCTGGTACACAAAAGAGGCAAAGCGAGGAGGGTGGAGATTCTCGTTCACGTCCAAGACGATCACCTCCACGTGGCAGAGGGTCCTGCGGGCCAGGGGCTTCCCACTGTCACTGACCCACAGGCTCAGGTTGTACCCAGCCCGCCTCTCAAAGTCCAGCTCTTTCTCCAGACTCAGTGCCCCCGTCATCGGGTCCACACGGAAGGTTCCATGGATGTCATCCGATAAGACGTACTGCACTTCCCCTGCAGGGCCCAGGTCGGGATCAGAGGCATCCAGAAATGTCACGATCGTCCCCAGGGGGAGGTCCTCCGGCACCTTCAGGCTGCTGAGCTCTGTGATGCACCGGGGAGGGTTATCATTGGCATCTGCTAATGTGATTATCAAGTCAGTGACAGAGAAGAGCTGGTGGCCCTTCTTGGGCTGATCCCTGGCCTCTACCTTGAGTACGTACTGAGGTTCTGCTTCTCGGTCCAGATGTCCAGTGACGACCAGTTCCCCGGTGAGAGGGTGAAGGGAGAACTTCTCGGTGGGGCTTAGCAAGGTGTAGCGGACTCTGCCGTTGTCCTCTGAGTCTTCGTCTTCTGTTTTTAACTCCGCGATGGTGGTTCCCACCTCTGTGTCCTCCGAGATAGTCAGCTGGTACCCGCCAGGAGGGAATCTGGGCGCGTTGTCATTCCAGTCTTTGACATTCACTGCCAGCAGCTTCCAGGAGGACTTCTGGGGGGTCCCCAGGTCATACACTGTTATATTGAGGAGGTAGAAACTGGTGGTTTCGTAATCCAAGGGAGCGGCCACCATGAGCAGCCCTGTGTCCAGCTCAATGTCAAAGCAGCCGTCCTCATTGCCGTCGGTGATCACATAGACCAGCTGGCCATTAAAGCCAGCATCAGGGTCAGCGGCTGCCAGGCGGGCCAGGGAGGTGTTGACGGGGACACGCTCGAGGACGTCGATGGACTGAGGGAAGTGGTCTGTAAACTGGGGGGCATGGTGATTGATCTGATACGTGGTGAGTGACATGAATTCCTCATCACTGGACTCCTGGTCCTGGAGTCCAACCGAGTGGAGGACGGTCTTGGTGAAATGGGTCAGTACCCCTGTTTTAGCACAGGTGACAGGAGATGCAAAAAGGGGGTCCTTCACCACAGTGACATTCAGTGTTGTGGGCGAAGCATAGTTTTGGCCATCTGAAGCTGTGATTTTCAGAGAATAGCTGGTGGGTTGACCAGCACTAAGGTTTATGAAAGAGCGTTTGAGGGCTATCACCCCCGAGAAATGATTCAGATCGAAATACCCTAGTTCGTTGCCTGACACAATCTCGTATTTTAGGTTCTGGAGCTCATCCACATCTATGGCCGAGAAGGTCATCACTGACCTCCCTACTGGCCAGTCCTGGCGAATAGACACAGTGCAGTTGACTTCCTCAAACATTGGCCTGTTGTCATTCAGATTCTTGAGCCTGAGAGAAACAGACACTTCCTTCTCCTGGCGAAAAGGGGTTCCCCAGTCTGAGGCCCGTACTCGGAACATGTAAATTCTTCTCATGAGCTCATAGTCCATGGGTTTGGAGGTGGAGATGACCCCCGAGAAAGGGTCAATAGAAAATGGCACAGCTTTGGGGGCAATGATGGAGTAGGTGATGTATCCGTTCTCCCCGGGGTCCTGATCTGTGGCTGTGACCGTTAAAACGCTGGTGCCTGGAGGAATGTTTTCATCCAAGGTGCCGTCGTAAGAAGACCTGTTAAAGATGGGGGCGTGGTTGTTACAGTCCACGATGTCAACGATCACCACGGCAGAGGCCAGGCCAGGGGAGGTTCTAACGTAAAGCTGGTAGCGGGCCCGGTCACGGAAGTCCAGGAGCTTTGCAGTGGTGATCAACCCAGTGCGAGCGTGAAGTTTAAACCCCACGCTCTCTGAGGATGGCTTTAGAACATACTGCAGCTTGGGAATGGCTGGTGTGACCTTCACCAGGACCACTCGACTGCCAGGAGGGGAAAACTCACTGAGCTGCACTCTATAGACGGGCTTCTCAAACTTGAGAGAAGCCAGTGGGGAAGGGGGAAGGTGAAAGCCCCTGATCTGGGAATGGAGGGAAGGTCTGCTCCCACTCCTGGCCTGCAGGCTGAGGTTGAACCCATGAAGATACTCCAGCCAGTTGATGTCTTTGACGGACACCAAACTGAACTCATTGCTCCGGGCATAGGACTTGGTGGCTTTGAAATGCTTTCCGGGGTCACCACCCACAACCTCCAGTGAGTCCACTTCGGACCCTGAACCGTTGGCATCTACCACCACCGTGGCATACGTGGCATCTTCACTACTGCCTGCCGGGGTCACCACCACGGAGACAATGGCCGGGGGCTTCTTGGGCGCAGGCTCCACGTGGATAGTGAGGGCGGCTAAGTTGCCGAACCCATTTCCCTCGGAGATTTTTCGCATGCGGTCCACAGCCAGCACCTGAAGTTCGTACTTTCCCCGCCAGGTGACGTTGAGCTTCCCAGCTACGGTCACCACACCGCTGGTGGGGTGGATGGCGAAGATGTCGGATCTTGTGTTAAAGGCGTAATAGAACTCGGCGTTCTGGCCCAGGTCGGCGTCAGTGGCGGTCACCTTACAGATGGGGCTCTTCAGAGGCATGTCCTCCGAGATGGTGACTCTGTACGAAGGTGGGGAGAAGAGGGGCTTCAGGTCATTCTGGTCCAGGATGCGGACCACCACGCGGGTCAGGGCTTCCAACTCCAGGGTCTTCTCTGTGGCTTGGATGATGAGGGTGTAGCTGTCTTGAACCTCCCTGTTGAGAAGCGCCGTGTTGCTGCTCTTCGTCCTGATTCTCAGAAAGCAGAAGTCCCCTACCACATACTCCTCTGTCTTAAAGACGTTGACCACGTCCCCCGAGATGATCCGGTAGCGCACTGTCCACTGCGGCTGGGTGAGGTACATGCCCATTTTCACTGTGCTCTCCACATAGGTCTTGGGGGCAGAGTTCTCATAGATGGTGGCGTTGTAAAGGGAGTGTGTAAAGCGCCAAGCCGAGGAGAGGTCAGTTCCTTCTAGAGGCTTCTCGCAGGTCACAGGACAGAGTAACCACACGGCCAGACCCAGCAAGGCAACGGTCATGGTGAAGAGGACTCCTGGCAAAACAGAGCGTGTACAGTTAGGGAGGAAATGGTCCCCACAGCCTTGGCTCTTGACTGGAGGGCATTTTTGCCATCTGGGGATGCTTGGCAAAGTCTGAAGACACTATTGTCTGCTCCAGTTGAAGGGGTGGGTGTCTGGTACGCAGAACTGGGGGTGCTGCTAAACTGCAATTCACAGGACAGGAGTGTCCGGCCCCAAATGTCAGCAGTGCCGACTGGCCTCCCTGCTCCTCTCTGTGACCCATCCTGCACAGATAGAGCCTGATTCAGGTGCATTCTGAGCTCAGAACATAGACCATTTGCAAAGCCCTCTCCAAAGCACCCGACTCATACAGCACAGGGCTGTTCACTTACTCTTTTACCTAAAAGCTCTCTGTAGCTACCCCGGGATGGTAAACAGTCCCAGTTCGTAGCCAGGAACCCGAGCTGAGCAATATTCTCAGTGTCCTTCCTATAGGGCCCCTCCATCAGGGACGAGCTGTCACTGGATTGAGTCCACACAGATGGGAAGGGAAGGCGGCTGGGGCCCCAGGTTTGACATCAGGCTGCCTGGTTCTCAGTTCAAGCTCCACCGAGGGCTAGGAGGTGCCTCTCAAGACAACCTCTATGGCTTTTGATTCACCTGTCAAATAGAGGTAAGAACACTACCCATGTCGCAGAGTTGTGAAAATTAAAAGAGCAGGGAATGATGCACACATCTGTTAATTCCAGCAGTCAGGAGGCTGAGGCAGGAAGATGACCATGAGTTGGAGGCTGGCCTGTGCTCCATCGTGAGTTCAAAGCCAGCCTGGACTACATAGCAAGACCCTATCTCAAAGAAACTCCAAAATTTTTTTTAAATTAAAAAGTAAAAATATCAAAGGAAATAATGTGCTGGTGTACAGTCAGTTGTACTATTAACCATTATTAGTAAAAGGTGAGGCTCTCAAAAGGAATAAATCCACTCTCCTTGGGTCGCAGGCTCACGTCCCCGTCCTGTCCTCCTGTCCTGCTACCCACCCCTTTAATCATAGGGGGGCAGAGGTGGCTCCCGGACTCCTGGAGTGGTGAGGACTGAGCTTACCCCATTCCTCAGCACAGCTGGGGAGGGGGAGAGAGCAGCGGGTGGGATGAGACTCACCCCAGGCCCAGCTGAGAACTGGTCCTTGGAAACCAGTTCCTGCAGAACAATTCACAAGAGCATGCTTTGCGGCTCTGACACTTTCTGCTGTCCTCTGTCCCTGTTGTTTTCCACGGAGACCCTCCCTACGTCCTGCCTGGGCCCTGAAGCGTGAGGCTCCTGGGGTCGAGACTGGGCGCCCCGAGGCTCCAGGCTGCTGTCTGACCCTCCCAGGCTCCAGGCTGCTGTCTGACCCTCCGGGGAGCCTCTGTTCCTAGGAACCTCGCTGTGCCTGCCAGGCCTGGGGAGCATTCCTGGACAAAACAGGCCTGACTTGTTTTTCTGGTTGTCTTGCTCTTCAAAGGCAAGGAAGAGGTTAATCTTCCAGGGCAAAGAGAAGCGGAGAGGCTGGGCGCCAAATTCTCCCAGAGTCCTGAGGAAACTGGGCCCAGGGCTCCAAAAGCCCCTGCTGGTGGCGTCCGCAGGCGGGAGGCGGGAATGCAAAAGTCCACCTAACTAGGCACCCTAAAGATGCCCCGTCCTGCAGCTTCCCCACCACCACCCAGGGTGCCCCAAGCCCCGCCACCTTGGCTGGAGGCAGATGTCCACATTTGGGGTCCAAAACCCAGCATCCGAAAGAGCTGTCTCGTATTACCCACTCTGCCTGGCTTCCCCGCCCTCCCACCTCTGAACTACCCCTGCAGGCACGGGGAGCCAGCCCCAGGCAAATGCCACACTCAGCCTGCCTGACACCACCTGCACCAGCCCTGGGAGACCATGGACCATTTACTCTGGAAGTCAAGTCCTGGGCGCGGGGCAAGGGGTCCTTACCCCAGTCCCGGGTGTGTGCTCCGCGGCGCAGAAAGCCAGGGGTGCATGCTGCCTGCCCTGCCTGCTGTGCACAAAGCTTCCTGTTCCCCAGGTCAGGCCAGCACGGGGCAGGTCCCGACAAGACGCACGACACGGCTGCAACTGGCGCCAGGCTGAGGAGCGGAGTGGAGCCAGGGAGTCAGAGCCGCTAAGAGGAGCTGCAGGGAGGGATCGGGGCCAGGGTCTCCCTGCAGGGGAGGAGGTGCAGAACGAATGTACCTTGGGGCGGTCCTGGAGGCTCCTGGCCAGTGCAGGGTGCAGGGGCTGAGCCACTGACCCAGATGTGACACCGTGTCCCCACACTGGTCTCGGCACTTGGTTTGGGTGAATGGGGCGCAGAGGCATGTTGGGCACCTGCTCCAGCCTCCCAGTCTATAGCATCCAGGGCTATGCTTTTGTAACACCTTGTGAAAATAGAAATCCATTCATATCCTTTGCTTGCTCAAAATTTCCCAGTGGCTTCCCATAAGGTTTAGGTTAAATCTAAGCTCTTTGTCATAGCCTAAAAGGCCTGGCGCCATCTGAGCCCTACGGAGTCTCCTGCAATACCTCCCTGCACTCTCTCCATTGGTCACAGCACTGCTGTACAGCCCCCTTCCCCTCGGCTCAGCAGGGAGCTGCCTCAGGGCCTTTGCACTTGCTCTCTACCCAAGGTAGTAACTTAGCAAGGCCCCGTTTCAAAATAAAAAATAAATACACACATAAGCAAATGGGCTGAGGTGGGGTGTAGCTCAGTGTGAAAGGCTGCAGTTTAATCCTCAGACTGGAAATGACATAATATGTTGGAAAGTTTTCATTATTCACAGATTCAACAGTCAAGTATGAGCCAGCTGCTGAAAAGCAGCTGTTGAGTGAGTGTGTAGCTCATGCGTTACCTCCTGACCCTAGTCTGAAGCAGCTTTCCTGCCCTGACCACCTTGTTGCTTCAGTCCATTTTCTTGGCATTTGTCACCACCCCACATGTTCTTGTTTAATAACTGTCACTTGCTGCTGGGCTCCAGGAAGACCAGAGCTGTGCGTGTTTTATTCCTGGTCCGATCCCCAGTGCTTAGGTCAGTGCTTGGTACAACCCAGGCACAGTACATTCTAGTTGCAAAGAGGAAGGTTCTGGCCTCAGGAGCTGCGGACACAGAGTGCAGATTCCAAGGGCCTTTAGAGGTCACCTCTCCACTTCTGAGGCTAGAAAATGAAGTCCCACGGAAAGAAAGGGGACTCAGCCGACGTCACAGCATGAGCATCAGTCTGAGGTGCTTTCCCCTTGTACTCAGGGGAAGGAGAGAGGCTTGGTCACCTAGGCATCCCCTGCAGGGCTCCAGGCCCGGCGCCATCTGATTTGCTGGTTGTAGAACTCTGGTCAGTTACTCAGCTCTCTGGACCGCGGTTCCTTTGTCTGGTAGGATGGGGCTATGGCTCTCACGGGGTTTTCTGAATACTATGAATAAAGTCACGCATATTAGTATGCTTGCCACAGTGCCCTGTACAGATTAGTCCTTTTTAGTTTTTAGCACCGAGGCACTCCCTGGAGCAGGTCCACCCTGTGCTCTGCGCAGCAGGAAGCTGCCCACATTTGGTCGAGTCCAAGCTTGCTGGCCCTGCTACGGGCTGCTCGGGCAGGTGCTTGTTTGGAGCTCCCTGGCTCCCAGGCCCAGACAGAGCTCTACCTGGGGGTGAAAGTGAACCCTGTAAGGGAACACGTGTCCATTCCTAGTGTGCACAGCCATCGGAGGCAGCGGGGTGAGGGAGGGTCGGCACCCTGGCCATTGTGTGGCCTTGGACAGCAGCTTACCACCTCTGACCTCTAGTTCCCTGCTTTCAGACCATCAGAGAACAGTCAGTGCACATAAGTGCTGAGCACAGTACTTACCCGCAGCTGGCTGACACATGAGCGCTGGGTGTGGGTAAGGAGAGCTACAAGCACATAATGCCATTCTGAGGACTGAACCCAAGGCCTTCACACCGAGCCACATCCCCAACCCCTTTATTTATGCATTTATTCATTTATTATTTTTAGACAAGGTTTGGCCAAGTCTCTAAGTTCCCTAGGATGGGCTCGAACTTGCAAACCTCCCGCCTCAGCCTCCCAAAGTGCTAGGATTATAGGAATGCACCACTACGTCCAGTTCCCAGTTTGTTCTTATTCAGCCTGATTTCCTGCCACTAGGTGCCTCTAAACTTTGAGGAGGCCATGACTTGATTTGCCTACTGTTTGGTGCTCCCTGCCACCTTCTGCAAACCTTCACTCTGACATTCAGAAACTCGTAGATTACAACATCCACGTTTCTCTCCAGCTCACTGACAGGTGTTTGCACATAGCTGCGTGGCACGGCACTGAGAGAGCTTCCCACCTTACCCACATCAGCCACCTGGGGTGTGGCTGGTTCCCTGTTCCAGGGGGATCCAGAGTCTGAGGGCACCAGTGAAGGATGCTTTAGTCTAGGTGGAAGTTTGTCCTTGCGGGGAGATGTGCAGGTTCTAATGTCCTGTGCATGCCAGAATGTCTCTATCAGACTATAAATGAACTCTCAAAAGGTCAGAAAAGAGTCCCAGGTGCACAGATCCTGGCCACACATCTGTCAGTGCTCGCTCAGTGCGGTCAGATCCCTGCTGAGCTCTCAGGAGACCTGGACCTGGGGTCACTCATTCTCTGGGTGGCCTTGATCTAGCAAGTCACCCACACTCTGCAGACCTCTTTCAAACTCATCTGCAAATGATGTGAGTGGCTGTTGGGGGTTAAGGGCAGGAAGGCTTCGGTGACTCCAAACCCCTATATTGCTTCTGGGGCAGAAACTGTTTCCTAATGGAACTTGTAGAAGACAATCTGGGCACTTCTCTTTGAATTGCAGAACAATTGCTTCTGCATTAGTTAATGTGAGTCGTATTTCCATGTACTGATAGGTTCAGAGCTGGCTGTGCCATTTCCTTCTAACTTCAACTGACTCTAATCGATGTAAACAAGGCTGGCTGAGGTGCTGATATGCAACCCTTAGGACCAGCCGACACTTTCCTGCTTCCTCACACCATGTTC